TACACAAGCTGGGTGGGGGGCGGAGCGCACTCTGGTAGACAGGGGGGACACTAGGACGCCACGCGCGGGGGGCCCCCGCTGCGGGGGGGTTAGGAAATTGAGGTTATGTACGGTTTCTGTTGCTTATATCGGCACTATACATCTACTAGCGTAAGCCCATATACTTTCTATAGTCGATGGGATTTGTGATGGCATAGTCGGCAATAAAATGCCAGACAGAATAAAAAATATTGTTCATCTTGATTCCACTTAAACTTCAATAGATGTTGTTTGGCCGTAAATGTCTATTTGATGAATGCAAGACAGCCGTCACTAATAAGTTTTGCTACCGTTGTATCAAGTGTATTCGCTTTTTTCCAATATTCTTTTATTCCAAACAGATAACTACTGCAGTATCATCGCGCCTTGCCTCACTTACAATATTTTAATTATAAAATATTTTGCACTAAGTCAACACCAATTCTATTGCATTGAATATACAATGGTAAGGAGGCAATCTTAAAACTTTCAGCAAATATTTCGTCTGTAACACACGTTAAGTTTGTTTTGCAATTTCTGAAATTTTTAATAATTAATTAATAATGTGCTTACTGCGCATCTAATTAATGACTTCTTCTTTTCTTATTGATGCATTTGGTACATTTTCGCTATGCCTAGAATGATGTCGTGCATTATCCATAATAATTAAAGACGACCCTTCGAGTTTCGGCAGCGGTTTTTCGAAAATATTACATTGTTTTGTAGTGGGAACTTCTGAAATCATCCGGTAATTGGTGCTATCTCTATCGAGTTTAGGACGCCGGGGCGTAATAGACAAAGATAGAAAACTGGCTGGTAAATGTTGAATATCAGGTTTTGCCATTCTGGGCATTTATACATATACATAGATTCAGTTCCTTTTCTTCATTAATTATGAATGGCTTTGCACTATTTATTTCGGCATTTAAAATGTTAACCAAAAGCATTGTTTGTCTGTTATGCCTTTAATATAATAGTATACATAATATAAGTGTTTACTTTGCATCCTACGGATTTTTCATTCATGAAAGTTAATTCACACTATATGACAATGAACACGTACTTCGCCTTTTTCCGATTTTTTAAATAAATATGCCCATAAAATATCTTCACGATTGTCTTTTTCAGGCATCACTTTTAAAAAATTCCGTATATTTGTTCGTATCATGTCCCAGAATTAAAATTAATAAGTTGCACATTGTTTCGGCAGCTGCTTAAACAATTTCATCAACTAAACTTTCATTTTCCAGGAATTTGTATTCATTAATTTTAGAAAACTAATTGTCGTGTTTAAACTCATCCGGCAACATGTAAAAATATTAGAATCTATTTATTTCGTTCCTATGGAAGCCAATTTAAAGGCGATTTACCAATACCTACTAAACCACAAGGCCGTGAAACACTAAAGTATGAATCATCATCCTGGTTGCATGGCGTTCATAACATCAAAAAGGATAACATTTCAATTGCCTTATATTATTTTAATGTTTAAAATATAGTACAAATATTTTTCAAAGAAACTTCCACAGGCTACTGTAATACTTTTTATAAAGTTTCTGGATTCCTCCTTCGTCGGTTTTCGTTGAGTCGAGAGTCGAGAAGATTCACAAACCAGGATTACGCGTTGGACCTTTTGTCAGCACCATTGGTTCTCCAACATATTCTCTAGCAAAATATCTAGCTTCCTTTGTAAAACCGTTTACAGGCAAAACTGACAGTTTCATACTTAATTTCTTTCACATTATTGAACAAATAAAAATTATTACATTAGATGCACAAGATATTCTTGCTAGTTTCGAAGTAGAATCCTTCTTTACTAATTGAAAAATTCTTGTCTGGAAAATATTTTCTTATAACGGTTATTTGGCTTCGTGGTTAGGAACCCCTGGTAGCTTTTCTTAGACATTTAAACTCTATATACACTAACATACGTTTTACCATTGAAATAGAAACTAATAACAACCTCCATTCTTATATACTCTTATCAATTGAAAATCAGACCTAACATTGGGTCATTATGTTTACAGAAAACCTACGCACACAGACCGCACAAAAATTTTCGGTTATCAACTCTCTTATTTACAGAGCCGTAAAACTATCGCAGCCAGAGTCATTCAGAATTAAAAAATCTTGTCTATGCTCTTCTCTCTAATATTTTCCAAATTAAAAATATTAAGCGTTCAATCACAAAATACACTTCACCACAACACAACAATACCAATGAAACCGAAAGCAATCCCACACTTGCCACTGTTGTCCTTCCTTACATTCAAAACTTCACTGACCACATATCAAGAGTTCTAGAGAAATATAACATCAAAATCAGGTTTACTACATGCCCAAAAATCTCTCAACATCTTCGATCCGTCAAAGATAAAATTCCATTTGAAATGCCAGGAGTTTACAGCAGAATACAATCACGAAACCGGACCCAAAATTTTATTCGATAAAACTAAAATTATATATAATCAATTCTGCTACCAACGAAAAATGCGAGAGTCTATAGAAATCTATAAGCAACCTAACAATCTTAATGCGACTCCGGTCTAATTAGCCCCGCCCCCCCTCAAACAATATTAAAGCAGGTACAGAGTAAAAGGCGAGCCAGTTTCAGTCAAGTTCTGAAGAAGCCAACAGGATGATTAGTGAAACGTTTGCTAGTTCGACTCAACAAAAACCGAGGCAGGAGGCATCCAGAAGTTTTACAAAAAGTATAGTATAAATATGTATAATAGGTAAAAATTGTCTTAAAATTCCTTCAGGTGGTAAAAATTTTTTTCTTCATTTCTCTGTAACTACATTCGGATTAAACTGAGGGTCTTGCAGCTTCAGCAGAAACTGTATGATTTGCGCTGAATAAATAAATCAAATTAATAAATAAAAACTGCTTTGATCAAACGGAGTGTTTTTAACTTAGATGTCAGTACTTCTCTTGTTGCTTCAATAGTCTTTCAATTTCATGAGATTCAACATAAAGCTCACACGCCATAAGATGAGAAAGTTTTTAATTGCTAGCCCACCTGAGTATCTGGTTTCTAAATTTCCCTACACTTATCCGAAAACTATTTCGGTAAGGCTCGTCTTTATGTTTTAGTTAGAACAAACCATACAGCTATTAGATAATATAGTGACCCTGCTACACCCACATTCTTCCTCCAAATGCAGTAAAATCTCTATCGTTTGCAGTTATTTATTACGGTGCTGTTGGACTTGAATTAGATAATAATACCTTTTAATTATGATTACTTACATTTGGCTCTAATGAAAACGCGTTTAATAACATATAACAATCACAAATAAAAATATTGTTAGTCACGAATTTTCGTGCTAACATTGTCAAAATGTATTTTACTGTTGTTTGATTTATTATTACTATAAACTAAACTATAAAAATTTTCTTTTTTTTTTCATTATTTAATTCAATAACTGAGGATTGGCATATTAAAATTTATTCAAACTCGGCACATAAGTTAATCACACCGACACCTTCGAAGAGTTATATTATAACTTTGCTATAAAATGTACGGGGGAACCAATATTCACTCGGTATACGAGGTTAGTGCCAAAATTTCCGTGCCTGACATAGATGCAGCTCCAGTATCACGATAAAACTTTGTCTTCTTTTAAATATATATCTTGGTAGGCTGCGAAAAAAAATTGAAGTCTTGCGTCAAATAGTTTTTTATTGGTAGCATTTTAAACAAGACGTGTCCGCAAATAACGCAAACTGAGTATAGAGCAGTCATAAAGTTTTTGACAAAAGAAGGGTTAGCACCTAAAATTATTAAAGAAAGGCTGGGTGGTGTGTACGGCCAAAGTTCTCCTTCGCATTCTGTAGTGAAAGAATGGATATAACGTTTTCGAATGGGACAGGAGTTCCTTGAAGATGATTCAAGAACTGGTCGACCAGTGGAGGTCATAACGGAAAATATTGTTGCGATTGTGGAAGAGGTGGTATTGAGTGATCGACGTGTAAAGGTCAAGGAAATCTCAGAAATTACTAAGCTTTCTGATACAAGTGTTCGTCGAATGCTGCATGATCATTTAGGTATGCATAAGGTGAGTCCAAGATGGGCTCCTAAAAACCTTTCGGCTATTCAAAAATAACGCAGTGTCGAGTGTGCGCGGTCTTTTGTGGAACTCTGCGGGTCGGAACCGAAGCCTGTGATAGAAACTGTTGTGACTGGATATAAAACTATGGTTCTCTATTATGACCCTCTATTGAAAAAAGAATGAATGGAGTGGCGTCGTAAGGGTGTAGCACCTCCAAGAAAATTCAGAGTCTGCCAGTCAACAAAAAAGTTGATCGTCACGATCTTTTGGGATTATGAAGGAATTCTTTTGATAGATTTTAAAGAAACTAATACCATTGTTAAGGATAAATACTACTCAACATTATTACATAAATTGCGAGACTGCATGCGTGTAAAACGTCGAGGAAAACTGACCAGAGGCGTGCGTCTTTTGCACGATAATGCACCTGTCCATACTGCTGGTGTTGCACAAACTGCCATTTTAGAGCGTGGGTTCCAACACATAGATCATCTTCCTTATAGTCCAGATATGGCCCCCAGCGACTATTATTTGTTTGTGTATTTGAAAAAGGATTTACGTGGACGGCGGTTTAACGATGAAGTTGAGTTAAAAGAGGCTGTTTTAGCTCATTTTGCAGACAAACAAAAAGATTTTTTTTAAAGTTGTTAATAAAGAGATGTAATAAGTTAAGTTAAGGGAGATTGTATTGAAAAATGATAAAAAATTGTTACTCTATTTTGTTTCTTTCATATTCAGGCCGGGAAATTTTGGCGTTGCCCTCGTACTATATAACGCTATAGACACCTGCACTTTTCATGATGACTCATCCATCGATTGTTTACAGTTTACGTTTCACCATCTTATTTTTGAGGTCGTGTTGAACTTACACCAAATTTTGGTCCGAAAGTAACAAAAAAAAAAAGCCGTTCAAAAATGTATTTTTGCAGTCCGGGTTCAGCTTCAAAAAGCTATGGGCGTTCGCGGGTCCCGGGTTCCTCATGTCAATCGCGTTCCTGGATCCCGGCAATATCGAGAGCGATCTCCAGTGCGGTACCATAGTGGAGTACCGTCTGCTGTGGTTACTGCTATCGGCCACGGTCCTGGGTTTGCTGATGCAACGTTTGTCGGCTAGACTGGGCAAGTGATTTTTCAATGTTATCCGGAACAAGGGCAAATTCCCTTGTTTACGCAAACGCGGGTAAACATTAGATTTCAACGATTGGGAAAAACCTTTCGAAGATTTTTTTTCTAATCCCGTCAATATTTACCCAATAGTTTTATCTCGGAATCCAATTCTCTGTTTCATTGTATCGCTTAACGAGTATATCGTTGCCGTTGGAAGGTAGTTGCATAAACCTGATGATCATTTTGAGATGTTTCGACGAACATTGATAATTGACGCGCTTTCTTATAAAATACGGTGTGTGATTTCCATTTAAGAACTCCAATAGAAAGGGGTGCTACTCCCAGTAGTAAATTTACATTATCAATAGTAAAAATAATGGTTTTTGATCTTTAATTTTAAAAATTTAATTTTAATTTATGAATAAATAACTTTTACACTTTTTTTTTAAATACCGTGTATAGTGCTTTCACAAATAAACGGTTTCCTTCTAACGGCTGCGGTAAAAATGAACGCTGCTTAGGTCGTAAATTTGGGTTAAAAATTTTGTTTTTTTGAATTATTTTTTAAAAATTTTCTTTTAATTTTTTAATGAAATTTTTTAAAATACTTCGTAGAATCTCTGTTTCATGCTGTTCTTATAATACAGTGTATAGTGCTTTCACAAATACACGGTTTTGAAGTAATAATATGAAATCTGCGCTGAAGACCAAGTAGGTTCATGGCTTTGTGGTCATTTTTTCCTACAGTTTCGTCTCGGTTGCCATCTGCATCTGCTTTCCGTCTTGTTTTTGGTATTCCCTGCTTCTCTGCACTTTTCCCTCGTATAAAATATCTGGTTCGTTATAAATATCTTTTAATTCCTGTTTTCCCCTCTCGTCTAAATTTAACCCTCTTTCTTTTCGCTGTAAACCTTCTCTAGTACTTTTCCCTACCATTCTGCGAATCTGTCTGGTTCTGCTTTCTTTAGTGTTCATACTTCACTTCAATATGTCTTATGACTGTTCTGTATAGTCTCACTTTAATTTTCCTGGATATAACTTTACACTTTAGTAATTTATTCAATGCATAAATACTACGGTTTCCTGCGATCAGTATGCTTCATATTTACACTGTCATATCCGAGTTTCTAGTAAACTCCGTTTCCAGGTAGTATATTTTGTAGTTCCTCGAATCTGTAGGTTTTATTTCTGTCTGTTACAATTGTCAGGTATTGGTTTCATTTAAGCAAATAATGCTGCTTTGTCTTCCAATATTTTAATATTTTTATGAGTTCTTGCTTAGTTCTTTGAACAATAATACTCAGTCAAAAGCTAGGCATAGCATATATAGGTTTTTGTTGTCTTATTCCTTTTATATAGGTTCCTTACTCTGTTATTTTTATAGTTATCTTTTGTATTCCTTGGTGTGTTTTCATAAAATTTGTGTTTTTCCTTCTTAGTAGTGCTTTGGTCGTTCTTCTTTGTTTCGTATATGCCGAACCCTTTTGTTGCCTTGTGTTGCATGCTTTTCGTATATTTCTCCATCTTTCCTCAATATCTTCCAGTTGGCTCATGCTATCTAGCTCTCCGCTTATATTTTTTCTACAGATTCTTTGTTCCTCATTAATTGTTGGTCGTATTGTCCTCTCCGTTTTGCCTCTTTTATTTTTTGTTTTTTGCGGTTCGAATAATTTCATTGCAACTTCCACCATTAAGGGATCGTAGTCCACATCGGGGTCTCCTTACTTTCTTGTGTTTCTGATTGCTCTTGCGTCATTTTTTTCTAGTAGAACGTGGATCATTTGCCGCTATTCCTTGCCTATCTCTGGTAAAGCCATAGTTAGGTACACCTTCATATGCTCTATGTAATTCGCTATAAATGTCTTCCTTTGTATTTATCTCCTTTTCTTCTGATGATGCTTGGATGCTAATCAGGGTAATTTTTAAATACCTCCCTTCTGTCTCAATGTGGTAGAACCTGTCGGCGAGTGGGTTGAACATGTTTAAATTCTTTACTTATTATGAATCCACATCACAGTATTCTATTTTGGCCACCACTGTTCAGATAATCTTTTATAGTTTCTTGTCACAATTGTGTCTTTTTCTGGAGAGCAGCTACAAGGAATTTTTTCCGCGCCAGAGGTTTTAATTTCCCCTCTTCATATGAACCTTTATCTTCATCTCTTCCCTGTCATTGTTAGGTTCCCTGTCTAGTTTTAGTCCGTTTTTCTTCTTGTCTTGTCCTACCTTTACCAGGTTTTTCAACTTTATTTCCTACCTCTACCAGTTTTTTATTTGATCTTATACTATTTTCTACCTTCCTTCCTTTTGCTTTAATCTTTTTTCTAATTTCGATTTCCGGTGTCAGGTGTCATCATTAATAAAGATTCGATCGGTCCGTGTTTATTTTAGCTTACTTTTATTTTTTATACTTTCTATTTTATACTTTGTTTTGTGTTAACTTCTGTTAGGCACGCATTTTCTTATCAAAAATTTTTTCATTGTTTCTTTCAAAACACTATTTTCAGACTGGTTAGTTCAGTTCAGATAGTTCAGTTAGTATAACGTTCTTTTCTTTTTTGTTCGTTTCTATCAATGCGATATAACCCTTTTTGTATATTAGATTCTTTATAATTTCTTAATTTTCTCTTTCAACTTCTTCAATACTCCTTCTGCAGCTTATGATTACCTTTTCTTAGTTCTCTCGCCTATTCCTTATATTCTGCAATATCATCTCTCAATTGCTTTAAATATGTTTTTATTTCCTTTTCCTCCATTTCATTTTTTCATCCTCCATATTATTATCCTCCATAACGCATAGTTATCACTTCTGCATCTTTTTGTTGCTTATTTGCAGTGTGTTTATTGCCAAGCTCTTCTCTACGCGACGGGACCCGCATCAGTAACTTTATTGTATTCATTATATATTTATATAAAGTAGGGTGCTTCAAAAATTTTTTTTATTTCTGTTTAGCTCTTACCTTCTCAAATGTTTCTTTTTGATATAAAAAAAAATCCTCACCAAAGATGAGCCCTGTAGCTCAACTCTAAGGGGTCGCTATTTTTATTTCAGTTTCCCATTTAATTAACATCGGAAAAATTCTTTTTTCACTGAAATTAAAAAACAATTTTCTTTTTACATGTTATTTAAATGGGAAACTAAAATAAAAATAGCGACCCTTTAGGGTTGAGCTACAGGGTTCATCTTTGGTGAGGATTTTTTTTATATCAAAAAGAAAATTTGAGAGGGTATGAGCTAAAAAAAATATTTTTTTTTGAAGCACCCTAATATACAGGGTATAAAGAAGATACGGAAATATTGCCGTTTCTATTTTAAATACCCTGTACAGTGCTTTCGTAAATAAATGAGTTTATCGCATCGAATTTTTCGCAAATATTTGGAATGTTGAAAAATATTTTTATGATAAATGGGGCATGCAATAAAATAGTTTTTATTTTGTTATCTTGTAAACGGAGCAAGATTAGAAAAATTCAAGAGAAGAAAAAGTAGGAGTTTTAGTCGTTCCATCTCTAGAGAAGTATGGAAATTAAATTAAAGTCAGTGGCGTACATTTTTATCACTAAATTTTCTAAAATTGGCCCATTTTTTAATTTTTACTGAGTTAGGGTCAAATCAGCCCTTTATCGCTATCAACAACGCTACCTAATTTGAAACAAATCCGTGAGAACAGATTTCAATTAATATAAAAAACATTATTTGAAAAAAAAACAACACTTGGAAACTTGGAAACGATGCATTTATGGGTAATTTTTAAATAAAATATACTCTATATATATATACTCTATATATATATATATATATATATATATATATATATATATATATATATATATATATATATATATATATATATATATATATATATATATATATATATATATATATATATATATATATATATATATATATATATATATATATATATATATATATATATATATATATATATATGTATGTATAATATATATAACCATGTACAACCAAAAATTATTCTCTGCTTCGCCGCGCTCAGGCGTCGTCACGGGTGTTCACATGGCCGAGCTGTGCTACAGACAGTACAAGACTGTACCGAGGATCCTTCTGTGGCTCATGATGGAGCTCGCGATCATAGGATCTGACATGCAAGAGGTTATAGGCACTGCCATTGCCATTTTCCTCTTATCGGACAAAAGGCGGGTCATTTTGCGCCCGTTGGAAAAAAAATCTGACGAAACGTTTGCAGGGTACCTCTCTGGGTGGGAGTACTGGTTACGATTCTGGATACCTTTACTTTCCTGTTCCTGGATAAGTATGGCCTGAGGAAACTCGAAGCGTTCTTCGTGTTCCTCATCGGCGTGATGACGGTGACCTTCGGTTACGAATATATCGCGTCGAAACCCGACAGTTTGCAGATCACCAAAGGGATGTTTTACCCTTGGTGCGAGGGATGCGACGACAGGGCCGTGCTCCAAGCGGTCGGTATCATAGGTGCCATCATAATGCCACACAATTTCTACTTGCATTCGGCTCTGGTAAAGTCGAGGGAGGTCGATCGCAAGAGAAAAGACAAAGTGCGCGAGGCCAACTTTTATTACTTCGTCGAATGCTCGATCGCCATTTTGGTCAGTTTGTTCATCAACGTGTTCGTTTTGGCAGTGTTCGCGCACGGACTCTATTCGAAAACCAATAAGGAAGTGGTGAGTATCTGATGATGTCGCAAGACACTAAAAAAACGCGAAAGCCACATTTTTGCATTCTGGAAATTGACAGAATTCGTAAAATTCGTATTGTGAAAGAGTTTATCAATATTATAACATGAAAATAGGATAGGAAACGTTTTCAGTTAATTTCCAATTAACCGTCATTGTCAACCATAGCATATCTCCTTTTATTCGTCTTCTTCACATTTTACGTAACGTTGGTTAGGTATACTAGACACACTCGCCCAATCATAGCATATCAGCGACTTACAATATCTCAGAGACGCTTTTATACTCGAATCCACCAATACACATCCTAATCCTTCTGTTAAGAAAATGTTGATTAACGCTTACTGGAAATTCACTTAATTGACGAATCCGCAATGATATTTTAGCAACGCTGCATAATTTTTTTTAGCGTCATCTGAGGAGTAATTTTGGAACATATTTCTAATGAAAAATGTCATTTTTTACTGGCACTTCATAGGTTAGAAACTGCGGTGTTATTTTTTTGCTGTTGTTTGTGTGGTAAGGTAAGAAATAAATTTCATAAAAAGCACTTTTCTCATACAAGCAAATTGTCAAGAACATATTGACTATTATTAATTTAGGCATTATGTTGTTTACCTCAGTACTTTTACCCACTTTTGTAAAAACCCACAAAAAATCTTCCCAAAATCGAACAGTTTTTTGCCTCAAGTCTTAGGTGATAATTTAAAATACAAAAATTGAAAGTTATAACCTGGTCCTCAGTTAGGAAGCTAATACGACGCACGGTGGGGCAGAGGTTTCCCAAACTTGAAAAAAATTGCAATGGCAAATTTAAAACAAACTGTTTCTATTCGTATAGTTTGTTTGTCATAATCAAGGCAAAAATAGTTAATGGGAACCTTCCCCCTCTCCACCTTACAATGAGATTTGCGGAATTAATGGTTAAAAAGTAGTGGAATATTTCCAAACTCTTATAGATACCTAAAAATGTAGTAAAAGCGTTTAAGAAAATTTACATTAGAATTTTCATTAGCTAACAGCTGATTTTGAACATCTGTTGGTAGAAACATAGATAAAGCTGCTTTGAAAAATGCCTTTTGGGGTATTTCGAATGCCCATAATAAAAGCGTCACATGAAAGCAAAATCTTAAAGATATCTTCTTTTGTTTTGATTCGGGAAACTTTTAATGAAAACCCTTCCCTATAGTTTTTTACTTCTTTGTTTGTTTCTACTTTCTGCTGTTTCCTCCGATAATTGACCAACGGGAAGAAGAGCCGCACTAATTACTTCTGCGCCATGAATTAGAACGAGGTGGACCACGGATATGTTGCCACTAATATCCTCGCCGTCCCAATAGTGAAAGATTTAAACAAGTTTTCATAAATTCATAAATTGTAGATTGTCCATCTGGCCTTCTATGTGCTATTTTTCCTTTAAAGAAATTTCTGTCGATCTTTAATAACCACTTTAAATGGTACTAACTATCTAACAAAGGCACTTGGGTCTGATTCCCAAGAATTCTCGAATTTCTGCTTATATTTCTTACGATCAGAGCCTCCATCGTAGCCATATTTACAAACTAAAAGCAAAAGGCTCAGCTCATGGTCATCAAATTGAATCAAAATATAAAATATATAAATAAATAATAAAAATATCTCTTTCAGAAGTATCGTTTAGTAGGTCCGTACATATGGATGAAATTTCTATTATGGTGGTAAAGTGGGTAAGCATTCTTCGCTTCGTGTATAATTTTGTATGATGGAAAACGATCTATATCATTTCTTTTCTGGAGATTGCATTGTTCAAAGCACTTATGTATTTTGCTCCCCTATTAGAACTGGATGTAGTTATCTCATTGCTGGCACGTTTTGTCTTAAATCTGGAGTTTTTTGTCGCTTAGTACGTTCGGTATGTATTTGCCCGGTGTACTTCTCAAACCTAATACACCTTCAAGCCATTTCTGTTTTTTTCTAAGAATACATGATGATTTTTGGATGCGTTTTGCCACTTATCTCTGAATTGCAGATTAGAATTGCAAATTAGATACAAGAAGCGAGATTTCCGAAACATTCTTATCTGAAAAATTGGTTATTCCTTTGACAAATTCTTTAATGCAGCTGTACTGCCTGTTACTTTTTACAGAAAAACATGCTTGAATCTTATTCCAAAGATTGCTTTAGATTATTTCTATGTAAGCGACTTCATTCTGGAACAAAATTAAAAATATTTATTCTTACATATTCGAGATACTGTCATTTTGTAAAAACATCGAAACAATGAAAAGTATATTGAAGTGTAATAAGCAAAATCTCGCAATAGTATAATATGCAACAAGTGCGGTAAACGTCATTTGACTCACGAATTTAATAAACGAGTGACTTAAAAAGTTTACCGAACGTGTTGCATACTACACGTTTTCTACGACCGTTAGTTTGTGGGTACATTTTCGTAAAACAACAAGAATGCATTCACTGAATTGGCAAACGTCAAAATTCAAAGCGTGGGAAATATCTCCGAAAACATCCGATTGCTCCCGGAAATGTCCGAAGTGGCTCGGATACATGGGAAACGAAACTGATGTGGTAAAGTGACGCTTCCCTCACGATAGATCGGTGTGTAATTAGGTATTTTACAGACGGGAGTAGAAAATTAGTATATTATGCAACAAGTGCGGTAAAGGGCATGTGACTCACTTGTTTATTTGACACGAGCGGAGCGCAGCGGAGCGAATTTTTAATAAACGAGTAACTTAAAAATTTACCGAACTTGTTACATACTATACTTTTTCTACGACCGTTAGTTTTTGGGTACATTTTCGCCGAACAACACGAATACATTCACTGACATGGCCGTCAGAATTGACAAACGTCAAATTGAAGGCGTGGGAAATATATCCTAAATCATCCGATTACTCCCAGACGCGTGCGGTAAAACCCCGGAAATGTCCGAAGTGGCTCGGATCCGTGGGAAACGAAACTGACGTGATAAAGTGACGCTTCCCGCACGCTAGATCGGTGTGTAATTAGGTATTTTACAGACGGGAGCAGAAAAAAGATTTTAATTGGATATTTTAATATGAACGACAGTCAACAACACACTACAAAAACTTCAGTGGAATATGGCGGAATGTGTAACTTTTTAACAAAGCAAATTCATAAATAATAAAAATAAATCATAGGCAAAAATGAAAATAATGCATATGTGCAGACAGCAAATTAGTAGAGATTATTTGAGTTATACGAAAAATTTAACTACTTACTAGACCTACAGGCAGACATCCTTGTTTTTTATATTTGAGTTTTCAACTAGAAATGTAAACCTCAGTATAGCACAGTTTTCTAACAAATAAAAACTCAATAACAAAAAAAAATTATTAAAGGGATAAGTTTACATGACTTGTAATTAGTTTGTTTTGCAAACTAACATATTTTGAATTTGGATTTTTTTAACGTTCGGGTGGCCCCTGCCTCTTCTGTGCGTCGTAAGATACTGTTTTTGTGTTCCGAAAAACGTCAAAATTCGTAAAATTCGTATTGTGAAAGAGTTATTATAACACCCAAATATGATTAAACGTTTTCAATTAACTTCCAAATTGATCGTCATTTTCAACGTTGTTTACACCATATCATATAATAATAATAATAATAATAATAATATATTTTATTCGGATAGTTTCGACAAGGAAAATGACAAGAAAAGGCAAGCGCCCAGACATATCTGCTTGCTGATTTCTACACTTATCCTCACACATACATCACACACAATGTTTACGATTGCATTAAGTACTCACTTAATTATGTAACAGAAAGAAAAACCTAAACCTACCGCTGTAAATAAAAAAACTATTAGCGAAAGTCGAGGCTAAAGTACTGTAAGTACCACAAATTTTTAAAGAATTCTAGCAGTGCACATTGGTTTGATTCTTCCTGCGTTCTGTAACTTCTCAATGTTTTTTTTTTTCATTTTTTTCTCTTTAAATTCTAGAACATTGTCACGTTTTTAGTTTATTTGGAAAAGAATTTATTGTCACATTCTGAACGGAATGGGGCAGGTCATTATATAGTTTAACCAAGTCGTAACTGAAGGATCTTTCAAATATACCAGATCGGTGACGAGGAACTATGACCCCTTTAAATCTTAGATTTAAGTTATTCACGTCTGTTCTAAAAGTTATTTTTGGGAGAGGTATTCGAGATATTTTGTTTTAATTATTTTGAAATAAAGTCAACAGCGATGGATCAAGCGCCGCTTCTTCATGTTCGTCCAACCCGCTTCCTTCAGCTTGTAGCTGATAGATCTTCGGCGGCGGATGCCGTAAATAAACCTCAAGCAGCATTTTTGAATTTTTTCAATACATTGTGACGAATTAGCTGTCGAACAAGGCCCATATACGACATCACAGTGATTAAACACGGAGAGAACAAGAACGTCGCATACAACCCTTTTAAACGGCCAATAGCCCTTTGCGTACAAGTCGAAATATGCTTTTCAAAGCGAAATTTTGTATCTAAAAGTAACCCCATATTTTTTGCCTCGTTTTGAAGTGGAACAGTAATATTATTTATTTTTATGATTACTTCAGAAGCAAGACGCTCAACATCCACCGGGCGACCAAAAAACATTACAGAAGATTTTTTTGGGTTTAAAACAAACCGCGATCTCTGGAAATTCTGTCAACTCGTTCCAGGTCCCTGTTGATATTTTGGCACTCAAACTGCAACCTATAGGGGTCAAAAACATGGTAGAGCTGCTTGTCATCAGCATATGATTGTCCTTTGCAATGTTCGAGAAAATCTAAGAATTTTGTTGTGAAAACAATAAACAGAACAGGAGCCAAAATTGAGCCTTGATGAACTCCACTTCGTATGTCTGGGCAAGTAGACTCGACCCCGTTCATATCTCCTTTTATTCTTCTTCTTCATATTTTACGTAACGTTGGATACTTTTGCGAGGGACACTCGCCCAGTCACAGCATATTAGTAATTTACAATACCTCAAACTTGAGGAATGCAGAAGATTTGTAAATAGTAGCCTGTGAAAGTTTAAAAACTGCCGGAAAGTAATTATAATTCTAATTTTAAACTTCTACCTGCCACTGTCCGGGAGTCTTCGCCGTCAACACAGGTACAATAATACTCTATAGAGTACGGCAAACAGCACAGTTCAATAATTATTCATAACTCTCTTGCATTAAGAAACAGAGCATAATTTATATCTTTTTTCATATTTTTATTGTCCAATAAAAGAAAAGCACGAAAGGTCACCAAAAAATTATATTTAGTAAGTGAACTACGTTAAACTATTCCTTACAAGCTAAGTCAACTTAACAAATAATTACAGCTTTTTATTGCAGTGGGTTAATTGGTATTTGGTATTGGTATTGGTATTGGTATTAAAGGGGGGCGCCCTCGCGGGCGTCCAAGCACTTAGGCCACCAGATGGGCCCGTTGTGCCCCCAGGCCGCTCTAGAGGGCGTCCAGAATGCCGCCCCTCCTGTAGAAGGTCAGCAACTCCTTTAGCCCAATACCGTGCACTGAGTCCGGATCGATCAGGGCCGTTCCGAAGACTCCCAATCTTGCCCATGTCAAGGCAGGGCACTCGGTGAGCAGATGATACGGGGTCTCCTCCCCTTCCATGCACCACCTACACTCCGGGTCGTCTCCAATGCCTAGCAAGCAAAGATGCCTCCTAAGCCTGCAATGTCCTGTGTAGGCCCCTGTTAGTGCTCTACACTCCCTTCTGGTCAGTCTAAGCAGCTCCCTGGTCCGAGGAAGGGCGGGTCCATCCATCATAAGCCGCGCCTGCCTCATTCCCGGAGCAACTCTCCAGCCCCCCGCGGCCCGGTCTCTCGCCCAGGCTTCGAGAGCTCCCCGCCTCACACACGGGGCGATCCCCAAGCGGGGCTCTGGCTCTATATGCCTATGCGAGGAGCCCTCCCTGGCTAAGGCGTCCGCTGCCTCATTGCCCCGGATACCGGTGTGACCCGGGACCCAGACCAACGTGACCTTTCTCTCCTCAGCCACCCTCCTCAGTACCTCTTTGCACTCCTTTATCAACAAGGAGCGCGTACGCTCTACGTACGACTTCAGCGCCATAAGTGCAGCCCTACTATCCGAGCAGAAGAAGACTCTCCTGCTTCCGTAGTTGAACCGAAGCGCCTCTCTGACCGCCATCAATAAAGCGAAAATTTCCGCCTGAAACACAGTGCAGTACTGATCCAGAGGGACCGACAAGCTTGATCCCGTTGTCTCGCAGTACGCTCCAGCTCCGGCCAGATCTCCCATTCTGGACCCGTCCGTGTACCAGACAAGTCCATCCCAGGAGCCGACTCTGCCCTCTCTCCAATCTTCCCTTGATGGAAAGAGAAAGGTCAATTTATCAAAGAAGGTCATCTCGGGGATCATAACGTCACTCGGCATGCACATGACCCCGCGATCCCCGCGACAGCCCTCTAAAATGTCTTACGGACCCCGATTGAAGGTTCCCTCCCTCCAGAGCCCGCAGCTCGCTAGCCTCACAGCTGTCCTGGCCGCCTCCATCTGCACCCGATCCGCCAGAAAGGACAGCCCCACCAGAGCCTCCAGGGCCGTCGTGGGCGCCGTTCTCATGGCGTCCGTTATGCAGAGGCAAGCTAATCTCTGCAGTCTGTCAAGAACTAGCCTTGCTCCCGCTCTTTTGGTCCCCGGCCACCATGCCACTGCCCCATGCGTGAGCATAGGCACCACCATGGTACCTTAGATCCACTGCATGATCTTTGGCCCCAGGCCCGAAGTGCCCCCTACCGCTCTCCGGCACGCCCACAGAGCTCCAAAGGCCGATCTGGTCCTTAATCTTATATATTCCTGGAAGGTCAACTTAGAGTCCAACCATACACCCAAGTACTTGACACTTCCGCTTGCAGAAAGAGGCACCCCATCCATCGAAATGTTGAGGTTGCACTCCATCTTCCTTTTCCTAGTGAAGATGACCATCTCCACCTTGCCAGGATTGACAGCCGACTTGCTGTCCAGGCACCATTGTGAGAATCTTGCCAATGCCCCGTTCAGGAGCCCCTGGATCCTCCTCACGTCCGTCCCCTGTGTCATTATCACAAGGTCGTCTGCATATGCCTGAGCATAGACCCCGTGTTCCTCCCTCAGAATAAGCAATATCTCGTTCACCACTAGGCACCACAGGAACGGGGACAAGACCCTGCCCTGTGGGCAACCTCGTGATGAACCGATGGAGACCTGCTCCCCACCCAGTCTTGCCTCCACCCTCCTGTCGGTTAGCATGGAGCGGATCCACCTTACAATGGCCGTCCCCACTCCAGTACTCTCCACCGCCCTGCAGATCCAGTACAGGGCCGTGTTATTGAAAGCCCCTTCGATGTCAGCGAACACGCACACCGACAGCCGTCCCGAGCCCATACCCTCCTCCAACCTGGAAGTCAGATGGTGAAGAGCTGAGCCCACAGACCCGCCACTTCGGTACGCATGCTGAGCTGGCTCTAAAGGGGCCTCCAGCTTCACCCAGTCCCTCAGATACCGGTCCACCAGTCTCTCCAGAGTCTTCATAATGAAGCTGGTGAGCCAAACAGGCCGGTACGACTTCGGGTCCGTGTAGTTTAATTGGTATACTGTCTTAAGTGTCGTTTGAAGGTTTTAGCGTGTAATTTGAGTGATGTCTAGATACAGCCAACGTTTGCCTGTTTCGAGAAATGTAGGGATTACAGTTAAAGTATATTTTTTCCCAAAACGAAAGGAGATTCAATCAAATTGTTTACAACATTATAAAAAAAAAATAAATCATAATTTGTTCTATGATTTCGCTAAGACTGCATATAATAGAAATTAACTATAACTGAAAAAATCAACAATACGCTATTGGAAGTTAACAAAGAGTTAATACGTGTAAAAATGAAAAAACAAAACTGAACTAAAATAAAAACTATCCGAGCAGTTAAAATTAAACTGTCGCGTAAGCGTAATAAACTTTCGCAACTCTAGCACGATCTGTGCGCGAACCATCCGTCCATGGACGCGTCCGTGTTTCCCGTAGACGCGGACAACGCGGACCAACTCGTCGATTCGGACATCTACAACGGGGGCATCTTTTTGGGCTGCGCTTACGGACCACCGGCCATGTACATCTGGGCGATCGGCATATTAGCAGCGGGTCAAAGTTCAACCATGACAGGTACCCAAGTTACGGCACAAATTAATTCGAAAAGCTTTAGTATAAATAATAGCTTGATGAGTTATTATTTATTAAATTTATTTATATTATATATATTATTAAAACTATTTATAAATCTTGCTGGCTTTCTTATATATTGTTTGAGGGACTGGACTGAAACACTCTGTATATTGTTTACCCTAATGTTTGTAAATCACCGACAAAACAAAAAAGATCATATGCAATGTTACCCTGAAATTGAAAATAACCGAATTATCAGCACATTTCTTTTTTAGACTAGATGGTTATGAGCGGTTAGAAAACTAACCAAAACTCCATGTTCCTTTTACTGTTTTATTTGAGCGTAACAAACAATAATAATAACACCAATTTCCACGTCTTCATTTATTATAAAAATTTTTCGTCTGTTTCTTCTTTTAGCCTAATCGGTTTCATTATTTCTAAAGATTCGATAAAGACGCAAAAAAAATTGATCAAAGAAGGCTGTGCAAAATAATGATCGCCCTGCCAGATAGAAAACTAGTTCTATTGTTATTAATGATTTAAATTATTTTACTGTATTACCTATTCAAAGTAGGTAGCGAGTAGGGTGCCTTCTGACCCGGAAGGCTAGCACACATGGAGCGGAGTAAAGAAAGAGCAGAGAGCAAAAGCAGGAGTGGGTATATTAATAAAGAAAAAAAATTAGAAAAAACATCAAAACATGGGAAACTCATAATAATGCGGATCACGATCTAGAGCAGAGCTATATTTGGCGCTTACGGACCTAATAACGATAGACCGATTGCGGAAAAAGAAAGCTTCTCGGATGAAATACAAAAAGAGAGAACACAAATAAAACAAAAGGAGGAAATTATCATTGCAGGAGACTTAAACGGAAGGGTGGGTAGAAAAGAAAATAACGTAATAGGAAAATACGGAAAAGAGGTAGCTAGTGATAACGGAGAAAGAATTATCGAACTATGCGAAATGAAAGACCTTCAAGGTACAAACGCATTTTTCTGACATAAAGACATCTATAAATACAACTGGACCCAAGAAAGCAGAAACATAAAAAAATCTATAATAGATTACATTATTATACAAATACAATCCACAATTAAAATAAAGGAGCAGAATATGGAAGTGACCATAGAGTGTTGTTGGCAAAGATAGAGTTCCCTTGGATAGGAAGAAGAACTCGTACCAACGAAAAAAAAACATTGGAAAATCAAAAATTCACTTACTCCAGGTCGATACATAACCTCTATCAAAGAAGACTGGATCAGAAGCTTTCACAATTTAAATATGAAGACAATATACAAGATGCATACCAACGCGTGAAAGAATGTATGCTACGAGCAGGAATAGAAGAAGGAAAAGAGAGAAAATATCAAAATACCGTCAGTGATAACACGATAAACGAAATAAAAGAAAAGAAACAACTATGCATCAAATGACTCAGTACTAACAACGAATAGAACAACAGAAAATTTAAAGAAAAAAATAGAGAAGTAAAACTGGTAAACAAGTAAAAGAACGAAAACTGGCAAAAGAAGGAGAGCAAGAAATAAAGAATAGGCTCCATTCAGTTATAGGGACAAGAACAAGATAGATCCGATTAAAGGAAGGCTGCGGCTGTAGACTACCTATTCAAAAATGGGTTTTACACATGAAGAACAGCGCAACTTGTTAGAATGCTATTTAGCATACCGTAAATCGTCTGTAAGTGAAAGAAAACGATACATAAACAACCTATATCCACAGCACGTTCCACCACATGAAGGAGGCGAAAAAATTTGATTACAAGTGAAGACGTGGAAATTGGTGTTCTTGGATGTTTTGGAGCATCTCGTCACAATTTAATTCCAAACATAATCAAAGACTCTAACCTGTCTTTTAATACTGTCCAAAAGATTCTAAAACAACACAAATTTTGCCCTTATAAATTCCGATCAGCTCAGATGCTTTTGGCAGAGAATGCAGAAAGAACTTTTTGTGTCATTTATATGTTAACTTTTGTCGCCAAAACATAAATAATTTTCGATATATTTTGTGGACTAACGAATCAAAATTTTGAAATTATGGAATTCATAATCCGAAAAATCGTCAGTATTGGTCAAGAGAAAATTTATTGCTTGTATATCCACGAGGTCCACAAGTTCGTTTCAGCTTTAACGTTTGGTTCCCGCATTGCAATTATTACTGAAATTCTGGGTGTTCTAAATGAACTTCACCTCATAAGTAAGCAGAATCTCCATTTATAACAAGATGGCACTTATTCCTTCACCTCCTAGGTCACCAGATATAACCCCACTTGATTTCCACTTGTGATGTTAACGTTTTAAAGGCTAGGATATTTTTTATTTCCATGTTTCTTACGCACACTTAAACCATTAAAATGAAAATGGAAGTTTATTTCGCACCCACTCATAGCCATCTAGTCTAAAAGGGAAATGTGCTGATAATTCGGCTATTTTCATTGTAATTAGTGGAAAAAATGCCACTAGTTGGTTGCTATTGATGAACACTTAATTTAGATCAGCCTGTATAAGCAGGTACAGGGTAGAATGCGAACCAGTTTCAATTAAGCCCTGAAGAAGAAAAACAGGATGATTGCTGATAGAACTATAGTAACCTGTAGAAGTTTCTTTGGCAAATCTATTGATTAATTACAAGCTAAAATGTCACGTTAGTGGGCGCACACATGTTACAGTTTCCTCAGTAATTTTGGGCATTCCTGCACAGATAAACATAAAACAAACCAGTATCCTTCTCCTTCCTTATTACTTGATCTATTTTCCCTGCTACGGTATTCTCTCGCAGTTACATAGAATCAATACGCCTAGAAGTCTACTCTAGAGATAAATCTCTCACGAAGAAAGAGAGAAAGAATGTGAGGATGGTATGTGTGTAAGATATACTCGCACCGTTGCCAGTAAATTTTAAATATGTTAAAGCGATAATATCTTATTTGAATAATTATCTACAACCGAAATAATATTTTTATGGATTTTCTACGGATAAAGCTACAATATTTTCGGTTAGTTAATTTTTTTATTGGCAGTTCTGACGTAGAACAGAACAACGCAGTCAGTTGGAACTTGTGTGCCATTTTTGCAATAATTTCGTAATCCTGTCTCTCTTCGTTAGTGTACTTTTATATACTAGCCTTCTATTGAGAGATACCTTTCAATAGCCAACGCAGTAAAATGCTCGGTTCCCATCTTAATTTATTTGCTTTTTATAGGCACTTACGCCGGCCAGTTCGTTATGGAGGGTTTCCTCAATCTCAAATGGGCGAGATGGAAGCGTGTCCTCTTCACCAGAAGTCTCGCCATCATACCCACGTTTTGCGTGGCGTTTTTCACCAACATCGACGACCTAACTAATTTTAACGACATCTTAAACGCCGCAATGAGCGTTCAGTTGCCGTTCGCCCTCATCCCTCTCATAGCGTTTACGAGCAGTACCAGAATCATGGGCGAGTTTGCGAACGGAATGTAAGCGACCACAGACTACTAAACAACGCTCGTTAACTATTTTTCTATGCTCTCTTCTTCGTTGGTTTGCGATAAATATTACTCCAGCGTAATATAACCACATCTTTACAGAGATAAACAGAGGTTTCTAAAGAATAGAAGCAAGACGAATAACGTGATGGTATTATCATATTCGTTTTGCTTTGAATGCTTGTATATCTCCAGTTACACACCCGAATAGTCACATAAAATGTTAAAATGAACGGCAACAAAGCATTGCTGCTTCAAAATACAGCGTGCATTGACTCCAGTTCATTGTTGCCGACCTGTACCTTCCCTCTCTCTCTTATTTTTAGAGTATAAATAGTATAGCATAACGTTGCGAGGCTCGTTTACCAAAACAAAACACTCTTTATTCGTATATTAATTTAATAGTTCACACACGGCACTAAAACAAACAAGATTGCTTTCGAAAAATAGTAGCTAGGCGGGGTATGTTCGTAGCGCGTAGGAGCTTTTTATTTTAAAAAGGTGGCGGCTTCGCGGTCTTGCCCTAGAGGGACGGATTAACTTGCGGACCACCTATGGAACTTTCGTAAAATCGATGTAATTACATTGTGTACACACCCTGTATAAAGCGTCTTTTACTTATCGCCGTACTAGTAATAACGATGTCCAATTGTATTATTCCAAGTATCTTGCGCACTCTGTATAATAGACGAAACCTGAAACTTGATACTGTTTACGACAAATTGGTTAAGGCTTTCGCGACCCGTTGATAAGCTATTATCTTGATTCGGGTTTAAAGGCCGTCGTCGATTGGAATTACTTCCTAACGTTTCGCTAGCACGAGTGGCGAGCTTCTTCAGAGGTACTTCCATCTCCGATGTTGGACGTAGACTGACGATTTCTCCTGCGCAGGTTGTATTTATGCCGATTGGTGGTGGGCGGGGCTTGTTCCGCTTCGGTTGGTCTCGGGATATCGATCGGTACTGCTCGGGCGTTCCTAGGGATCGGGTTCCAGATTTGGTTGAGTCTAAGGGTCTCCTCCTTTCTGTTGAAATTGTGTGGGTGTTTTTGTATCTCAATGACTTCCCTGACTAGTCTGTTGTGATAGCCGTTGACCGATGCTAGTAACTTACAGCTCTCAAAGTGTATCCTGTGTTCCCCGCTGCCCAGTGCGTGTTCAGCTACTGCAGACTTCTCTCTCTGCCCTAGCCTGCAGCTTGCTTTATGCTCCTTAAGTCTCGTTCCAATTGATCTCTTGGTAGTTCCGATGTAGACCTTTCCGCATGAACACGGAATGCGGTAGACTCCTTCAGCTGAAAGTGAGTCCCTCTTGTCCTTCGCTGACCTGATGGTCTGCTGGATCTTCTTTGTAGGCTTAAAGATTGTTTTGATGTCGTGTCTTTTCAATACCCTGCCAATCCTGTCGGTGACACTCGGAATATACGGCAGATATGCGTGAGAGGTGGAGGGTCGTTATTCGGTATCCCGCGATCTTGATGATCTTGAGTTCATTGATCTCTCGATCTCCCTCTTGCTGTAGGCATTTGCCTCGAACGCAGTTTTCAGGTGTTCAAGTTCCATCTGGAGGTTCTCCGGTTCGCAAATCCTTCGGGCTCGTTCTGTCAGGGTTCTGATAACCCCACATACTTTTGACTTGGGTGATGGTTGGATAGAGCATGCAGGTATCGGTCCGTATGGGTTGGTTTTCTGTACACTGTGTGGCCCAGCTTGTTACCTCGCTTCCTCACTAGTACGTCTAAGAATGCAAGTTGTTGGTGATTTTCAGTCTCCATAGTAAACTGGATGCTGGGATGCTGACTGTTGAGATGTTGTTGAGCTTGTCCATACCATGTTTCCAAATCACGAAGGTGTCATCCACGTACCGGAACCACGTTGCTGGATGCTGGTTGCTGACTAGCAATGACCAACAACTTGCATTCTAGTAAATGGTAAAATAGTAAATGGTTTTCGAGAAACTAAGTTTTTTCTGCGTCATAATAATCAATGACGTCATCGCGTCTTCACCGAGCCCCCGAATAGCGACTTTAAAATGGATTTTTTCGTATACCCCAGCAGCGTATGTGACGAAAACCGCAAATACAAAAATTTTAACTCTTGATGCGGCCTATGACAGTGTTTGAACCTGTTAACCATAATTCTATAACTTATTCTGTAAAACAACAATTTCCTAGGTCTTTTAGATTTTTGCCTATAATTTGAAAACCCTGTATATAATCGACAAAATGCCTGAAATAAATGTTGTTGCACTTCCGCGTCTGCTGGTTAAAGAATTTTGCCGAGCGGGTGAACGATTAAGAAGATATTTTTCTGGAAGCCAAAATTACCAAAAAAAAAAATAATCAAGAGACGAGAACGGACAAACAGACAAAAAAATTTTTTCGACGTTGATCATTTCTATGCCAAAAATTTTTATATGAGCGTAGAAAAATTCGATTTTATCGATTTTCGAAAGTAACAAGAAAAATAAAATAAGGGTTCGGCGTCGGACTGGAGATCGACAACCAACATCCTTGATTCGCATTGCGTACTGCTGGCGGCTTCTTTTTAGTTCGCACCTGTTTGGCGTCTAGGTTAGACGGCGTGTGTGAGTATGTGATGTAAATCAAGGTATCTTGACGTTAATTGCAAGGACACTTCTTTGTTGGTTTATATCTTCTTCACATGGGTACCTCTTCTTCGTATATAGTGGGGCTACACACTTTCTTAATAGTGTAAGGTCCACCTTTCTTAGGATCAAACTGGGAAGAGCAAGAGGCCTTTGACTGACTTGGCGCGTGTACTTCTACCATAACTTGATCCCCTACGGTATAACTTTCTTCCCTTCGACTTTTGTCGGCATATGTCTTTGCTCGATCTTGACATTTCTCAATGGTTTCACGAACTTCCTGTAGAGTTTTGGATATGAGTTGGAGGTAAGGAGCAATTTGAGTTGAAAAATTTTCATCTTCCACTATTGACCAAAAATCTCTGATTACGTCATCGGGTGTCCTAAGCTCGCGAACAAAATTCACGTAAGACGCAATGACTCTTGGAAGTGTTCATAGCGAATCTGATGCTTGGCATTCCACTTGGTGTGATCGTTCTGGACTAATATAGCCAATTGAGTATTAAGATCCCTACTCTTTCTCTCCACTGGGTTGCTCTCTGGATGATAAACAGGTTTTTGAAGTTTTTTTGGAAAATTAAGTATTATATAACGTAATATAACTTCGTCGATGCGTTATCGGGAACAGGCTTCGGCGCTAGCATATTTTAGGGGGAATAATTATATACGTCTTGTGGCAGTGTCTTCCATAATAAATATCTATTTGTCACCTTCTGGTGTCTCCGGTAGTGGTCTAATTAAATCAATGGACAAAACCTCGAATCGTTTGTTCTGTATCGAGGTTTGCAATACACCAGTTGTTTTAAATTCATCGGTTTGAATCTCTGGCATTCCAAACTTTGATGAATGTAGCAAGTTACATCTCGACGGAGACTTTTCGATGTCAAGCTCTTTTAGCTCTGCTTCGCGCAATTCTTTGGCATTCAGCCTGGGTAAGTCGATGCTTAATAATGCGATCTCAAATTCGTCCAAATTTGGTCGCGACAATGTATCGGCGATGACATTCAATCGGCCAATTACATATTCGATTTTGAGGTCAAATTCTTGAAGAGTGAATGACCATCGAGCTAACCTTCTGCCATTTTAATGGTTGGTAATCGCTCTTGACGATGCAATTAGTTCCTTCTAGGTATCCTCTAAATTTGTTGCAGCTCCACACGACTGCGACTGCTTCTCTCTCCGTGGTAAGTTCCTTTCCCCGGAGGTTAATAGTCGACTGGGATACTCGATTGGCACTTTCTCTGCGTAGGACATAAGGTAGCCAGTTATCTGCCTGTTGTAATATTGGGGTACTGCTGAGCAAATCTTTCAGTTTACAAACGTTTTTTCGTTAAGTCGGTGAGTGGTCGTGGTGCGACGTCTGCGTAGGTTGGTAGGAACTTCCGAAACCATGAACAAGTCTGGAGAAAATTCAGAAGTTGCTTGATGTTTGGGGACTTCATTACGTTTATCGCTGCCGTCTGCGCCGGATTGGGTCTAATTCCTTCCTGGGTTATCAAGTGTCCTAAGTACTGCACTGTATAGCATGCGAATGAACACTTTTTCCTGTTCAGTCGAAGTTTGAAGATTTGCAGACGGTCAAAAGTATTCTGCAAGTCGCATAGGTGGTCTTTAAATGTGGCGGACAAGATGATGATGTCGTCTAGATAGGCTAGTATCGAGATTTCTTGAAGTCCAGATCGAAATCGATCGATTAGCCTCTGGAACATGGAAGGGGCTGTTGTCAAGCCACATGGTATTCGGTTGTATTAAAGTAATCCGAAAGGTGTGATGAATGCGGTTTTGTCTCTGTCTCCGATTTTAAATCACGTGTTGTCATGTATCTAATCCGTTTTGCCATGTCATCGAGTCTTGGTAGTGGATATTTGTCCGATTGTGTAATAGCGTTCAAACGTTGATAAGTCACCCAAAGTCGAACTTCGCCATCTTTTTTTGGGACTAATACAACGAATGAGGAATACGTTGATTCACATTCCTCAATCACAATCCCATAGTTTGTCTGGTTCTTTTCGAAGGATTCTTCACAAGTCTTTGTTTCCATCCGCTAACGTCATTAGCAAAGATCGTACTATAAATGGGATTTTGTGCTTCATTAGCAATTTTCTTAAGATGCGACATTGGTCTTTGCTCCTCTGTCGATGAAAGCTACACCTAATGCATCAAGAATACCAATTTAAACATCTTCCGTTGATGATTGACACAAAAAAAATCTGTGGAAAGCGTATTGATATGCGTATGATATGATTGATTTGCAATTTGGGCAATTGGTTCTGGCATGACCAACTTTTCCGCATCCGTAGCAAACAATTTGCCGTTTTGCTTCTGCTTTGTTTTTCAACTTTCGTCTTTCATTCATCCCGCTTCTCCTTGTCATGTAATCTTGCTAATTTTCGGCATTCCTCCACCGAATGGCCAAAATTCTTGCAGTAGTTGCACTGAATTTTGTTTTTCTTGGTTGCAGATGACACTCTGTGATTAGTCTTCTTAAAAGTTGAGACTTTTATGCATTTCCTCTCTTCAATTCTGGCAGCTTCAATGAGGCCACGAAATGTTTTAATTTGTCCCTGGTAAATCTCTCAAGAATTTGATGATGCGTTTCAGGCAAACAAGGCAGTAAAGCGCGTGCTTTACTTACAAAAATGTCAGTTGCTTCGTCAGTACTTTCTTCACATGAAAATAGTTCTCTGTATATTTGGTAAGTAGGTTTTGTATAACCATAGGCCTGTAGCTTTTGAAAAATTTCTGGAGTCATGACAATTTGGTTCAGGACCGGTTTTTTTTAACGTTCTCCTCGACCGTAAGTACATAAACTGAATAACAAAATTTACGCGACTTGACCTACTCAATTCAGCCAAGGCAGCTCTTTGACTTACTCATTTCAGCCAAAATCACTTTTAACGGATATGTCTCTCAGAACAGTCGCGCTATATCTACTTTCACAGATCCACAAAAGTCGCTACGAGTTTGTTGGGCCAAGAAATGCTGTTTGAGTGTCGAACTGTCGCTACAGTGTCGGGAAATACATCACACACGCCACTATAACAAACAAGAAAAGGGGTTCGGAGTCGGACCGGGGATCGACCTTCGATTCGCACTGCGTGCTGCAGGCGGCTTCTTCTTAGTTCGTGCCTGTCTGGCGCTTACGGTTAAACGTCGAGTGGAGGGACGTACTTAACTTTCGTGTTACAATAGTATACATAGGTATATGCTCTGTTCTCTCTTTTCTCGGTCAATTCAACAACAACCAACCAAATACTTGGTAAACCAACAACACCATTGGACCACGGTCAAACAGAACGGAGGAGTTAAATGTTGACTGTAGCTGTTGCCTTTCTGCATTAAACCTATGCAGAAATAAGCAGTTATTTGATTAGTTTTGTTTAGTTTCTGTGATCCTTTTGTGGAGTTGAGGGAGAAGAGAGACTTATTATTTAAAAGTGCGTACATAGGAGAGATAGTACAACTGGCAACAATGAACTAGAGCCAAACATACTAAAAGTTGTGCCGAAACTATGAAAACTGCATCTTACGACCTGTCAAATGTCAATTTCATAAGCTAACTTTCGCAGTTCCCATTTTTAAGTAAAAATTGGGTAGTACCAAAAATTCGGAAATGGATTTATTGAGCAAGAATTGATTTAAAACCTAAAACTGTTCCCTTCTATGCTCGACTTCCGCCCAAAAAAAAATCCTAAAAAATCCATTTGGAGTAACTTGCCAAATTTAACTGAGAAACAATTAACGATGGAGAAAACAAAAGTAAAATTGAAAAGTTTAATTTAATATACAGGGTTTTCGGCTCATCTGAGGTACATACTAGTTTTCTTATTTTAAACGAAACAACTAATAACAATACTTAATAGCAGCATTGCATTATTATCGATACAATTATAAAAACACGTGGGTTCCATTTGTTAAAATTGTTTTTTATGATTTGATTGTTGTACCTAATTCTTGCTCACCATCTATTAATTTACATCCGAAATATCCACTTAATGTATGACAATAAGCCCTATTTCACAAGGAATAAATCCACAATTAAATAATCGGGGCTCCATAATGGGAAAAATTGTTGACGTAATTTTTGACGTAAAATTCAATATTTGTCGAAAACATTTAGACTTAGGTATAGGGGTATACATGAAATATGTCTATAATTTCCTAGGGAATCCAAAACTACACGCGGTTTTCTATTTAAAATAAAGAAGAAATTAAAAATCCAGATGCAACTTTTATATTTAATATTTTTTTCAATTTTCAATTTTCTGAGTTAAGGGAACCGGAACCTTTTTTTAGAGATCTTTTAGAGACACTCTATATTATACTATACTCTATACCGGGTGTTTCAAATTTGACTCGGTAACGGTACAGGGCGATCTAAATTAAAGCAAAGTTGCGCATCGGTGAGTTCAATAATGTTCCGTTTTGAAATTGAAGTAATTTTTGATACTTCCCGAACTATGGCGGAGAACTTAAAACTTCCGCATTTTGTTTTTATTTTTTTATCCCTTTATTTTAAAAATTTGCAAAAATCTGAAAATACATTCTCATTGTTACTTTTTAGGCTTCATTCATGGCCAGGTCAAAAATCTCTTACAAGTTGTATTTGTGTTACCTCAATTTCGAAAAATTCACAAACACTCTTATATCATAGTAAACTAAGAATTTTCAAATCTGTTAATTGTTAAAAATGACTTTACGAAAAAGAAAAACTAGATATGGTAAAATTTTATTATAAAAACGGCAGAAATGGTGTCAAGACATCGGAAATGTATTTGAACATGTATCCTGAAAGACGACAACCTTATCGAACTTTGTTTAAATTATTCTATATAAATCTCACTGAGTTTGCTTCATTTGAAACACTGAGACAAAAATATGGAGGCAGAATGGATGAGGAAAATAAAGAAAATGTAGTTAATGACTTAGGATTAACGTGATATTATTTTATTCCTCTGGATAAGAGTTGGCATTTTGCAGATTAATCAAATCCACACACAGCACGCACATGCATGCTTCTTCTCATACGAGTGCTTGGAAACACCTATATAGAAACGCTTTAAAATGCTACAAAATTCATATTTCCCAAAAATTACATCCAAGTGATGGCGAAAGCCGATTACAATTTTGCAATTGGCTACAAAGGAGACTCTATTTTCCAGCTTTCCTAGAAAATATGATTTTACATTTACAACTCTAGGCAATTTCGAGAAATTCGACCGCAAGTTCGATTTAATCTTAATGTGTGGCCAGGTATTTATGAAGACAAAATTTTGGGTCCTCATTATTTTAACGGTACTATGAATGGAAAATCGTATTATCAGTTTTTAACGACAACGCTTAAACACTATTTGGATGATTTACCTTTGATCCACTACAACAGCGTGTTTCAACAAGATGGCGTCCCGTCTCAGAACACAATACTGGTAACTGATTATCGAGGCTTGGAGACAGATGGATTGGGAATAATGGACCAGTGAGATGGCCAGCCAGGTCTCCAGATGTCAGCGTATTCGACACATTTTCAAAGCCAAGCGAACTTAGCGAGATTTCTATCGAATAATTTCATATAATCAAAGATCTTAGCAGGGAACAGAGCCTTCTATGAGGTACAACAATACAACAAAAGTAAAATTATATAAATCATTAATTCTATCAGTAGTTACATATGGCAGTGAAGCCAGGACACTAAATCAAAGAGAAATAAATAAACTGTTGGTGTGGGAACGTTAAATATTAGGAAGTATATACTGTCCGTATGGAGATATAAAAATTAATGAATGGAGACCCAGGCACAATTATGAATGAGAGGAATTGTATGAAAAGGAAATTATTGTAACGTGTATAAAGTCTAACCGCCTAAGATGGGCAGGGCAGTAAGAAGCGCAGACAATCGCCTCATTAATAACGTTTAGACCTTAGGAAAATAGGGATAAGGCAATGGGAAATCACTGCACAGGATCGACAATACTGGAAAGGGGCCGTAAACGTGGCCTAGACTCACGATGAGTTGTAGTGCCAGAGAAAAAAAAGAAGAAGAAGTATCTCGTTTTTCTTCAGTGATAAAGTCCATTTTTAACGATACATGCACTAGATTCTAAAATGCCATCGACAGATTTGAAAATTCATTGCTTACTGTTGAATACTTCGAATTTGAGGGAACACAAATACAACAAACGTAATAATTTTAATACTATAATACTAATACTAATAATATTCGACACTAAAAATAAATAAAGTATATGATGGTTTGACAAAAAGGAAACATCGTGATGGATTTTTGACCTGGCCATAGGAAGAAGCCTAAAAATTCCGGGTTTCGCGCGCTTCTAGAATTCCGACCGTAAGTGTAGATGGTGCTGTCAGCCGTTTTACAAAGTGATTCGTAACAAACGCGGGTGACGTCACGACCGCTTAACTCGGTTTTCGTTTCAGGGGCAACAAAATCATGTCTATAGCGGTTAGCGTAGGCATAATGGTTATCAACACCTACTTGGTCGTGGTGCAGGTGCGGGGCTTGGCCTTGTCGCCGCCCGTCTTGGCGACCACTGTGCTAGGCGCGAGTTTTTACGTCGCGTTCTGCCTGTATTTGATAGGTCACATGTTGGTTTGTATGGGCAACGATAGGTGGAGCGACAGCAAGTTTGCGCGAAAATACTTCGTAGGACCCGTAGATGCGAATTTTGCAATAGGAAACTAATAGACGTACTTATAAATATACGTTGTTTATATAATTTATAGTATTCCCCCATTTTTTCTTGACAGTCCGATTTCTTAGATTGACGTACGTCACACAGTGGTCGAATTTCTAAAAAAGCTGGCTATGGAATGATGTTTTCGGTTATTTTTAATCCAATTGATAACGACATTATGTGTTACACTGTATTTGGCTTAAGAAAAAACAATTGATATCTCGTTGCTAGATTACAGCGCCCCGTCAAACTTGGTTGACGGTTCCTTTTTTGGATTATTATTTTCAACGCCTTAAAGTTTATGGATAATAATGCTCCGACCTCAAACATACTGTAAAATGGGAGTGTTTTGACAGGGACAACCTATTTTTGAACTAGATAGAGCAAAATCGACTTACATCTCAACGGTTTCACTGCCAAGTAATATTTAAAGGGATTTTCAATTTTCGGACGTTTTGAAAATTGCCCATAACTTTTCTTATTTATGAAAATTCTGGATTCAGATGAAAACATTATTAGTTTTTTTTAAGGTAAATATAGTATGGCAATCTTAGATATTATTTTTAATATTTAATCTTAATATTTCTGAAAGAGAATTATACTTATTTTAACTTAATAAACGAAACACAATAAATATTAGAATACAAAATATTAAAATTTAATCTTTTAAATTACTTATTTTGAAATATTTTAACTTATATGTTTAAATTTTGCGCCATCTTCTTCAATTCACTGAACGCATCTATTTCCTACTGAATGGCAGCTATTTACTAACTCTCTAGGATCCAAGGAAGCCAACGCTTCGCGAATGGTTTCCTCTAACTCTCCCGTAGTTTCGAAAATTCTATCTTTAAATACAAAATCTTTTAATCTCCCCCATGAAAAAAATCTCGAGGAGCTAGATCACACGATCTCGCAGGACACAGAATGGGGCCTCTTGTTCCAATCCAACATTATCTAAATTCTTCATTTAAAAACTTCTTCCACACCTACAATCCGTGCGTTGTGAGAGGGGCAACCATCTTGCTTATAATAAATACTCCTTCGATGAATTAGTGGCGAGTCAGCTAAAGCCCGTAAGGATATGCTTGGTTTTTCCAATATTATTCCAATTATGTTCAATTCCCCGATTTCCTGTTCTTCATTTAACTGCCTTGGCTTTTTGAAACTTCCGCAATTGACTAAATCATTTTTTAACGTCAGAAATATACGCTTTTCTGATCGGTTCCACTCTGGATATGTTTAAGTTTGGTCCCTAAAATTACTTGCGACAGAATACAAAATTCAATAAAGAATAAAAGTTATCTGCTTAACGGACATTGACACCTATATGCACGGCCTACTAACACATAAACAAAAAATGCCCTATAGTTCCGCCGTTTTTCATACCAAAAAATCTAGATGGTTAAATTTATGAGAAAACAGAGAACTGTAGAACAAATCTGAGTATGCAATTGCATTTACCTTGAAAAATGCCCTAAAAATGTTTTTATCCGTATTCAGAAGTTTCATAAATAAAAAAAGTTATAATTTATTTTCAAAAGGGCCGGAAATTGAAAACGTCCTATTTCTTAGTTTAATTCTAGTTCAGCAATAGACTTTAGTGTTAAAACACTCCAATTACGACGACCCGGTACAAAAAAGATCAAGAAGAAAATCTTGTTTAAGTTTTCTCAATTTTTCAAATTTAATTTGAAATTGGTCAAAGGATTCGCACAATATTTTTACATGGTATCCCCAAATATCATGTACAGTGCGGGTCATGGTGCCACTTTTTGTGAAACGCAAGATGCCGTCAACGGAATTTTCTTATGAGCTGCAGGATGATTCAGAAAATTTCACGACTTGCAGCACTGCTAGTATCTCTGTTAATATTTACGGTATCAAAAAAATAAAAATACATCTATTGAGATCTTTTTACGTATAATCGAATAGATAATCGAATAGATTTTTAGTTTTTCTAATTTTTTGAATTATGACAAAAAGTTGTTAATTTTTATATGGGACACCCTATATAAGGCCATAAAACTTTACCATTTGTTTTTAATTTTAGTTGTTCAAGTGCAGTTTTTCTTCAAATTTATTATTTATTATTATTATTATTATTATTATTATTATTATTATTATTATTAAGATTTGTCGGACCGAAACAAAAAACGCTTTGTCTCTGGAGTTATCAATTTGTTCATTAAATTGTGCTAAATATTATGGCTGTCAACGAAAATTTTGGAAATGTTGAAAAATATAACATGCCGTTTTGTTTTGTGCATCTGAAAACAACCCAATAAAAGCATATTCCGTGGGCTTAAATCCAACCTACTAAATTTTGGATATTTTCCCAAAAGTCGGCCAAAAACGTATAATAAACGATATCGAGAAATTAGTGAAATTAATGTTTTGGCGTCAATTAGAACAGCTCCTACAAATTCAAAATTTTTTAATATTAACGGAGCCCTGTAGGCTAATGGTCATGGCCAACTAATATGCTAGTAACAATCTTAGACAGAAAGAAGGTTAAATATTGTAAACGTTAAAATTAATAGCAAAGTATTAAAAATGATGATACTTAATAAAAGTTGTGGGTTTATGCAACGCCTTTCAGAAAATATAATAATACATGCGGTGTTTGTACCCTTTAAGAAAATCGAGAATTTCCAATTTGATATGAATACCGAGTAGCATCTAATTCAATTCCGTTGCATATATCATTTGCGTCATCTTCGAATATCAAATATAATCAAAATTTCTTTGTGTGAAAGTGTAAAAACTAATATTTTTTTTAGAAAATCTAAAATACGACAAAAACTATTAGGTTTAGGTATGTATGATTTTTAATAAAAAAGTGAATTGAAAAAAAAAATTAAAATAGTTTTGTAAATGTTCCATTTAAAAAATGTGCGTTTTTTTTCACGTTTTTTTGAGTCACCTTGTATTCTTCTATTTGAATAATTTGAAATTTTGCATAACAACAATCTCTACCACTCTTGCATTTGCCATTTTCTCATACCTTTTTAAACTTTAGTAATTTTTTAGTCATTAAATTATTTAAAATAGTAAATTATTTTAGGATTTTTATTAGTTAGTTTCTTCGGGTGTTTGTTCCATGCCTTCTTTGAATTACCCGTTGCTTCGTTAAACTTTTATTGCCAAATTCTGTTGTAAAATCCGCATTTCGATATTTTTTACCCAATCAGTAAAAAAAACTGGAAATAATGTCCATTTTTCGGAAAATTTTCATTACTAAATAATAATTTTCGTTTTTTTAACAATATATACAAGTTTACTCTTAAAATGTCAACATTATATTTAAAATGTCAATAATATTACATATTATTCTATTTTATATATTATTATTATACGGGCTGATCTAAATTAAGTGTTCATCATTGTTACTTTGTTACGAGTAGAGATACAGAGTCGCTTAAATTAGTAAACTGGTAGCATTATTTTCCACTGATTACGATGGAGAAAATAAAATACAATTGAATATAAGATTTAGGAAAATAATGAGGGAAATCAACTCTTTAAATGGAACACCCTGTATAATTTTTACTCTAACGAACGTAAATCACCAATAGAACGCAAAAAAATGTCATGCAATATTAGCCTAAAAGTGAAAATAACCTAATTACTTTTCTATTGAGCGAATTGCCTTTAGTATTGTTCTACCATCTATCTGGTTTATTTTTTCTCTTATTGTAGTTTTCTAAACGTCAACGTGTTGGTATCTTTCGTTATAAATTTCGTCCTTTAAATAACCTCACAAGTACAAATCAAGTGGGGTTATATTTTGTGACCTAGGAGGTCAAGCAAGAGGTCCATTTGTAGCAATCCATTTGTTGTTGAAAATAGTTGTCAAACATTGATATGTGCCTCGGAAGTTATGAGCTGGCACGCCATCTTGTTAAGAATGGAGATTCTGCCTACTTATGAGATTAAGCTCATCTAGAAAACCATCCAAAATAGCAGTAATAATTGTAATGTAATGTAATGCGAGAACCAATTATACCGCATGTTCTCGAAAAAATGTTTTATTTTATTATTATTATTTTCACTTCTTTCACTTCTTCCCGCACTAGTGGACATGCGTGGTACCAAAATGATCGTCGACAAGAAAGTTTCGGCAAAAACTAGAGTTTTACAATTTTTCATTTTTCGGTAAGTCCTAAAATATTCACAGTAGTGCTAGATTACACGGACTTTGGTTAATGCAAGGGTACACCGCGTCGACGACACTAGAAACCACAGGAAGTGCACATACTCGCCAGTTTTGAGCAGTTGTGTCTACTGTGTTTACTACTACAACCTGTGGAGATTTTCTCCTCTTTCTCTGGATGAATACGTAATTTCAACACACTACAGTCCACTAACTAAATGTACGTTCTTGCGTGTTGGTTTTTGTGAACTCAGGGATGTACTAACAATAAATTTTTGTATTTCCTGGATTATAAATTCCAGAATATGACAAAATTTGATTAGTCAGTCCACGAAATATACCGAAAATTGCTTTGGCGGCAAGACATACTAATGACAAAAAAAAGTCTCCGCTTTGCATCCCCTGCCAAAGGCACCGATATATAAGTGTAAAATTTGTGTGTTTTTTTAATCCTAGGTTAGAATCTTTGACTATGTCTCGAATAGAATTGCCACGATATGCTTCAAAATATCCAAGAACACCAATGTCAACGTCTTCACTTATAATAAAAAAAATTGTCTCCATCCTTGTGCAAAAACTGTTTTATTACTGGTGAAGATTGGATTAAGGGCCTGAAAAAATTGTTCATGTCGAGAAACGCGCTGTGGATATAGGTGTATGTATGCCTTTACAGACGATTTATTGCATGCCAAATGGCATTCGAACATGTCGCATATGTAAAAACCTTTGTGAATGTATTCATGTTTTGCGAAAATGTACCCAAAAACTGACGGTCGTAGAAAAAGTATAGTATGCAACACGTTCGGTAAACTTTTATTATTCACTCGTTTATTAAAAACTCGCTCCGCTCGTGCCAAATAAACTCGTGAGTAAAATGCCGTTTACCGTACTTGTTCCGAATCCAGCAAAATTACTTTAAATAATTGATAACAATTGATACAACAATACTAATAACTAAAACTAATTTTTTGACAACTAGTTTTGTATTTGGCAGGACCGTCATTATTTTGCACAGCCTTCTTTGAACAATTTTTTCTGCGCCTTTATCTATTAGTCTAGTCTAACAGAGAAATACGCTGATAATTCGGTTATTTTCAATTTTTGACTAATATTGCATACTACCTTTGATGTTCTGTGGGTAGTTTACGAACGTTAGAGTAAAAAATACACAGGGTGTTCCATTTAAAAAGAATACATTTGCTTCATTTTTTCCTAAACTCTACATAGTTTGCTAATTTAACCGCCTTTGTATCTATTCATGATCACTGGTAACAAAGTTAACAATGATGAACACTTTAGTTAGATCAGCAGGTATAATATTACAAACATTAAAATAATGGGAAACTCCCAACACACCAAAACCGAAAAAACTCCAAGATCCTTGCTTTTTAATGCAAGTTGTAGTCTTGAAAAATTTTGACATTTGGATGAAGCGTATTGTAACACTTCATTGCACAGTTTCTAAGAGCAACAATTACGTTTTCAATGCTTGTAATGAAAACTCGAAATTGATTTCAGCTTTGCACCAAATCTTATCTGGACGTTTCATATCGTTAGTACCGCAGCGTGCGACTGCGTCCCTTTAATGGAGTTTAACGAGGTAATTGGCTGATTTATCGCTGCAGAAGTTGGCGGTATATTTCGACCTGGACTATACCGTTACGTCATTGTTTTATTGTGCGTTTACTGGCCAGTTTTATCACCGGATCCTTTCCGGTTAGACGCCACGGTCCCGGATACCGTAAACAGCTCGACGGGCACTTCTTTACCGTAATTGTCGAAACTCGTCGGCTCGTTTTGATTGTCTGCCGTCAAATGGTTGTTGAGGGATGGTCGGCGGCTCACGATCCCGTTTTGAAAACTCATATCCGTCAGTTTGGAAGTCGCCGAGCCTAAAGAAGAAGCATCTTAGCACAGAATATCAACGACAGTTTGGTAGTCGTTGAATTTAGTTTCTTCAGGCTGGCGTCAGTACAGAAAAATGACAGCCAGTTACCCACATGACATAAATGTAAATTATATTAAAATTATAAATTGTAAATTATAAAATTGTAAATTATATTATAAATTACTAAATGGATAACTTTGTTACTATTGATCCTACGATGAAGTCAAATTTTGACAGGTCGACATTTTTTTAAAATTAAATACCCTGTTTTTCTCTGGATTTCAAGTATATATGAGCTTTTAGGGTTATTTTTGACAGATTTTCAAGTACCGCGCATTTTATCTAATATTGATTATGAGGAACTATTGTTTGAAAAATCAAATTAACCATGAACACTAAATTAGTTGCTTTTTTATCGCAAAAGAGTTTTTTTGTGTTGTATAATTTTCTATTATGTAATATTGGTAAATATTGTGAAATTTTCAAAAACGTCTTACTAAAACATCGTCTTTAGTATTCTAAATTTATTTTACAAAAGATGTGACCATCATTCATCTGCACGCATACATGAAAACGTTTGCGTAGGTTTTCGATACACCTTCTAAGAGATCTGGTTGCCCATTTAGGGTTTCATCTTCGTTTCGCATTCTGTTTTGTATATCCCGAATTATTGCCGGCCTTCTATATAATCTTTATTTTAAAAAAGGTGTCAAGGGGAGTAAGATCAGGACTGTTAGGAGGCCAGCATTACACACAGTATTACAGATGGGCAACCAGATTTCTTAATTGTCAAAATTTCGTTGGGATTTTCCCTTGACCAGAAATGTGTCTTTTTTAAATTAGGCGGTGAGGCCGTATTAAATGAGGACTCATCTATAAACAAACTGCTGTGAATCTTCTGAAAAGAAATATTTTGAAACTTAGTTTCTGCACTTTAAATTAATACGAAAACAGGTACTGCTGCGACGAAATGTCAGCTACCGAAGAAAAGGTTTTGGTTAGTTAGAATATTTAAAAGTATTTATGTATTTTACCATTGCTTCTTCTTGTGATTCTTCTCTAGATGTTAAAAATATGGAAATTAACTATACCATCTCATCTGCTACCTGCTTCTTCCTATTGTTCTTTATCTCTCGGTGATATAAATATGGAACTTACCTATGCTATCACGTCTGTGCACCCTCTCGAACGTGGGGAACTCCAAACTGGGGATGTTTTTGGCCAAAGACCAGTTTAACACGTTGTCCACCGTGTCGTCCCTCAACGGACTCGAGTTGTCCTCTTCTATGGTCTGTTGGAGGCTGAGGTTCCTCGAAAACGCCCTCTGGTTGTACATACCTACAAAAAAGGCAAGTCGTACTAAATGGCATATAGATTCAGCCTCTTCCGTGCCTTCAAATATTTCCTCGGTCCTCCTGGTAAGGGGGATGATTACCGTTTGCTGGGGTTCGTACGTGTGGTGGCCAAACTGCTCGATGGTGCTGGTACCGAGGTTGCCGCCAGTCTCCATTATGCCGATCTGAGTGGTACGGACGTGGTACGGAAAGTTTTTGTTGGCCACCGATGGCATGGTCAGAATCTAACGTCATTTTTGAGTCAGTGCTGATATGTTACGATTCCGTACGTAGCAACGTCGAAATTTTTAAAGGTTGTTATTATTCAGTTACGTAAAAAGGGTTTTTGAAAAAGTGGTGTGTTTTTACGAGGTCTAGCCTTAGAGAACGTAGATAGGATTAATAGTGACTTACCAGGAACATGAGGTGTCCTCCGAACGCTATGAAGAGGAGGACCGCCCATACTATTGACTCCCTCACCCACTTGTCTATGTAAGTGTTGGCGGATATGATGAACGTGGGTCCGGCGACGAACCATATCGTTCCGAAAATGTTGAAGGGATAGTAGAAACCCGACTACAAATCAAATAATTACTTCTCTACATATAGACTGACTCAATGGTCTAGCGCCCAAATGTTTTAAGTGCCATTAACCATTTTCAGTATTCGAAAAACAAACTTCAGGTAGAAATTTAGAAATAGTTTTCTAGTAGTTACTACATTTAAAAGACAGTTCTGACAGTCTCAATATTGTATTCATCATTTACAAAATTTCTGGATTCCTCCTGTTGGCTTCGTCAGAGCTTAACTGACACTGACGCTCATGCTCTCTATTAAATTGTAAATTGTTGACTGATTATGAGTCACGATTTCTATAGATTCTCGGATATTTATTTGTTCATCGAATAAAATTGATGTCTGGTTTCGTTATGGTGTTAGGCAGCTGCTAATGAGTTTATTTGTTGTAGTCTTAAATATCTTTCATGTTCTTTTAGTAGTGTCTGCAATGTATTCCTTGGCTCATATGCATGGAATGTTTCAAACGGAATTTAGTCTTTGACAGGTCGAAGATGTTGAAAGACTTTTGGACTAGTGCTAATTCTGGTTTTTGACGTTATATTACTTAAGAACTTTTGATATGTGGTCCGTAATGTTATGAATGTAAGGAAAAACAACAGTAGCAAATGTGGGGTTGCTTTCAGAATCATCATTTCTGAAAGGTTGTGGTGAAATGAATTTGGGGATGGAACTCTAATATGGAAATTATTAAATTGATAAAACTAAAGCTCTTGCATGTAATCAATTTTATCAACAAAAAATCTGCGACTCAGGTCTTATGTTCATGCCCCTCCTTTAGCTCCGCCCTCTCAAACAATATATAAGCAGTTACAGAGTAGAAAGCGCGTCAGTTTCGGATACGCTCTGAAGAAGGCAACAGAATAGTTGACGAAACGTCAGCAAGTTCGATTCAACAACCGACGCAGGAAGAATCTAGAAGTTTTGTAAATAATTACAGTAGCCTGAGGAGGTTTCTTTGAAAAATCATTTTCAACTTTTGTGCGTGTTAATGTTCGGTATTTGATGAATGGTTTAATGTCATTAACTCAATTCGCAAAAAAAACACTTAATACATTTGCGCGCTAGGCCGTCGACATTGTACCATAATTTACCAGAATTTCGGAAAATAATTTTAAAATGTTAACTTACATTTTAAAAATATTTTCATTTATACAAGGCGTTCGAAAAGGTGAAACGTGGCCTATATAGTTTTTTCGTAATGCAACACACAATACTTTTATTAGGTTTTTGAACTGTACATTCGGTTGTTCTGAAAATTTTATTAATTTCATAAGCAGCGATGCTCTATCGATCTAAAATATTTTTAACGCTGCGACGTTGCCGTCTTTTCGAAAAAGTCGAAACATTATAGCCAGAACATGCAGAAAATTTAACGAAACTTATCCTGATTTACAACACATGAACAAGAGAAAATTTGCAAGAATTAAGAAAAGATTATCTGTAAATGTAATAGACGTTTTGATTAAATCAGATTTTTTATTATGAAGTGCGTTAAAATGAAGAAGGCACTTCAACGGATTTTAAAGTGTTTAGAATGCAACGGGGAACACTTCGAACACCTAACGCAAAATTGGATTCATTTTTCTGTGTTCTATTTTTATTTCAAGTACCTAATATTTTGTTAGTTTAAATAGATTTTAAGATATTTTTCGTAAAATGGTGTGTAAAGTTTTTCTTAATTCTGGAAAATTTTCCGTTGTTAATGTGTTGGATTCGTTTCATTAAATTTTCTCCATGTTCTGGCTATAATGTGGTTGCATTGTCCATGCATAACGAAGAAATTTATTAAAACAGCATATATTATATATGAGTAAATCTTTATCGAACTGACAAGCGGAAAATAAAGTTTTTAACATAAGATGGATATTTCATGGCCACCTGAGAGATGAATTAAGTCAAAGTAATCCAGTTTTCAGAGAAATTTGCTTTTATTTCTGAAACTAAACCAAGCCAGTTAGGTATACGACCATGATAGCATCATTCGAAAGGGAATTCAATTTGCACTTAGAATATGTGGTAATACATTTTTGTATCTGATAGACAAATCATTAGTTTGACCAATCCTGTATAATATAGAACTAATTGAGATATAGTACTTAGAAATCGTCTGAATTCCTACTGAATCGATTGTTTATAAATTAAACTTGCTAACGTTTCGCCAATCATCCTGTTACTTTCTTCGGAGCTAAACTAAAATTGCTTACGCAGCAGAAAAAATCCAATCCATAATAGTATATATAAAGTAGTATTACAGTAGTTTATGGAAGTTTCTTTGAAAAATTAACTAATTAAGTAATAATGTACCTCTCTAAACTACTTCCAAAATTTTAAATTTATACTGGCTAAAGTGGCGTAGTGATAAAAATTTAATTAAAGCTATGTTTTGGTTAGTAAATAAAGATAATAATAGATAATTTCTAGAAAACCGATGAAGATAGGTATAGGAACGTGTTTTTCAAAAACTGTCGTAAAGTATTAGCGGTGTCCCACTTAAAATTTCAGTATCGGTGCTAATTTTTCGAAGAAGCTCCAACGTTAAAAATATTTTTTCTACTCCAGTAGTCTGTAAAATACCTAATTACACAACGATCTAGGGAAGCGTCACTTTACCACGTCAGTTTCGTTTGCCGCGGATCCGAGCCACTTCGAACATTTTCAGGATTTTACCGCACAGATTTGGGAGCAATCGGATGTTTTCGGAGATATTTCCCACGCTTTAAATTTTGACGTTTATCGATTCTAACGGTCATGTCAGTGAACGTTTTCAGAACAAATACCCAAAAACTAACGGTCGTAGAAAAAGTATAGTATGCAACACGTTCGCCACTCGTTTATTAAACACTCGCTCTGCTGCGCTCCTCTCATGTCAAATAATCTCGCGAGTCGAATGCCGTTTACCGCACTTGTTGCATAAAATAGAAAAAATATTTAAAATAAACCATAATACTATATCATGCAACGAGTGCAGTAAACGACGTTTGAGTCACGAGTATTTAAAAAGTTTACCGAACATGTTTCATAATATACTTTTTCTACGACCATTAGTTTTTCTGTACATTTTCGAAAAACAACGCATACATTCACTGACATGACCGTCAGAATTGACAAACGTCAAAATTCAAGGCGTGGAAAATATCTCCCAAAACATCCGATTTCTCCAAACCCGTGCGGTAATATCCTGGAAATGTCTGAAGTGGGAAACGAAACTGACATGGTAAAGTGACGCTTGTGTATATTTTTTCTATTATGCAACAAGTGCGGTAAACGGCATTCGACTCACGAATTTATTTGACACGAGCGGAGCGAATGTTTAATAAACGAGTGATTTAGAAAGTTTATCGAACGTGTTGCATACTATACTTTTCCTACGACCGTTAGTTTTTGGGTACATTTTCGTAAAACAACGCGAATACAATCTCTGACATGACCGTCAGAATTGACAATCGGCAAAATTCTCCGAAAACATCCGATTGCTCCCAAACCCGTGTGGTAAAATCCCGGAAATGTCCGAAGTGACTAAGTTTCGTGGGAAACGAAACTGACGTGGTAAAGTGGCGCTTCCCGCACGCTAGATCGGTGTGTAATTAGGAGTTTTACAGACAGGAGTAGAGAAAATTCATTTCTAATATTGCTTAGTTGATATTGTGAAATTCTCGCAAGTTCTAAAGAAATAGCGTTTTGTAACTGTCTAAGATTTTCAAAATTAACAATTTTATATATAACACTTTTCAAGTGATCTCATAGAAAAAAGTTCTTCGGTGAGAGGCCAGGTGACCTGTGTTGCCAAAGGATCGGCACCTTGGTCGAATAAAATTCCCGTTAAAAGTATTTTTCTACTTCCGTCTGTAAAATACCTAATTACCCACCGATCTCGCGTGCGGGAAGCGTCACTTTACCACGTCAGTTTCGTTTCCTATGAATCCGAGCCACTTCGGACATTTTCGGAGATATTTCCCACTCTTTGAATTTTGACGTTTGTCAATTCTGACAACCATGTCAGTGAATGTATTCGTGTTTTGCGAAAATGTACCCTAAAACTAACGGTCGTAGAAAAAGTATAGTATGCAACACGTTCGGTAAACTTTTATTATTCACTCGTTTATTAAAAACTCGCTCCGCTCGTGTCAAATAAACTCGTGAGTCAAATGCCGTTTACCGCACTTGTTGCATAATATACTATTCACAAATACTCTCTAACCATACAGGAATTATGGGCAGGACAACCATCCATCTGGTACCAGATCGCCTGATCTTCGAGAACAACTTCTCCTAGTGCGGGCTAATTTGATTGTCTAATAAGTCGAAGTATTTTTCTGCCGTGAGATCATAGTCCATACAAAATGGCCCAATAATATGATGTCCACAAATTCCCACCATAACATTTATTTTTTTGGTTCCCTATTACCATTTGCTTTTTCCATAATTTCAAAAGAAAATGCTACTCTTTTTTCTTCGTCGCCTTCCCGAAGCTCTTGGTGCATTTGGTAGTTATAGGAAAAATGTTTGCGTGTTTTTAATGTGCGCAACACTGGGGTAAAAGTAAAACGTAATGTAAATATAAAATGTCCCTTTCCGCTGCTCTATTATCGATATTTTTAGCTGAACATTTGCAGTTATTTGTTACGGTACCTTTGGACTCTAATTGAGGTAATAATGTGTATTATAGTGGAATCGAAAGTATAGTTTTAGAAGGAAAATAAACCGAAAATATTTCAGACACTACTCTAAGACTATTTCCTACATAATACCATTAATTATGGTGTACTTTTTCTTCAATTGAATAACTTATATTTAGCTTTAATTAAAGCGCGTTTAATAACGTATAACTATCACAAATAAGAATTTTTTTACTGTTATGAATTTTCGTGTTGTTATTGTCAAAAGCTATGTTACTGGTATTCGACTTATTACCTAACCTATAAACAATTAAAACATTATATTTATATTTATAAACAGTTAAAATGAAAAATGACTAATTAAAATTTATTCAAACTCGGTACATGAGTTAATCATGCAACTTTTCCAGCAATGCAATGCAATGATGGCTCATTAAATAAAATAGAGATTTTTCAATTTAAAATGATCCCGATATATTCGTTTATTTTGAAGATTCTGTGGCATCTAATTTAAATTCCGTTGCATATATCCTTTACGTCACCCTCGAATAATGTCATTATCAATTTGAAAATAATGGAGCTATCGTAATTTTTTTGGGAGTGTGAAAACTATTGTTTTTTTTTGAAAACTTTAAATGTGGGAAAAACTATTAAGTTTAGGTATGTATTATTATTAAAAATTTTAAAAGGAATTCAAAACAAACTTTCAAAAAATAGCGTGTTCCATTTGAAGAAATGTATATGTTATTCGCCACGGGTTTTTGAGCCACTCTGTATATTTTAAAATAATACTCAACTGGGCATCTTTACAATTTTTTGATTTACTATTTTCTCATAACTTTTGAAACCAACTAGGTAATCGAATCAATTGACTCGCCCTGTACAGCACATTTTGAAATTTGAAAAATCTTACATTTGCATATAAATAATATAGAGCGCACTGTAATTAATTCTCATGACGACTCTGAAAGTTATATTTTGAATAAAAACTTGCTTATTTGGCTAATTATTGATAATTTGCATTTATTTAAGTGTACTTACCTTCTCGGGGTATCGTTTCAAAGTAAACACAGTCGAGTAGATGAACATGAACCACGCGAATATCCTCAGCATGATTAAGCTGTAACCTGCAGGCGACTCGTACAGGTACAGAACTTGTCCCGGATCGAAAACCTGGAAAATATTCCACTTTCCAAAGTCGAATTCTCCCAAAGGCGTTCGCCCGCACTCACTATCGCTTCGTACACGAATATAGTGAGGTAGGTAGTGACGTAAAGGCACATGAATATGGTCAGCTTGACGCTGGCTTTTATGGGCAGCCTGCCTCTCGTTACCGTGTACCCTTTTGCTAGTAGCAGGAGCAGCAGGAGGTAGCAAGTCTCGGAGGCACCCATCAGCATGTTGCCTGCAAAAGGACAGCGGTTCGGACCGGACCTGATCTATTCTATTCGAAAGTAAGGAGGAGTAATAAAACGATTTAGGATGATACCTTATTTCAGAAGATGTCGACAATATCGAAAAAAAATGGAGACCGAAATTGTTTGGATTCATTTATTCTTTTAAAATACTAAATTATACAGGATGAGTCAACGATAGAGTAAAGTTCATTATCGCATTAGTTTCAAAAATTACACAATCCCTATCCTATTTTTAAATTTGGTTTAGAATTTGTTTTTAAATTCTTCAACTTTTTTATTAATAATAATACATACCTAAACATAATAATTTTTCAAATATTTTAATATTTCTAAAAAATATTAGTTTTCACACTTACAAAATAATTACGATAGCGCCATTATTTTTCATATAATTTAAATTAGACGCTACAGGGTATTCAAAATAAACGAATACATTTGGAGCGTTTTAAATAGAAAATTTTTGAATTTCTTAATTCTATATCATAAACAGGGTGCCCCATGGCAAAATAGGAGATTTTTTTGGTACAAATAATACGACTTACGAAACTTGCCTTAGTGCAAAAGTTGATATTAACCGAGATGCAGTATATCAAAGCTGCAATTTTATTTTTGATTTTGTGTGCCTCCTAAGTAATGGTGCATTGCAAAATAGGAAAATTTATTAAATGAAAATCTGCATACCCTAACGCGCAAAAAAGTTAGGAAGTCTCAAATGCACGAAAGATACCATAAATATCACCTTTGGACTAGGCTAAATTTCATTAAATCGTATTTTTACCTAAAGAATCTCCTATTTTGCCGTGTACCATTACTTATAGGACACCCTGTACATTATTTTTTCTAAAAGATCTATAACTTGTATTAAATATGTCATGGAACATTTTTTTATAATTTGAGATACTTATCGGACATTTACCGTTTTTTATGTCTAAGACTAGTGCCTAAGACCCTGTATACCTTAAAATAATTTTATATTGTGAACCCTAACAAAGATTACACCTTGTCTATTTACCAATTTCTCATAACTTACTTTTACTCTACTCTATCGTTGACTCACTTTGTACAATGTGTTCGAGATAAGGATGTCTATCATAGAGATATTGGAAAACGTAAGAGATACGAAGATGGTTAAATTAGGAAAAGGTTGCAAAGTTTTACGGTTTCGTTTTTATCTTGTTCTGCTGTTATTTAAAGATCTATAACGTTTCCTTTAGTCGAAATCATCATCAACATTAGTTTTTTATATGGATTGATTTAGAAAAATGAAATGATAGCTAAATAAGTACACCCCGTCACATGTTAATTCATGAAACAAATTACTTAAAAAAGGCTTACTATAAAAAATAAGAATGTTCAAAAAAGTGACCTGCGCCATCCTGTTGATGCCAACAGTTTCTAATTTTTGGGAGCGGTAAGTTGTCTAAAGCTTCTTCAAAGTCGTGCTCAGAGTTTAGAGTACGATTATCAAAATAAGAGGTCTATTAATAGGGTTCCAAAAATCCCAAGCCATATATTAAACCCAAAATGATGCTGATGTCTAAATATTTAATGTAGTTGAGGATTATCTATCTCTTGGTAAAATAATGAGCATTTTGCCCGTTACAAGTTCCATTATTTATTACCATACTTTCGTCCGACCAAAAGGTCTTATGGGAATAGTTTTCATGTTTCTGACATTTCCTAGTATACCATTGGCAAAATGTTCTCCGCCCTTCTTCTTCGCCAGATCTGGGTGCTTGACAAATTCTAAAATTTAAAAAGTGAAATCTTTGTTCCATCAAAATAAAATGAGCGGTACATTTGGCGATTCTATTTTTTTAACAGATATTTCTCCATTTTCCGTTGCAGCAAACAATACATTATTTAATTCTTCTTCATTGCAGATCTGCTTAAGATTGGTAGTTAATATTAAAAACTCGGTTGTCTTCTCTCTGCATACGGAAGGTTGGGGCAAATCGCTCCCCCTGGGGCAAGGAGTCCCATCTCAAAAATTAACCAACTTTTTATCGTTACTATAATTATAAATTCTGGTTATTTCACTTCCATTTTATTATTTATTTTTTCGAAAAAATTTTTAAATACCAATAACAATTTTTTTTAATCGATAGACAAATAGTTACTAATCAGTAGCGTTTTTTTTAATAAATACTTTTTAATAAATAATTATAATTATATAGAACATTATAAATAAGGGAGAGTAGGGCTCGATGGCCAGAAGCTTCGCCAAAATTTGGGTACATTTAGTTAAAGTTAGTCAAAAATAAATCGACTTGATGGTTAAAAGTCACAAAAAGTAATAAAAAACTTAAGTGGGCCGCCTTGCCCCACCCTCCCCTAAACTTCTTCAAAGATATATACCGTGTTTCGACTCCCACCATTAGGAACTTCGTAACGGAAAGAGGTAGAGGGTGACATAAATTAGGCCAAACTTGCACATCGATGAATTCAATAACGTTTCGTTTTGAAATTGAATTTATTTTTGTTATTTCCGGAAATATTCCGCAAAATCTGAATCTTTTCGTTTTTATTTTCTTATGTCTGTAAAGACATTCTCATTGGAACTTTTTAGGCTTCATCTTATAGTCAGGTCAAAAATCCCTTACGACATTTCGTGTTTCTCAAATTATCATTAATACTTTTTTCTTATGGTCGCCATATTGGATTTTTGCAGTGTTGATTAGGCAATATTATTACCTTTTTATTGATGTATCACAAGTTGTATTTATGTTCCCCCAATTTCAAAATATTGAACAAAAACTTTTATACTATATTAAGCTATGAATTTCCAAATTTGTCGATGATATTTTAATATGTTCTTAATTGTTAAAAAAGAACTTTACCAATAAAAAAAACGAGATATGGTAAAACTTTATGATATAAACCATAGAAACGTGTCAAGACATCGGAAATGTATTTGAACATGTATCCTGAAAGACGACAACCTCATCCAACTTTGTTTAAATTATTAATAAAAATATGGAGACAGGATGGATGAGAAAATTAAAGAAAATTTCGTTAGATTAACTTGAAATTGTTTCATTCCTTTCTCCCCAAAAATGACATCCAGATGAATACTAAAGGCGAGTTCAATTTTGTAATTGGCTACAAAACAGACCTGATTTTCCAGCTTTCTTAAAAAATGTGATTTAAACAGATGAAAACACTATTACAAATTGTGAAATACTCAATCGAAGTTCGATTTAGTCTAAATGTATGGGCAGGTATTTATAAAACAAAATTTTGAGTCCTCATTTTTTTACAACCTGATTGTGATTTTTTATGGCTTGTATTATTTGTTCTCACTGGAGATTAATAAACAATATAATAATGAAATTTTTGTAAGAGATGTGTTCAAAAAGTAAGGTGACTTTCAAGTTTTATCAAAAAATGTTTATTTATTTATTAAAATTGATGTTGTCCCCTTCAAAGTAATCCCCCAGATATAATACACAATCTTCGAAACACTTCTGGTAAGCACTTCTTCGCTCCTTCCATTCATGCATTTCTTGAGTTTTGCGAACAAGAAAGCGGTCGCAGGGTACATCCGGTGAATAAGGTGGCTGAGGCATGATTGTGGTTTTGTTTTTGACCAAAAAGTTAGACACAAGCAACGATGAGTGCGCAGTTGCATTATCGTGATGCAAAATCCATAAATTGTTTTCCCACAATTTCGGACGTTTTATCTGTATTTCTTCTCGCAATAGACTCGTAACTTCAATACTCTTTATTGACAGTACGACCTTGAACTCTTGATCAAAGAAAACAGTAAACAAAACCTTGATTTGATCGAACTTGACGTACTTTTTTCGGTCTTGGCGATTCTGGTTTCTTCCAATGGGAGGACTGGACTTTCGTTTCGACGTCATAACTATATATCCATGATTTATCACCAGTTATGACTTTATTTCACTTCTTCAATGCTTTCATCAGTAATTGACGTCCCGGGGCATCCAGAGCGAGGTTCGTGATTGGCGACTTCTCGGCCATCTTGGAACAGTTTGTACCACTTATAAACATTTTTTTGCTCAAAGTAGATTCACCACATGCCGTTGTCAATATTTCAAGTGTTTTGCAGCATTTTCTACACAAAATTTTATGCAAATTCTGTTCCATTTTTTTACAGCAGAAAATCGCCTAGCGCACAAAACACGTTTAACGCTTCTGTCTCACAAAAAAAAGTAAAGGTGCAAACTGCCTAAAACTGTGAACAAAAATTAGGGATATGGAAGATGGGAAGTACGTAGCCCGCCCAATTACAAAAGTCACCTTAGTTTTTGAACACACCTCGTATTAATTAGATGATCATGAACATATTTCGCCATATTTATAATATAATATAATTTGTCATTAGGAGAGAAACGACAGTATATGAACTAAATGTCAGTACCATGTCATGTTGAAAGTACGTCCATCTGAGTACTGTTTACAAACATGAAGTTGATTAAATAGTGTAGAGTTTATATGATTTTAGAACTAAAATTGACTTTATGTTAGTACCGTGAATAAACGAGTCAGCAGCGACGAACGAAAAAAAAAATTATGTGTCTCGTTGTCGACGCTTTGAAGTTGTAGTAAAATCCTTTCAGGCTTTTATTTTTGCAATAAAATAGATGAATAATATGCACAAAAGATTGTAGTTTTAAAATATTAGGGATTTTAAGTAAAAGATTAACAGTTAGACAGGAATCACCCATTTGCATTTTCTGTTCATTTCTTTTCGATGAAAATTTTATGCATTTAAATCTGTAGATATATTGTATATATATTAAATATGCTATTTAATACATGTTATACCTAGTGTTTTCACGGCCATGTAAAAAAATAAAGTTGATGATAATTTCGTCGGCACCAAACGTCGTACTTAAAATCTCCCAACGTTTTTTTGAAACGTTCTTAAAGTGGCCACAAGAAAGTGCCTTTATTTTTGTATATCTCTTTAAATAAATAACAAAAAAGAACCAAATTGGCAAATTTCGTTTTTTTTGGGCGAATATTCAAGGTGATGGGAATTTTTTATGTTTCTCAACCTCAACTGTTTTCTAATTTAACCTTCTTCGTATCCCCTTATGGTTTCTAATATCCCCATGATAGACATCCTGTATGCAGGGTGATTCAAAACAAACGAGGTTTATGGCATTAATGTTGATACGTTTGCCACTTTTGGGATAACCTGTATAGTTTGAAAGTAATGTTAAAAAGTATAATTGTATCATCTCTCTCGCAGCCGGACGGACTATAAAATCTATTAAAATCGTTTCAAACCAAAGCGTTTCATCTGCGGCGACTCCCTACCGCTGACTGCGTACTTCAAGTACACTATGCTCAGTACCAAGATGGCGAACAGTTGCAGCACCACGGAGATGACGAATATTTTGTAGGTGGTGTGCAGGAGTTGTCTCGACTTCAACTCCAGCGAGCACACGACGATCGCCACCATTAGGAAGGAGTAAGCTATCGAGAACGCCATCAGTACCGGCAGAATATCTGGAAAAAATGAGGGTTTGGGGGGCAGAGCGTTCGGTTTGTTCGTGGTTTAGGTTCGTTCCAACCTCAAATCGTAAACAGGTTTCTACGGTTGGTGGAAAAAAAATTAAAAGTTACTTTGACATTTTTTGAAATTAGAAAACGTTGACTTTGAAATAATGAGATTATATTAATCTTAAATTGACCAGCAGAACATCGCAAGAGCAAAACGAAACGAACTTTGAAAAAGTATGCTGGGGTAAAAGGTAAACCTGATAGCTGCGAGCCGGTGTTACCAACAACATGGCAATTTGTTTGGAGTTAGTACCTCGCTCGCAACAGAGAGTCATCTCTCTATTCCTTTCAATGCCGAGGTGACGTGGATATAAGATATACGAGGGCAGCGCCAAAATTTCCCTGAATATGAAAGAAACAAAATAGAGTAACAATTTTTTATTATTTTTCAATATAATCCCCCTTAACTTCAATACACTTGTTACATCTCTTTATTAACAACTCAATCCCTTTAAAAAAATATTATTTTGGTTTGTCTGCAAAATGAGCTAAAATAGCCTCTTTTAACTCAACTTCGTCGTTAAACCGCCGTCCACGTAAGACCTTTTTCAAGTATCAAAACAAATAATAGTCGCTGGGGGGCATATCTGGACTATAGGGAGGATGATCTATCTGTTGGAATCCACACTCTAAAATGGCAGTTTGTGCAACACCAGCAGTATGGACAGGTGTATTACCGTGCAAAAGACGCACGCCTCTGGTCAGTTTTGCTCGACGTTTTACACGTATGCAGTCTCGCAATTTATGTAATAATGTTGAGTAGTATTTATCGTTGACAGTGGTATTAGTTTCTTTAAAATCTATCAAAAGAATTCCTTCACAATCCGAAAAGATCTTGGCCATCAGCTTTTTTGTTGACTGGCAGACTCTGAATTTTTTTGGAGGTGCTTCACCCTTACGACGCCACTCCATTGATTCTTTTTTCGATAGAGGGTCATAATAGAGAACCATAGTTTCATCTCCCGTCACAATAATTTCTATCACAGGCTTCGGTTCCGACCCACAGATTTCCAAAAAGACCGCGCACACTCGACACGGCGTTGTTTTTGAATAGCCGAAAGGTTTTTAGGAACCCATCTAGCACTAACCTTATGCATACCTAAATGATCATGCAGGATTCGACGAACACTTGTATCAGAAAGCTTACTAATTTCTGAGATTTCCTTGACTTTTAAACGTCGATCACTCAATACCACCTCTTCCACAATCGCAACAATATCTTCCGTTATGACCTCCACTAGTCGACCAGTTCTTGAATCATCTTCAAGGGACTCCTGCCGCATTCGAAACCGTTTTGCCCGTTCTTTCACTACAGCATACGAAGGAGAACTTTGGCTATTCACACCATCCAGCCTTTCTTTAATAATTTTAGGTGCTAACCCTTCTTTTGTCAAAAACTTTATGACTGCTCTATACTCAATGGGCGTTATGTGCGACATTTTTTCGGACACGTCTTGTTTAAAATGCTGTCAATAAAAAATTATTGGACGCAAAACTTCAATTTTTTTTTCGCTGCCTACTAAGATACATATTAAAAAGAAGACAAAGTTTTATCGTGATAGTGAAACTGCGTCTATGTCAAGCCGGGAAATTTTGGCGCTAACCTCGTAGGTTACAATCAGTTTAAGTTTTTAAAGTTGTCAGTCAATGACTCACCGATTCCCTCTGTGTACAGTTTTATTTTGTGCATCTGATTTCTAATTAATTTTTGTAACACCAATCGTATCGTTTTGAACCCAATAATAGAAAAAAATCGTTTAATATGTCCTACCATTCAGAAAAGCATTTTATTTATAAGGCTTCCAGCGGTGTGACAAATATTATATAGGTATATGCCTCTCAGAGGTACTGTCGAATGTCATGTGGATTTAAGAATTATTTTCATGTTTGATATTTGTCGAAAAGGATTTTTGTTTATTTGATGAGTCTTAAATATAAGCACATTTTTAACTTCATTATAACCATGAAGACAGAAATGTAGCATCACACTGCATTTTTGTTTTAATTGAAGTTCTCTGTTAGATTAAATTCTACATCTTCGCAAGTGCCCTCTTTTAGCACACAAGTCAACTATTCAAGAATTTCAAGTACAGCTGCCAGCTGCTTACTTAATCTGTACAGTATCCTTTTTAGTGCAACGTTGGGGGACATTGTGTGTCCTATGTTCTTCTTCATGGATACACTGTTTGACTGGTGCACCTCAAATGATTTACACCTTAACATTGGAAAGTGCAAGTAAGGTTCTGAGTTTCAGTCAAGAAGACGATATTACAGATGTTCCATATCGAATGTCAAATGTAAGATCTACAGATCTGGGCGTGCATTTCGATCAAAAACCGAATCACATGAATCACATAGCAAGAATTGTATCTGAGGCTAATCTTAATTATGTGCGTAATTGTAAATCTTTTACACATATCCTTGCTTTGAAAACTCTTTACTTCAGTTTTGTTTAATCTAGTGTTGAGTACGCGTCGATTATGTGCAGTCAGATCTACTCTAGTCAAAGCTGGGCGGTTGATGAGAGGTTTAGATTAAGAATTTTATTTAAATAGTCTTGAACGGAGGTGCAAGGACGTGTCAGTTGTCTTCATTTATAAATTGTGTTATATAACGTTATAAACTGTCCCACTTTGTTAGCGTACATGGATATTCGTATACCGCGGTTAAATGCTCGCACTAAAGACACTTTTCACCGTGTTCTGGCCAGAACAAACCTATTAAAAAGTTCTCCTATAAACGTACGGTGTTCTAATTGTAATAACTTGTCAAATGTATGTGATATTTTTAACTGCAGTCCGAATGGATTGAGAAACATACATTCGAGGCCTGATTCACGTTAGTTGTGTACATCAATGTCGATTGCGAACTATCTTAATTGAATGCCAAAGGCTATGTTGCTGTTGGAACATATAATTTGATTACTAAATATTATTTTCGTTTTCTGTTGAAAAATAAAGCTATTATTATACATTCCCTCTTCTCAGGTGTCTCCTGGCGACAGGAAGCGCTTATTCAACGGTCCGAAGAGACAAGATGATATGCTTGTTGCTAACGCTCATCACCCTGCGAACTTTCCAGTTCCAGCTGCTGTAGGCTCCTTTTTAGGGTTTTTGGTATTTCTCCCGTGGCACCTATCACTATTGGGACAACAACCACTATCTGCATTTCCCACAGCGCCATACAGACACCAGAGTATATAACCAAAGTATATAAAATTCTGTTAGAGTGGTATCCGGAGATATCTTCGTCGTGATAATCTCGTTTATTTCCGGTATGATGTGAGGTGTATTGGGTTTAAACTTCAGCCTTGGTAGTTTAGGTTATGCCAAAGGGTCTAGACCAAAGATATGATTATTTTTGGTTGGTTTAGTTAGTTAATTAAGTTATTGGCTTCCAAACCTGAGACCAATCACCAGTTCGAGGGATTCCCGCAATTATCTAGTCACTTGTGGAAAAACTCCTTCATTTGTAAAGAACTCTGGGCAACGTAAGACAAGTTTGTTAGCTTTGACGTGGAAAGTTTATAGTTTATATACCAACGTGTCCTTGGAGGAATCGTTAGTTGTTTAGGATAATACGTAGGGCAAGGACTAAGTTGGAACCTTTTGTAAAAACTGAATCTTCCGTCTCAGAAAGTTGGTGCGATGATACATTTACAGTATTTGGTAGTTGATGTTAGTTTTTCAAATTTTTGAATGTGATTCTAGGTGGAGGATAAAACAGGATTTTCAGTTTTGTCATGAATCATATTTGACAGGTTATTAAACTCGACTGGGACAAAATAGAAGCAAATTCAAGATGTAGAGACGGAAGAGTTTTATTCATTGGGTCTATTTCTTTACGGATAAAGTAAAGTAAAGTAAAGCAAAACTTGATTTACGAATTTTTTTTAAGCAAGTCAGGTTTTGATATGATAAATTATTATAAGGAAATTAAATCGTTATGCCCTCTACAACGTAAACAAAAAAGTCAGTGTACAGTCGCAGTCGGTAATCTTCTAGCTTTCTGCTTTTGCGGTTAATGTTCTATCCATAAAGGCTTGTTAATTTTTCAAAGAAACTTCCACAGGCTACTATAATGCTATTTGCAGATCTTTTGGATGCCTCCTGCGTCGGTTGCTTATGTCAAATATCTATTAAAATTATGTCATTTTTATGTCAAGTAATAGTGGATCTGATAACGTTTAATGACTAGGGTAAGGTAGAAACGGTTTGTGAATGGGGTCGGAACGAACTTAAACTATGGGGCTCTTACAAAATTCGTCCGCAGAAAAGTGTTCATGCCAGTAATCACCGGGAGCTCCGTTAGTCATGAGCAGTTGGTAGTTGATGCTGATACCCTGAAAATCGATACTTCTAGAAGGTGGTCGATTAAGCGAAGTCTTGAGAACCGCCGACCGTACAGATTTTCGAAAATAAAAGACTTTCAATAAAAGCAACCTATAGAAACATCCGCTAAAAGAACATAAAAATAAGTTGAAAATAATCATAACACATTATAGGGAAAATTCCACACTTTTTTCCATTTTAGGCATAATACAAGAGAGCAAGTGATCTTAAAATATAGGTTGCCGATTTTTGCAATTTTTTACAAGAAGTACTATCAGCAAAAGAATTAGAGCAGTACTGCAGCGCAGCAAAGTAAAGACTGCAAATGATGGCGTATTCATTTTTAAAAAAGAAAGAAATCAAAATGCAAAAAAATTGGACCACATTGGACTTAAAGTTTTACCAGACGTGATCCCTTTCATCTTACGATTTTATGCAAGGAAAGATCCAAGTAGTACAATACATACGAAAGTTATATTAACAGATAACAAATATTATAATCTATCATTTATTCCTTGGGTGTCTTGTTTTTTTTTTTGTTCTTAAAAATTCATTTTTTGTTGGTAAGTTCTACAGGGTGGTCATTTTAGTGTGCAACATATGAAATTTTTTGTTAACAACTGCACAACTAAAATGCTAATATTGGCAAAAGTAGTTGCATATCATAATTATATTAGGCGCACTTAAAATATTTGCAAGTCAAGCACCACACAGCATACTTATTTCAAAAAATTGAACAAAATTACAATTAATTACTTTTAATTAATTACTTACAGATTAATTAATTAATGTTATTAATTATAATTACAACATGCCTAAATAACATAACAATAAAATACTTCAAAATAAATTATCATTATATAACAATATACAGGGTAGGACGAAAAATACAAAAATTGAACACTTACACTTACTAAAAAAAATGGAGCCAAATGTTATGAAAAGTTGTTTAGAATTAAACGTAATGCAAACAGTTTTTCTGTTCGAACAAAATTATTTTTTTTTTATATATATAAAATAGGAAAATTATTTAATTTTAAAAAATTATTAATAAAAACATAATTATGGGGCAGAAAATATAAAATAATTCTATGCATGTAATTAATTGTAATTGTAAAATTCGCTCTTGAGCTCAGTGCATTTGGTGTTATATTTCTGCCGTGAAATCTTGTTAAATGTTCAAGTTCCTCAAGATTATTAAACGTCCGATCCATATAAAGTTTTGTTTCAAGTGTTGGGGACATTTTCAAGAAAAAAACCTATTGGAGTGATATTTAGCGAACGGGACCACTGTGGGTCGGTATTTCGTCCTAACTATTCGGTAAGAATTCTAGAAGCGACTATTTCACGCACTGGTATATAATTATCTCCACATATTAAAACTACCTCTGCTTTCTTAGTAATCAAGCAATTATTATTTGACAACAACAATAAATGTCATCAGACTGTCATAATGTTTACTGCAAAGTGACATCTCTAGTAGGATTTTATGTTTGTTAATTAATAATAATTTATACTTACTGTTTTTCATAAAAAATTTAAAACCGAAATTTTGTTATTTAAATGTCGATTTCTTAACATGCCTATTATAATTATTTGGTTCCTTGGCTACTTAAAGAAATATGTCATTAAATATCGTTGCAACAAACATAACATTTATGCTCTTAATATGAGTTAATTTTACAAATAAGATGAAATTGGAACAATTTTTATTTTTTATTTTTTTTTTTAATTTTGTTAAATCCATTTTATTTTGCATAATTTGGGACAGTATGCTGACATTTCACCAATCATCCTGCTGGCTTCTTCAGAGCTATATATTGTTGGGGCGGAGTGGAGCTAAATGAGGACCATAACCATAGTCTCGGATAACTGATGACGGTGAGAGCTCAAGACCGGAGTCGCGGTTAAGATTATTATTATTAAGATTGCTTATAAGCAGCCTAATAATCTTAGATTTCTATTTCTATAGATTTCTATAGACTCTCGGATTTGGTAGAATAATGAAATGAAATGGGACGTGAATTTAACAAACCCATATATGTGCTTCGCGGACTACAAAATAGCCTTGGGATCTTCTCTGGTCAGTGCTGGACCGGACCAAAACATCTGCTACCCCTGATTGCAAGCTTGTACTGGATTTTTATCAGATGCTTTTACCAAAAAAGAAAGACATAAGACAAGGATGTATACTGCAACCACTGTATATAGTGAATACTTTTTTAAGAAACGTTCTGGAAGACATCTAGAGGAATTCATGGAACTCCCGCGACGTATACAACAATTATATCTCTGCATAATTAGATACGTTCTCTCAGAATTGCATCTTGTTTCAACCACAACCACAAATAATACGGTGTGGCTAGCGCCCCCTAGGGTAAGTATCAAATTCATATTTGTCAAAAACTTTCTCGATTGAATAGAAAATTTAGAATAAAACTTAAACTTGGAAGTATTTTGGTGTCTGTAGTCCAAGTCACACTGAGAATACAGTGTAGAGTATTATGGAGCGCAATTTCGCTGCTCGTATCCAATTTTTTTACTCCAGTGAAATTTTTTATTTCCAACAGCAATAACAATTGCAAGCGCACAAAATATAAAATTATAAAAGGTTATTACAAAACGATACAAACGAAACCAACAGTAATATAGAGAGGCCAGACCTTAAGATATTTTAAAAATAGACTATACTATATACACTATAATACTATATAGTATAATAATAGGCCAATTACATGTAAACCAATCCTGGATGTTAACGATTGTAGAGTTTCCTCCGACAGGCGAGAGCTGTTAAATGTAATTCTAAGCATTGGTTAGAGTAGTAGAATTCGTGATTGTTACAAAAATTATGATAAATGTATCGCTGAATACTTTCTATCCGCTGTTTATAGCAGGTGTAATCGGGACTTCGTACCGAAGCAGCATATTCTAGATGTGATCTAACATAGGAATAATACAGTGTTTTCATGACATTGATTTTTGAGAAGTCTGTTGTATTGCGCCTAATAAACCCTAGCATGGACTGAAAAATCTGAAAAAGTTTTAATTTAGCAGCATGCCCAAATCCCAGGAGTGCTAGGCAGTCATGTTTGAGTGGTTATTCTTAAGAACGGTTTCAGATCGTCAGCAAAAAGAAGAAAAATATTATGCTTAAAACATGATGTAATGTCACTGATATTGAATAGTAACAGTCCCAGGTAAGAGTCCTGGGGGGGCCAGATTAGACTAAGATTTGGAGAGATGTAAAGTTGTTCAAATGCACCAGTCATGTGACTTTCTATCCAAGGTCATAACGTACCCGAAACACCCAAAATCTCGAGTTTCTTAACCAATGGTGTTTGAGTCAAACGACATGAAAAAGTCAGTATATATCGAGTGTATCTTCCCTAAAGCACGACCAGGAAAGTAAGTAGGTGGAATTCGGTAGATGAATAATGTCAGATCATAAGCACGAAGTTAAAAATTTTGTGTTTAAGTTTTAGAATACTTTCGGAATGAATATACTAATAAAAGTTACTTCTTAAAGGTGCAGAGATCTTGATAAGATAAAGCAACAGTTTTCGAGAAGTAGAGGGTGAACCTTATCTGGTCCTGGCCCTACATCAGGATTTAATAGTATTCAACTCTGAATAAGTTACACAAGTTGTGCGCACTCAATGAGAGCTGATCTGGCATATCAAGGGAATTGTTGATATAGACTGAGCCAAAATGTTTACTAGAGTTTAGTAAAAAATCTATGTAAGACCAGAATATTTTTGGGTTTCGTTGAAAGGAGCCTTCAACATCTGTTTTGATAACTGAATGCAATGATAACGCAATTTGGTGGAACAGAGATAGGCGTAAGGAAGCCTACTTTGCTTGAATTTTTTATGGGCAATCTTTTTTTGAATAATAAGAGCTTTCAGATTCTGTGACAGTCATTTGGGAAATTTTCCACTAGCGATCTTTTTCACGGGAAAGAAAATGCTAAAAGTTTTATATGGTATGTCATAGAAAGGAGTTGTCAACTCTTCAACAGTCAGAACAGGTACACATAGACGTTTTTAAAATTTGCGGTTCAAGGTGTTCTGGCTACACAGGGAACGAGAATTTCATTTAGTTGAAATAAATGCTTGATCTATTAACGAACCAACATGTTTTGTATTGAAATCGGAGTTATTCATTGTCGAAATGATAGAAAGCGTTATCAAAACGTAAAGAGTGATTCTACGCCGAAACAAACCAGAATATCCTGTGGATCTAATGTAACGGTTTTTAATTGTTCAACGAAATGAAAACATTAAGTACGAATTTGTCAGTTTTCGTTGTAACGAGTTTTAATATAGAAGCCAGATTTTTTTTTAGGCAATATGTTGGAGGAATTTTAAAGCCATTTTTTCATGGATTCTGATAGAGAAAAAGTCTTAATAAGTTTGCGTTCTACAGATGATGTAGGATCTTTTTTAAGTTGACAATAAGAATTGTGAATTGATATTCACTTGTGTTTTCCTTTATCTGCGTTTAAAATTGCGAGATCTGGATCAGATTCCAGAGATTTTAGAGCAATTTATCCAGGCTTTGGAATATTATATTTAGGAGGTTTGTTTTTTTAAGTTTTTTTTGCGGTACATTTACCACAAGGTATGGTAGACAAGAGTTTCATGGTTTCACCAGTGTTGACGTTAGTTTTTCAAAATTTTTAATGTGATTCTGGACAGCTTTGCCATGAATTATGTTTGAAAGGATATCGAACTCGGATGGGGACAAGACGGAAGCAATTTCAACATGTAGAGACAGACACAGACAGAATGCCTTGTCATCCGGCCCAAAAATCATCGGTCATCAACTCTCTTGCTGTAAAAGTATATCAGCGCGAGTCACTGAACCCAGAATTAAGACACCTTACATCTGGGAGATTAGAGATATTAAGAGCTTCATCACAAAATACATTTCACCACAACCTTTCCAATACAATTAGTCCGAAAGCAACCCCACACTTGCCACTGTTGCTCATCCTTACATTCAACACATCGTCAAAACCAGATTTACCATTTGTGCAAAACTCTCTCAACATCTTCACATACCAGGAATTTACAGTATTCCCTGAATATGTGGCACAGAATATATTAGAAAAAATTCATATTAGAAGGTATTATAAGCCATCTTGACTTCCTTATTTCAGTCATCACCTCATTAATTAATTAATATATTTCACCGTTTATTACCTATTTTACCAACCAATTCAAAACATCTTATTCTAATATTTGTATGAGTAATCCATTTAATATGCGGACTTATATGTATTTACAACGATATTATCGACTCTAGGACTGCTATACGATTCTCGGCAATGCTGTACCGTTTTGTCCCACTTGAAATGCATTGCCCATGCTACCCGCACTGTATTATGTGTGACTTGGACTATAGTCTCTATAGTTTAGAGAGTACCATTTCTTTAGAATCACCCTGAATAAGCTTTGACTTATAAAAAATATAGTATATAATTATCCAAAAAAAAAACAATGACTATTTTCTTCACGATGAAAAGTACCTTGGTCCCGTTACAGTTGCTGATGGCGATGAACCACCACCTTTCCCTAGCGCTCCGGAATTTCCGGGCGTTATGACACGATACCGTCCGGCCTGTTCTGATGACGGACACAGGAGATTTCACCGGAACGTATCGTCTCCTCCTCGGACGCTCATCGTACGCGGTTACGTTGGACCCCTAAGAAATGAAAAATTTTTCCTCAAACCACAGAAGCCTCGACAAGCTCTGACTCATAGACAACACCAATTTTCCGATGCGAGTTTTGACTTTTCGAAGCAGCATTGGAACGTTTGTGACGTGATTTGTGTTTTAATTATTTCCTACTTACTTTTTTCTTTATTATTTTATATATGTACTAGCTGAACCGGCAGATGCCGTACTGCCTCAATCGATAAATAAAAGACACAAACTTTTGTATAATCTTAAAACAAACAAAACGATTCCGTATTTAATAAAAAAAAAACCTTTTTGAACGAAGCATATTATTATTTTCGACACATCATGTAACTTACAAAACAGAGTTTTCCTAAAATACTGGCTATTTATGAGGTATAAATTTGATATTGACAGGCACGCACTGTTATGATACAGTATGTTAATCAAGCTTTCTCATAAACTATTTTTCTTGTACAATTGTCCATGCGCGAAACAAGGAAACTTCAAGTTGATTCCGCAAACTTCTAACCACTGTCCTTGCGATTTATTTATGGTCATCGCAAATGCCAGTCGTGCTGGAAATTGTAAGCGTTTAAAATCGAATGGAAACATCGGTATCCGCGGGATCAAGACATCCTCTCTTTTCTTTTATGATTATTGCCTCAATGACGTTGTCCACCAGCTTTTTCACAGTCTTGGTCCATTGCAAAGTCGAGGTTTGTTTATATTACGCAGCATGATGACAACTGAACCTACTTTTAACTGCAAATTGTGAGGTGGTAATCCAGACAATTTCATTGAATTTAAAAGTTCCGTGGTACAGTTAGTTGACTACGTCATCCTGGTTCATAACAGTGTCGACTGATTTGAATGAAACCAACTGTCATGGAAGAAAATTGAGATTCTCGTCATCTTTAGTTTTCGCCGCCAATATCACTCGTTCACCCAGAAAATTATGAATAATCAAAGCCAAGCTGAATAAGCTCCCCTTTTGAGTCTGCGATGTGACAGAAATCTGTGGGTAATGTAATGAATCTGATCCAGGTGTCCACTGCAACTTTATTATTTTCATTTGCAGTTTCATCTTGTTGCAAAAAATACTCGCATGTTGTAAATTGGAGTGTCTTTACATACTGCCACAAATTCTATGATTTTAGTCATGCAAATCTCTCTGATCTCTGTGACGAAAATCACCTGACAACAGAAGCATGGCCCCACCAAAAATATTGTGGTTGTCACGAAGATGTTTCAACGTTCACACACTCAACACTCACCAGATAGCGAAGTTCTCACATAGCAATACGATTATTTTCCTGATCTCTTCGCACATTTGATTTGGACTGCGACTATCTAAGTCAGGTCGTCTTCTTCTGGGTATCGTAAATTGTAAATAATCAAAATGTCAAATGTTCAGCACTTTTATTGAGTTTCGGAACTCGGCGGCAATAAACTGAAAATTGACTCTTTGAAGTTGGGAATACCCTTATATTTCTTAGTCAACAGTGAGTATTATTGAATGTTGAAACGTTTTTATGGGAAAAAGAAGAGGGCTGTTTTTAGGGTTTTCCCGGCAATTATTAACATTTTTCTCACCTTTTAAACCTTTTTTAAACCTCCACGAACATTTCAAGACCAAGATAAGATAAATCCGTTCGATATTGCACTTTCTCTACGGCGTACTTTGGAGATTTCTTCTTAAGGATTAAGAAGTTTGTAAGAAACTCTTTCTCTTAGAATATAATTCAACACAGCATTTCTTTAGCATTGTTTCGATGTGAATAGAGATTTTGTACGTTACAATAGCCTGGACCGATCCAATCAATTTGAAATTGAAGAGTGGAAGTAACAAAGGTGATTTGAGGTGAAATTGAGTTATTCCCAGAGAAAAGTATTAAGCGATATGCTGCGTCATTTCAAGAACGCAATCGTGGCACTGCCGAAGTTCTATCGATTTATTTTTATTGAAGACTTTGCAAAACTTTCATTTCACCGACCAAGAATGGACACTTTTCATACCTCGATGGATACGATCGACTGGATTGGGAAGTTCATGCAAATATCGGCACAAGTAGAGAAGCTAAATCACAACTGGAGCTTCATCAAACAAAAGCTGACGGAGCTGGGGAACTTCTAAAATAGTCTTTTCTTCCAGGTCTTATCCATGGACCTCGAATGGGTAATGTTTTTTTTCTGTTTAATGGCATTAAGGTGTGAATGACATTTCTTCCTGTTAAATAGGATCTATAGTCCTCTGGTGTGATAGCGGTCATAACTTTATACCTTGTGACAGGGATTTTGCGTTGATAGAAAAACGCAAAAGAGTCATGAAATCCTTGATGCCAGACGATCTGGTCAACGTCATTCACTCGGCAAGGTACAACCCACCATTTGGAGTGATCATTATGGCCAATTTTGAATTTTGCGATAAAAAGAGACCTGCAGACCTAATTCTAAACACTTCAATGCTTCAAATCATTAAAGCAGTCATAATCAGATCGACACAAACTGTATTTTCTCAATCGCAAAAACGAACTTAAACCAATCTTCTGAAGAAGTATAAAACTATGAAAGATTTGCTAAATACAAAACTATTAGGATTTACGAGGGTCACTTGAAAAGGTTCCAAACCCACCCTGAAGATAACGGACCTAATTGCTAAAAGCTAGCATCGTAGTTGTACACCTCTTGATAGTTATGGTCTGTTCATAGATATAAGAAAGTGATCAGTTGCTTTTGAATGGGATTATCCAAGGGTAACATACAATGCAACAAGATTATTACCTAAAGTTTCGGAATTTAAATTCAGGTAAAATTGTGGTCCGTAATAGAAAATAATTTTATAGCTACCTGTGTCTAATATTCTTTGGTTTGGTATACTACTTAGTTTAAGTTTATTAGTAATCATTTTTATTTCGTCTGTAATACACCGTGTGTTGAATCGTGTGCGAATTATGCAAAATATGTGCGAGTCTAATGTATCTCAGGAGATGCTCCCGCCCAACTATAGAAAACACTATTCTATTGAGACTAAGGAAGTTATAAACAATATTTATTTGACTCTCATTGAACGTGGTGCCAGCAAGCAAGCATCTTTAGAAGAAACGGCCACATTGACGAAAAATCCAACATCAACTGTATGGAAAATTGTGAATAATCCCATTTCAGCGAGGAAAAAAAGAAGACATTTTGTCGAGTGTAGATGAAAGTGATCAAGATATAATACAGTGTAAAATTTACCAGTTACCATGAAGACACCACCGCACAAAAGGAATACGTCTGTGATAATTATGCAAAAAATCTAGCACATACAGTTTTAACGCTTCCACCTTACCACTGTATATTTAATCCCATTGAACATGTTTAGCACCAACTGAAATATGCCATTCGTCGTAACAATGTTTTTCCCCGTGTTAAGTCCAACGTCCTCAAAACTTATAGAAACCGAAATTTTTAACAGCCCTCCACAAAGTTGAGCAAATTCTGTTAAACAGATATAAAAAGCAGAACAATCGTATATCCATATTGCAAATAATATAGAAGAAATAATAATTAGAACATATAGCGATAGTGATACTGATATATTATGTGAATAATTTTAAGTAATTTAAGTAGGTAATGAAAATAATTTGTAATTTTATTTTAGATTTAAACATAAATACATACATAAATAAGTAAATTTGGTTTAGTATCTTTCCTAACAAAACCCCAAATACTTAAATTCTAAGCAAAGTACGGACCTGTTCGGCCATATTTCATTCTTACAGCTTGCCCGGGTCTTTCCTTAATTCGTATCAGTTAGTCACTTTCTTATATCTATGAACAGACTTTACCCCATTTTCAGCCGTTTTGGTTAGTGGCTTTTAGTTGAGAGTAGTTTGAGTGAGTCGATGTAAGTGTTTTAATGAAAATGGAAAAAAATGGGTACAGAGTTGGTATAAAATATTTGTTTTTGAAAGGCAATATGCCTAGGCAAATTAAAGTTGAGTTGGATTCTGTATATGAGTACTCTGCACGGTCATATACCACAGTGAAATTTTGGACAATTGGATTTAAACGTGGTCAAGAGATGAACGTCCAAAAACTGTAACTAGCGACGATAATATTGCTAAAGTTCATCAAATGGTGTTAAACGACAAAAACGTGTTTGAATGAACATTGCCAATGCTCTTTTAGCGCAGTTTAGGTGCAATAAATCCCAGTTTTGGCTGCGATTACTTAATATAGATGAAACTGGGATACACCATTATACGCCAGAATCAAAAATACAGTCAATACAGTGGACTGCGAAGGGGGAACCGACCCCGAAAAAAGCAAAACCTATTTTTCCGGCTGCGAAAGTGATGGTGACTGATTTTTGGGATAGCCATGGGGTCGTCTTAATCGATTACCTCCAAAAAGGAAAAACCGTTGCAAGAGGATACTGTGCATCACCCGGAAATTGGATTGTTCCTTTATCTGGGAAGTTAATTTTAAAAAACAAATTGGTGCTTTTTTTTTAAATTATCAGGACCAGTTTGATTTTACGACGAAGGCACTATTAAAGTTCTTGGAGGGTGTGGTCGAGAGCTTTAACGCTGCACAGTGTTATAACGCTTTGCAATTTCGCCAAGGCCTTCGGTTATGTGTGCCATGAAAAAATTTGAACAATATAGTATGTGGGGTGTGTTTCTCGAATGTTTCAAAGGCGAAAAGAAACCGGCTTCGTTTAAGTGTGATATTTTGACGTAAAAACGATTTATTCAATTAACACTTTCACAGACACTTTTTTTTTAAATGCTCTTTTTTATCTACAAAATGAAAGATACAGTGTACGTCATAAACTGGATTAAAAATACCGCAAACGAAAATGTATTTTTTAGGAATTCGACCTGTCCGAGCAGTAGAGGAAACAGTGTCCACCGTAATTCCTTTTTTCTACCCCCTTCTGTAAAATACCTAATTATACAGGGTGCGGCAAAATGATAGGTACTATTTGGGATGTTAATAAAAACCAAACTACATAAAGCAAACATTTTTTTCAAATTATTTTTGAAATGTACATTTTATGCCATTTAGGAACGTTATTTTTTAAAGGTGATGTCTTTTAAATGACGGCCATTATTGTCGATGCACTGTTGTAGGTTCTCGCCGAAGCGCATCATTACTCGATGGACCATTTCTTGGGGAATTGGGGCAATTTCTTGTCTTTGTCTTATGGCTGCCTTTAATTCTCCCAAAGTCCGCGGACGACGTGTGAAAACTCTCGCTTTCGGGTAACCCCAAAGAAAAAAGTCGCAAGGCGACAAATCAGGCGAACGTGGCGGCCAGTCAAGATCACCCCGGACATTTCGGGGATATTACGCACGGATTTGGGATCAATCGGAGGTTTTGAATAGTTTGAAAATACCCCGACTATTTTAAAACTTGTGGATTATTTTAGTCGAGAAAGCGAGGGAACCGCTTTTACTCTTAAACGCTGTGTACAATGAAAGAGCAATTTAAATTTTTTAAAACTTTTACCGATGCATTAGATATTTCTCGAAGATCGATGCAAAAGCTTGTTTCTGGAGGCATCAAAACCGATCATGAACAAAAAGTTAAAGTACACGAGTGTAGCATACAAACACGAATTGATGCAATGTACGCAGCACATATTAATGTGAAACATTCTTTTTTTCCAAATGAATCATTCGAAATTTTATATAACCCCTTCATGGTTTTTGAATCAAAAAAATTCATCCATTTTAATAATTACTTTTCGTCCCTTATGAGAGAACATGTCACTGTAGAATCGCTACGCAAAAATTTAGAAAAAATCGAAGGTATTGATATTTCACATGGAACATTCATTGATGGATTAAAAAGGTTAAAATTTTGTTGTAAAAAGTATTTCAAGCTGGAAATATCTAATGGAACAATCATGAATTACTCATAAACGACTGAAATTTTTGAGAGAATACATGAAAAATCAGAATTTTGAGCGAAACTTGTAATGAAGCGTGTAGAAAAAGCTGGCACGACGATCCTCAAAAAGTATGGTGAAAGACTTTGTTATACAATTTTACATACGGGTTCTAAAAATGGCTTTGTGGAAAATTTTGAATATTTCTTTTTTATGCTAACCTATGCTTTTTTGCTAACCTATGAGCAGACATAAAAGTTTTGCATGAACCAGATTCGGGAGAAGATATTTTTCCGACGATGACTAGCCGCTCATTTGTCCTTTGCGTTATGGGTTTTCGTTGTTTTTGTTGTTGAAGCATTGGGAGTTTTTCAACAATAAACTTACCTAATTGATATTTGTTTTCTCCCATATATTTGATGCGTTTTACTTTGTCTGTTGGTATAAATAAGCTACTGAACCAAGTTGCCATAATCTAATTATAACAAAATAATAATATATAAACATGAAATAAACAGTTGACCTAGCCAGAATTTGCATAGAGCTAAAGATTGACAATTATATATGAAATGTCAAAAATCCCCTTCGATTCGACTTGTGCAAACAAATGTATTCAAAGACAAACGTAAAAAATTGAGTTTTTTTCCCTTTTTCTCGAAAACGATAAGTTTTATCGTGAATATAGGTCACACAAAAGTAACAGATCATACAATTCTCTACAAAAATTGTTCAGACACATTTTTTCTCACGACTCACCATTCATGAGACATCGCGGTTTCAACTATTAAAAAATTCATATTTTACATAACATGTATAAATAAAAATAAGAAACTATGGACATTTTGGTCATAACAGTACGATTGTATTTGATAGTTATACTAATCATATGAAAAATATTAAAGCTGCAGAACAACGTCGCCAAACTACAAAAGCATATTCATCTTTTGATATCATTTTCGATCGATCTATGAAAGTTCCAACAAACCAACAACAATTTCTTGCAAATACTCACAATAAGTCTCGCTTCATTTCAATGTTTTATTTTTTTATTTTATGAATTTACAGAGGCTGGAATTTCAATAAAACAAGCTGATAATGATGCTCATATCCTAATTATTGAAACAGCAATAGAACAATCTAAAAGCTGAAATACAACCGTCGTTGTTGGGGAAGATGTTGATTTGTTGATACTACTGACTTCACGGACTCAACATGAAAAAATTCTGAAACCTGGGAAAGCTTAAGTACAATCAACATCACAAATTCTGACTGCATATTCAAAATATCCAGGTCATATTTTATTTTTTAAATGTCCGAAAAACATGATTTCATTGATTGCGCAGAAGTATTAACAAACATTGACTCTTCTCCACACGACACAGTTCCAAATGGAATTCGTTTTGTTCTTGCAATGTATGGCGCTCCAAAAAAAATGATTGCATAGATAAATATAGATATTTGAAGTTTGTAAAATCTGCATGGAACAATAAAAGAATCAACAGTAATTATCTGGAGCCAATTCAAACTCTACTTCCGCCTGCTGTAGAAAAGCTGTTCAATACTATTTTCCGTAAGACGGGTTGTAGTGGCTGTCAAAAAGTGGGATTATTTTGTTCGCCAGTTAATTGTCACGGCATGACTTGCTCCAATATTGAATCAAGTTCACCAAAAGAAATTATTTATGATTCTAATGAAGAGACAATTAATGCATCCCTTTTCTTAAAACAGCAAACAGAGATTCTGTAAGAAGAAGAAAACGAAGATGAAGTGGAAGCATCTATTGTAACAACATTTAGAAGAAAACCTATTCCGTTTTGAAAATTATCAATATTACCATACTTTCAATCAATAGGATACGATTTGATCAAATTTTCTTCATTACAATAGACCGTAAAGTATTCCTACTGGGTAAACCACTTTTAAAAAATGCGTCAAATACATTACCACAAAGGTGGTGCGGAAATGTGTGCATATTATGTAAATAATGAATTTTCTAATAGTTGAAACCGCGATATTTCACAAATGGTGGGTCGTGAGAAAAAAAGTGCCTGAACAATTTTTGTAGAGAATTGTATGATCTATAACATTTGTCTGACCTACTTTCGCGATAAAACTTATCATTTCGAGAAAAATGGAAAACGTTTGACCTTGAATAAAAGTTTTTGTACAAGTCGAGTCGAAGGGGATTTTTGACATTTCATGTATAAGGATATATTTAACGTCTCTGTTAATTTTCAGCTCTATAAGAATTTTGCCTAAATTTTGGTTATTTTTGTCTATTTTGAATGGATTATAGTAGGTTCTACCACTTTATAATCTAATGATTAACGTCCACACTGCAATTTACGTACCTACTTTAAACTAATGAATTAATTAAAATTGGAAGGCATCTGAAAATGGTTGCAATATAGTTAAGACATAAGTGTACACGTGACGTAACTGCAACACTGCTCCGACTGGAGTTTATAATTTACGCTAAATATTCAAAAATAGTCAATAAATTTATTATGTTCTATTTCATTATATCGACTTACCACGGTCGTAGCCGAGTATTCCTCGGTTCCAGCCGTGGTACTAGTGAGATCATTGAAGGTGATGGACGATGGGTATGTCGAATAGTCTAAACTTGAGAAAGTCGAGGACATCGTAGTCCCGGTTGTGTCCGAAACTGTGGTTTGGGGTAGTTCTGTGGTTGTTTTGACGGTAGTAGTGGTGGTGGTTATTTTCACGTGACCTGAAACCTTTTATAGTTTAGCTTATCGAGAGCTTTTCCTGTATTACCTGTATATCAGAAGCGTATCCGCGAAAATGCATATAAATAACATGAACAAGTCAATAATCAAGCGAAAATGTACAGGGTGTCGAGGGGGACTATTGGGATCTCGGAAACCGGAAAAGAAGCTAAGGAAAAGTTGCTCATTTTGATGCTTAATTTAAAACCGTGTCAAAACAAAGAAAATTCCCATTAGTTCCGTAAATATACAGAAACACCGAAAATCAGCAATTTCTTTTCAATTGTTTCCTGGCCTTAATTGATTTTTTTTAAAACAAATAATATTTTCTCGTTGTAACGTTTTCTCTCCTACAAATTGGCATTATCAAGTTTTAAGTATGACGTTTCGGTTTTATGTGCCTATCATCAACTTATTTTTCAAATACAAATCTGCATTTTTTATCTATCATTTCGAAAAAGCAGGTCATTTTGAAAAAATACATGTATCAAACTTATTGATTTAATAAGCAATAACGCCCTAAAATTGACAATAAAGCCGACTGATAATTGGCAAAACGGCAGCAATTTCGACTCAACAAAAACCGACGCAGGAGGAATCCAAAAGTTTTGTAAATAGTATTACAGTAGCCTGTGGAAGTTTCTTACGAAATTAACAAGCCAAACGGAAAATCAGGTCTTTCAAAAGGTTCCAACTTCGTCCTTGCTCCACGTATTATCAAATTGTAATCTCAAACAGCTAATGAAATTCGCTTTGAAACCGCAAAAATCTTTAAAAAATCAAGACCTCCTAAATCTAATATTTCAGAGCCTGAACGCATTGCTCTAAAATCTCTAAAATCTAATCCCGAGATCGTAATCCTAAAAGTGGATAAAGGAAATGCTACGGTGATTATGAACACAAATGAATACCAGGAAGAGATATTCTTACAGGCAGATCATATCGTCAACTTAAAAAAGATCCTACCTCATCTATAGAACGCAACCTTAAATCTGTTATTAAGGCTTCTTCTCTATCAGACTCCCCGATAAAATCTGTCACCCCTTATGACTCTAAAATTCCTCATCTCTATTTTTTGAACAAACGTCGGGAACAGCTATGGGTTCAACATTATCACCAGTTATCCCGAAAATATTTATGGAAGGCTTTGAGAAAAAAGCTCTCCACACCTTCCATCTAAAACCAAAATTATGGAAACGCTACGTCGATGATACTTTTATTTGGCCTCATGGTCAAGCATCCTTAGTAGATTGTCTTAGACATTTAAACTCTATACAACCAAACATACGTTTTACCATCGAATTATAAACTAATAATAACCTCCCATTCTTTGATATTCCAATCAATACAAAATTTGGGTCATTGTGTTTACAGAAAACCTACGCACACAGACCTTAATGCATTGTCACATCACCGTGTCCGGCACAAAAATCATCGGTTATTAACCCTCTTGTTTACAGAGCCCTAAAACTATGTCAGCCCGAGTCACTAAACTTGGAATTAAAACACGTCTCTGCTCTACTCCCTAATAATGTCCACATTAAAGATATTAAGCCTTCCATCACAAAATACACCGCACTACAACCTTCCAATAGCAATGAGGCCGAAAGCAAACCCACACTTGCCACTGTTGTCCTATCTTACACTCAAAACATCACTGACTAAATATCAAAAGTTCTAAACGTCAAAACCAGATTTACCACTCAACAACTTCGATCCGACAAAGACAGAGATACCAGGAGTTTACAACATTCCATGCATTTGGGGAAAAGAATACATTGGAGAGACCGAACGAAAAATTTACAACTAGGCTCAAAGAACATGAAAAAGCTTCAAGACTGAGACAAATAAGCTCATCAGCAGTTACCGAACACAATCACGAAACCGGACATAAAATTTTATTCGATAAAACTAAAATTATTGTATGTAATCAATTCTTCTAACAACGAAAAATCCGAGAGTCTATGGAAATAAGCAACCTATCAATCTTATCCGCGACTCAGGTCTTTACCGGTCACCGATATGGGAACCAGTCATTCGATACCCTGTTTGTGCCCCTCATTTAGCTCCGCCCCACTCAAACAATATATACACCGGACCAGAATAAAATGCGAGCCAGTTTCGGTTAAGCTCTGAAAAAGCCAACAAGATGACTGGCAAAACGTTAGCGTTAACAAAAACTGATGCAGGAGGAAGCTAGAAGTCTTGTAAAAAGTAATAAATCTAAATGTACACAAAATATAAGGCGGCCATGAAACAAAAGCCATTATTATGTCAAAGCTTAGCAAGTTCAGGAGGAATCCAGAAATTTAGAATTAAGAAATTAAGAATCTGAGAAGAACACAATTATTAAGTTAACTAACTAAATTGAGCCATAGTTCATATTACATTTATTTATAGACTTTGTAGTGAAAACGATGTTTTCAGATATGGAACGGTCCCTAAATCAATATCGCCAGCGACTTCAACCGCCTCCAAATTTGCTGAAATTTGGCAGTTTAGATCTCTCTTATTTTTGTTAATAACCTTAGATTAATAATACCTACACCTCAGGGTATCTTTATCTATTTCAGATTCAGAAAAACAGGTGGTATCTTCTTCTAAATTGGCTGGATTCTCAGGCACTGGGAGGGGAGATCCGAGCCATGTCGCACTAGCCTAACTGAATACTTGAGGCTCGGATAAATGATGTTTTCCAAATTTTTTGTATTATATCCGCGAACATTGCACATGCAGAAATAATGGTTATCATGATGTTGGGTCTCTTTATATGATCATCTTCAAATACCTTGCAAACAGTATGTGGCGCCCGAGGTATGTATTGCTCACTAATTGGCGTTAAATAACTTATATTTCAGTAATCAGGAAAAACACTAGACAATAGAGAGAAAAGTTAATGGCATTTAAATCCAAACCATACTCAGATTTATAGTCAGGACCATCCCCATCGTGCTTTTTGTGTGTAGATGAAAACTGTTCTACAAATAAGTTAACAATTTTTCAAAGAAACTTCCGCAGGCTACTGCAATACTATTTACAACACTTCTGGATTCTTCCTGAGTCGGTTATTGTGAAATCGAACTTGCAGGAGGAATCCAGAAGTAATATAAGTAAATAGTAAGTTAACAATTTCTTGACAATTACCACCAATCTCATTCAGCAAATACATGCAATTGGGATATTCTGCTATTTCCACTTTTCCGGCATAAATTTTAATTTTTTTTTCTGAAAAATATTAAAAAATAAAATAAAGATTATATAGCATTTCCATATATTGCTACCTATATTGCCTGCCGATCTTCAGTTATTGAAAGACCGTTATTACGCCTTGCTTTATCAATTATTATCAATATTAATTATCAATAAATAATCATTATCAATATAAACTCAAATAACCGGGAGGAACAAGAAAAGAAGGATGTTAAGCATAAGCTTTGACAAGCTTTCAGACAATATTAAAATATCGCGAAAACGCCGTCTCTCCGCATTGAGGTCACAAGGCAGTAAATAAATATCAAAATAAAACGTGAAAAAAATTCGGGAAAAGAAGACCTTTATATTTGTTTACAAGCTATGTACAATACAATAAGCTCTAACAGCGCTTTTAAAGAAAACACGAAAAGATCGCGAAAACGCAATCTCTTGATGTCACAATACAGTAAATAAATACCTAAAAGCAAGCGCGGAGAAGCTTTTGGAAAAGAAGAAATTTTAATTTATTTACAAGCAAAGCATAAATGAAAAAAATCATTTTTTTTATTTAATATTTTAATTTCTTGACTTTTCGCAGAATTTGCAGGAGGAAATTATGTTTTCGAAAAAAAAAATAACCCGCCTACTACCATATTAAAATCGTTATTTAAAAACAAAACAAAAAATAAACATTTTTAAAGTCGTTTATTTCGAAAACGAAGCGATTTGAGAGATATCAAAATCAATACACGTTGAAAAGGGAACTTTCATATGAACACAAACACGGCCGCCGACAGCACTTAGACGGTTTTGTTTCGTCTTATGTCAAAATATATTCAATCGGATCGGAGTTTTAGGCAAAACGAACGAATTTACCTTTACTCCTGTTTGGTTTTTTTGGTGTTGGTATATTGATGGTATACAAGGGCCTGGGAGTCGTAGGGGGCATCGATGGTCTGAACTGGCAACCGGAAAAATCCCTTGTTGCCGCACTTCTCGCCGTTAAGTTGACGATTTGGTTCTGCTGCACGTTCAAAACCGACTCCCTCTCCTTGCAGCTCTAAAATTGTCCGTAGTTTAAAGACATCATCGCCGTTGAGGGTTATACCTTCGCGGACTTGTAGACGGCGGGCCATTGGTCGTCCGTATCGTAATACAACAAAAGATTTAAGTCTCCCTGGTCCTCGTTGTACTCTATGACGTATTCAAACTGGCCGTCTTCCGACAAGAAACAAAATCTGGCCAGGAAAGCCCAGTTCTGCGAAATTTGAAATCGCGACAGCGCTCGATCTCATTTCTTATACGCAAAGATTACCTCTCTCGTTTGCAACGTGCCTTCCACGTATTTGCCATACGCGCATCGCAACAGCAAGGCCAGTAACGGAGAAAACGCGGCAAAATGCATAGCAGAAAATGTAAATTAAATCTATGTCGTCTTTAAGTGCATACGTGCAATCAAACAGTATTATATTCGACTTGGATATTCAGTCGATAAATCTAGCGTGTGATTCCTTTCGAGTTCCCATAGAAACTGCGTTTTCAAACAAATAAAGAAGCACTCAAAATGCATCGTTTTTTGTCCTCCTTTCAATGACTGCTTGATTGAATTTTTCATATTTAGCGCATGATTTCGAATATTTGCAGGAAAACGGTTTTTTTATATCTTTTGTTTAAGTCGGGCGCCGAGTCGTACTTTTAAGTAGTAATCGGCGCTTTTAAACTTGAATAATCTCAACTGACAACCTGTAGGTTGTATTCTGGTTAATCACCGACAGATGGCACCAAAAAGTAAACCATTTATCGGAGGACAGGTGGCACTCAACTGGCCGAGTTTAAAAATTCGCAGGGAGATGACGCCCCGATCGTCGTCATTAACCACTAATAGCAGCCTTCTTTGTCCGTCCGGAAAACCAGCTCCAATTCTTTTGGGCGGGGTTATTATACATTCTTTCGCGGTAACTCGCGTCGAATTTTGAGATTTTCCGTTCTCCCTCGCTTAGAACTTCGTCGGTTCCGTTTTCGAACCGCCGAAGGTGGTGGAAAAATGCGCCCCGAACGGATCGGTGCCAGTTTATCGACTGAGAATACCAAATTGAGGTTAGGCAGTTGGTGACAGCTCCCGTTGACCTCCGCGGTGCCGTTCGATTTGTTTTTTCGATTTCGGGGCGGCGAGGGAGCCCTAGAAGGCTATCGGTCGCGAAACCGAAACCCCCAAAGTGCCGCAGGCCCGTTTTCGAGCGAAACCATGTGACGGGAGCGACGAATTCACGATCGCAACCCCGTGAAAGTGATGTTGTAATTTTCGCCGTCGCCATTTTGATTCGTCGCCAGTATTTTGTAAGTTTTCGTGTTTCTCTCGATTTCGCCATCCGGGAACGCTCCCCGGACGAGGTTTCCGCGCATTCGCCCCCTTCGTACGTGAATTTTCATTCGCGCGCTCTACGTGAATGTTTATTAATCGTAGATCGTCGAAGCGAAATCGCATGTTCGGAAAATTTAACAACAAACGACGAGAAAAACGGAAAACAAAACAAAATCGTGGGGATTGTTTCGTCCGAGGCATTCTCGATTTTTCTTGGCATCGAATCGATTTTTGATTAATGGACGTGCCCTGTTTTATATTTTTCAAAGCAATTTAAACTAATTAGGCTAAACTGTTTACTGATTCGCTCCTTCCTTTGTAAGGGTTCTTATCGCTATCCGCGCCGTGTTTTTTTAATTATCACTCGGCCGCACATTTTCCGTCGATAATTCGCGAATTCGAAGGAAACGTTTTAGTTCTCTAGCGTAAAAATCTATTGCGATCATGTTTTGCCGCAATTGAAATTGTTTATAAGGGAGGCACTTTTTTTACCGAGTTTCGGTCGCTTGCTGTTGGTGCGTGGGGTACATTTTTTTCTTCCTTACCGTGATGATTCATTAATTAACGTTATTATCTTTCGTTATCGTAGTTATCTATTTGATGTTGTGAGGTGTCTTTAATCACGTTAACGGGTCCTTTCGTCACAGTTTTCCTGGTAAGATGGGGTCGTCGTAGCCACATTGTCGTCCGCGAGGGGCAAAATGGCGCCGGTGCCCCGGCCAGGCAGCCTACGCGACCCCGACATAGCCGAGCTCTTCTTCAAACATGACCCGGAGAAGATATTCGAGGACCTGCGGGAGATTGGCCATGGCAGCTTCGGCGCCGTCTATTACGCGAGATGCCTCATCACCAAGGAGATTGTGGCCATCAAGAAGATGTCCTTCACTGGCAAACAGAGCCTGGAGAAGTGGCAGGACATCCTAAAAGAGATAAGGTTCCTGAAGCAGCTGAGGCACCCCAACACCATAGAGTACAAAGGCTGCTATCTGAAAGATAGCACTGCCTGGCTCGTGATGGAGTATTGCCTCGGGTCTGCCTCCGACATCATTGAGGTGCACAAGAGGCCGTTGAGGGAAGAGGAGATCTCGGCCATTTGCGACGGTGTACTCAGGGGGCTGAGTTACCTGCACGAATTCGGTAGAATACACAGGTAAGTGCAAAATGGTTGAAAAAAACTCAACTAGATTAAGTAAAGCTTTTACTTTTCTTTATTCTTAAAAGTAAAAGAGAATATAAACAAACTAAAGGTAAAGTAACTAATTGTTATGTCTAAACAATTGTTAACTTGATAAATAACTGATTATTTTCACAGCACCACAGGTTTAATTTATACTTACTGAAATATTGTAAATATTCATGAAACTGCTGATCTAATTAAGCGTAACAGCTGGTTATGATGTGGTGCCATGCCTATGTTAGCAATTTGCTAGCAGGGATTGTAGCTTTTCTTACTGAGTCCTTCAGGGAGGGGTTTTTCTGGGAGGGAGGGAGTTGTAAGGTCAATATATAAAAAGAACAGTAATGAAAGTGTAGACAGTAATAGGGCAGTGACTTTGCTTTCAATTTCTTCCAAAACTAGTTATACCAGACATTAAGTTTCAAAGTAAGGTCAATAACTTATTTGAGGGTCAGTTCGGTTTCCAAAAATGAGAGTCCACACTGGATGCTATCATAAACATAGTAAACTTCATCATTCATACACTGGAAAAGCACAAAGTTACTGGCTTGTTTTTTAATACTTACAAGCATTTGAAATCTTCAAGGAGAAATTTATTAACTGTAGAGTGTTTCATATTTGGAGGGATGATAGCAGACGATTGTGACTCACTCAGAGTGGCGTTTATTTGAACAGGGCAGCTTCCTGAGGCCGCTCATTTTTCTAATTTTTATTGATAACATAAAAAATAGTAGTTCATGCTATCCTTATTTGAAGGTGATATTCATCGGTTGCGTGGAAGTTCCAGTCCTTCAGTGATGTTTGAAAATGACTAAGCAGAGGAAACCCTTAAAACTCTTGGGCATAAATATAGATTTTAGTCTATTTGGGGGAATCAAATCAAATCAGTTTTTAGCAAAATGAATAAGTACCCTTTTATGTTGTGGAAACAGAAATTCTCTAAATAGAAAGGTCGTGCTATCTATTTGTTATGCACATAACATCACACACACATCATAAGAACAGTAGCATTTAAAAAGAATGCATTTTCCTGTACAGACCATGAAAAGCAGCTATGTAATGCCTATTAAAATTTATAATTACATTCTAGACTCTATTAGACTTATTATCCATTAAATTTAAAACCCACTAAAAAAATTATTAGTGAGTAAAACAATATACTCTTTGGATGACTTTTTTCAGAACTGAAGAATGGGTGAATGATTGCTTAGGGAATTTTATGTTTTGTCTTATTATGTATTGTTCCTGTATTGTATTTATTTGGAGGTCTTTTTACCAAACATATGTACCTTTTTTCTGCGCCAATATTGTTGTGAATATGATTAAATAAATAATAAATCATTTTTGACTACGAAAGTGATAATTATTACATCATAGTTATAAATAAATAAGTATATGTTCATTAGATATATGTTTTTTTTAATTGTATTATATCTTAGAGTTACCAATATCCAACTAATATCGAAATTGGCATTTAAAAGTTACTAAGATAATGAGGCGGAGCCAACGCCACGTCGTGGATCTAATGTTCAATGATAAAGGAAGTCGATATAGAAAAAATCCCAAACACATTGACTAGTTTGACACCTTTCAAAAAAAAATTGGGGCTACCTAATTATGGGCCTATTATTCCATTTCCCACATTCAGAGACCACCTATTCTGATTTCTAATGATTCTGTATTCACAAGAATTCCCTGATAATTTAAACCACTTGAGGTTGGTATAAGAGTAGGATAAATCTTTTTCTACTCCCGTCTCTAAAATACCTAATCACCCACCGATCTAGCGTGCGGGAAGCGTCACTTTACCACGTCAGTTTCGTTTCCCATGAATCCGAGCTACTTCGGACATTTCCGGGATTTTACTGCACGGATTTGGGAGCAATCGTATGTTTTCGTAGATATTTCCCACGTTTTGAATTTTGACGTTTGTCAATTCTGACGGTCATGTCAGTGAATGTATTCATGTTTTGCGAAAATTTACCCAAAAACTAACGATCGTAGAAAAAGTATAGTATGCAACACGTTCAGCAAACTTTTTAACTCACTCGTATTAAAAACTCGTGAGTCAAATGCCGTTTACCGCACTTGTTGCATAATATACTATGGTCGTGCTATATAAGATGATAAATTTTATATAGTTACGTTACATTCCATTGTAAATTTAAATTAAAAGCTTATTGTCGCGTGAGAGACTTGCTCCAAGATATTTTGCGTGAACACTAGGAACAGAGGCGATCTACAACAAAACATATTTAACGTTATATCTATTCATAGAAATGTAGAATTTTCAATTACAAAAATATGGAACTTGGAATATTGTTCAATTCGTTGGAAAAGCTTACCATTTATACGATTAAATCATATACTTTCTAATTTTCCTCGAGAGCAGGCCTTTTGTACTGTCCAAAAGTTTCGATTTTTATTATTATAAAACAATTGAATGGCACTCATCAACTTGCTTATGTTAAATGAAACACCCTGTATGTTTATCCATTTTTATATTTTACCTGTAAATTCCAAGTAGGAAATGTTCTTCATTATTTTTCGATAGCTTTTAGAAGTTTTGGATTCAAACATTTCAATGTGTAATTTTTATCAGTCAATTTAAAAAAGAAAAAAAACAGATTCACAGATCGAGTATTCTTTTTATTGAAAACCTTTTATAAAGTTAGAAACAAAATACTGGCGCTTTTTCCGAAAGTACCCTGAAAATTGGACTTCATAGTAGTTTTAGTAGTAGTAGTAGTTATAGTAGAAGTAGTAGTAGTTGAAGTGGTAGTAGAAGTAGTAGTAGAAGTAGTAGTAGTAGTATTAGTATTAGTAGTAGTAGTAGAATAATATATTCTTAATAATAATAACAATTCATTAAAAAACGTTTGTGTTATGAAATTTCTTGGAGGAAGTTCGGAGTAATTCAAAAATGGTTGTATATTGAGTTCCATTTAAATTAAGGCAGTTGTTACTTGGTTGCGAAAATGCAAACACCTCGACAATAGAGGAATACAATTATAAAAATATTATATATATATATATATATATATATATATATATATATATATATATATATATATATATATATATATATATATATATATATATATATATATATATATATATATATATATATATATATATATATATATATATATATATATATATATATATATATATATATATATATATATATATATATATATATATATATATATATATATATATATATATATATATATATATATATATATATATATATATATATATATATATATATATATATATATATATATTTATTTATATTTCATAGGTTCTGAGATAAGGTTGCATTACATAATAAACGGGCCACATATTTACAAAACTTCGTCACATATTTATAGACAATGGAAATGTCATCCTTCAGGCAATTTAAATAAAAAGTTTTTTTTTGTAATTTATTTTTTCATTTTCCATAACAACATAAGCTTCTTAATAGGGGACCGTTTTCCATTAATCTGTTATAATTATTCTATAAATTATATACACCGACGGCTAAACTTCGTATCATCAGACCTAAATGAAAAACGTATGGGTATAATCAAAAGATGCTCTTTAATCGCAATGAAAGTTTTGTGAAAACCCAATTAGTTTTCTTTTGCTACGCTACACAAACCCAAGTTATGCTATCCCAGTCCTTCTTATACCGTTTAATTTAAAAAACAGTTAAAATTATATGGTAAACTTTTTTTTCTCTCTCCCGCTTCTGGTTGAAATTTTGGAAACAATACAGTTTGGCAAACTGTTTGTAGGCCACATTTTAAATAAAAAAGATTTCCAAGCAGGCATCGAAATGAGTTAAAATGGAATTGTTGTGCAAAAAGTTCAATTTTATTCAAAAATTGAACTGAGGTGGCTTTTACTTGATGAAAATCCATTTATCAAAATAAATAAGAACTAAAAGTTCAGATTTTCACGACAAACATGACAAACACACACACACACACACACACATTTGATAAAGACACGGTGTTATCGAAACAATTGTCATGTCATAATATATAATTTCGTGAAAATCTGAACTTTTAGTTCTTATTTATTTTGAATTTTATTCAAACCCACTTAAAAATGCAACATTTTGAAAGTGCCAAACTAAAAATTTTTATGATGCCCGGTCGATCTTATATAATTTAATACATGGTTTTTGCAAGAAAGATCCTAATGTTAATCTTTTAATTATGGTAAAAACGAATTTTAGCCGTAAGAATAGCGATAGCTCCTGCCTCAATTGTACTCCCACCACACACGTTAATTTGTGGGTCTTAGTAGCTGCGAAATTGTGATTGCTAATTACAATTACTTACACAATCAGGCACAACCATCCGAAATCATGTCGAAATCAACGATTTTGGAAATTCTGTCACAGTTTGTACCATGGTGGTTAACCCTTTGATGGACAGGTGCCCATTTAGCAGTTTCGTTCCTGGACCTCGCTCCACTCCATTTTTTTTAATATGGGGTTATTGCAAAAATTATGTTTACCAGCTAATTTCCGAGACTGAGGGTCAACTGAAAAGACTAATTCTTGAAGGTGTTATCTGCGTTTGGAAAATTAGTTGTTTGAACATTCCTTACAAGTTATTTTATATAAGTTTTTTTTTAAATATCATTTCATCTTTTTACATAACTTCTGGATTCCTCCTGCGTCGGTTTTTGCTGAGTCGAACTTGCTGACGTTTCGCTAATCATCCTGTTGGCTTCTTCAGAGCTTGACTGAAACAGTTTCTGCCTAAGCGTCGTATTTAAAATATCTCGAAAGCTATCTTGTGGAGCTCAAAAGGTGACAAAGAGAAAGTGACGTTTATTTTTTTATGTATCTCTTTAAATAACATCAGAAAAACATAAAAATGAATTCGGAATATTTTGTTTTTTTGGCGTATCTTCGGCAGGGATGGTAATTTTTGAGTTTTCTCAACATTTAAATTTTCAATTTTTTCTAATTCTTTGTAGCTCTTATGGTTTCGAATATCCCCTGATAGACATCCTTATTTTGGACAGACTATATATAGATACCTAAGTGATTTAAACATAATAATAATATTTAAAAGTTAAATGTATGTGCAACTATACATACAGACATACAAGTGACAACCCGAAGAAAGAAGTTAGGTAATATAACAAATTATAAAAAAAATAAAATAAAAAAATTAAGAAATGAAGTTAAAGCTATAAAAGCATTTGAGTTTTAAGTATGTGACAATTTCTGTTCTAAATTTATTTTAGCCGTTTATATTCCTAATATTAGTAGGCAGAATTTGTATCCTGGTAGTGAGGCCCATTTTCAAAGAAAGTAGAGCTATGAGCTGGAATCTGCGAGTTTTATCTATTTCTGGTATGTGCATATTTGCATACAGTTTTTTTTAATAATCAGAGATAGTACAAAAAAGGAGCCCTAAGTACATTAAGATTTTTAAAATATGATACGCATTGACGCCCGGGGATGCGGCATACAAATACAACCAATAATGCGCATTTGTGCAATTAAAATCCAATTTGCAAAAGTATTGCGTAACTGTTATCATTTCATCTTAATTCCAACACACACAGTCGTATTTCTGCAGCTTAGGGTTTGATCTAGTTGGACTCACAAAAAGTTTTCTGGTTCAGCAATCGGTATTGATCCCTAGCCTAAGGCTTCATTACATTTTAACTTATGAAAAGTTAATAGTCCCGTTTTTTCTCAATTCTGGTTTTTACACCGTTCCACCATCTTTTAATAACTGGGAATATTTTCTAAGTGCAGTAACAGGAATAGTAAAGTTTTTTTTTTCAAAGAAACTTTATCAGGATTCTGTAATACTATTTACACATCTTCTAGATTTCTCCTGCATCGGTTACTTATAAATTAAACTTGCAGATGTTTCGCTAATAATCCTGTTTACTTCTTCGGAACTCAACTAAAACAAAAAATTAACAAGCCATTTATGGAGATTACATCAAGAAAAAGAGCAGAAAGTTAGAAGATCCCCGGCTGAAACTGGTAAGATTATCTGTACACTTTTGCAATTTTTTTTGTTACGTTGTAGAGGCGATAACGTTATCCCTAATTTTCTTAAAATATCTCATCATGTGAAAACCTCATCTGCTTATAAAATTCTTCGTAAATCTAGTTTTGCTTTATTTCCAGAAAAAAATCATCATACCTGTAAGGAACTAGGCCAAATCAATTAGACTCTTCACATACAAAAATTTGAAATACAAAAATCAACACTAGTGAAACCATCAAACTCTTGTCAACTACTAAACACTGTGGTAAATGTACTGAGACGGAAAAATAAGTTCTTGAAAAAGGTTCCATCTTCTCAAACATGTAATGAAATTCGATTTGAAACCGCAAAAATCCTTAAAAAATCAAAACTCCTAAATGTAAATCCCGACGTCGTAATTCTAAAAGCAGATAAAGGAAATGCTGCGGTGGTCTTGAACAGAAATGAATATCAGGAAAAAAATCAAGATATTCTTACAGACGGATCCTATCGTCAACTTAAAAAATAATATCTGGTTAGTTTTGACGTAAAGTTCCTATTCCTGAAACTCTCAAGAAAAATGTTTGTCTGGAACATATTTTCCTTTAATTGTCAAATTTTTGAACAATCCTCGGCAATAGCTAACCCAGCTACATTATGATCAGTCATCCCGAATGTATTTATGGAAGCCTTTGAGAAGGAAGCACTCGATGCCTTCCGTCTAAAACCAAAATTGTGGAAATGATAGTTTTGTTATTTGGCCTCGTGGTGAAGAATCACTGCTAGGTTTTCTTAGCCATTTAAACTCTATGCAGCCTCACATATGTTTTACCAAAATTAACTAATACACTAATAATAATCTCCCATTCATATAAATAAGAAATAAGACTTAATATTGAGTTTACGGAAAACCTACGCACATAAACAGAAACTTGAATGCATTGTCACATCATACATACACTTCACCACAACCTTCCAAAGACTGTGAGCCCGAAAGCAACCGCCCACTATTGCTCTTGGACTGCCACTTGCCACTGTTGTATTTCCTTACATTCAAAACATCACTGACCACATTTCAAAAGTTCTTAAGAAAGATAACGTCAAAACCAGATTTACCACTTATCCAAAAATATCTCAACTAGGAGTTTACAGTATTCCATGCATATGATGCAAAGAAGACGAAAAATATCAACTAGACTCAACATGAACTCTAAAAATCCTAAAAACTACAGAAATTTATAACGAAACCTTTCACCAATGTGGAAATCATCATCATCCGTCATAATGCTCGTCCTTTAGCTCCGCCCCCTGCAAATAATGTATATATAAGTTCCAGTTAAGCTCTGAAGAAGCCAACAGGATTATATTGAGTTGAGATTTGTAATTAGTATAACAGTAAAGTTGTTAATAACAATCATTATTTTCATTATCGTGGTATACAAAAAAGGATAAGATGTAGGTAACTTTTTTTTGTCGACAGGGACGTCAAAGCGGGTAACATACTCTTGACCGAGAACGGTACCGTGAAGTTGGCCGATTTCGGTAGCGCTTCCATCAAGTGTCCAGCTAATTCATTCGTCGGCACCCCTTACTGGATGGCCCCCGAGGTCATACTCGCGATGGACGAGGGCCAGTACGACGGCAAAGTTGATGTCTGGTCTTTGGGGATCACATGCATCGAGTTGGCCGAAAGGAAACCGCCCTACTTCAATATGAACGCGATGTCCGCCCTCTACCACATAGCCCAGAACGATTCGCCCACTCTGTCTTCGCCCGAATGGTCCGACGTCTTCAAGCATTTCGTGGAGGCTTGCCTCCAGAAGGCGCCCCATTCGCGACCCAGCTCGCAGCAACTGCTGTCTCACGTGTTCGTCACGAGGCAACGCTCGCCCAACGTACTCATCGACCTCATCCAACGGACCAAGGCGGCCGTCAGGGACCTCGACAACTTGAACTACCGCAAAATGAAAAAGATCCTGATGGTGGACAATTGCGAGACCGAGAGCAACGTCGACTCGTTACCGGACGTGGACGATGCCCCCGAAGAGCCTACCGGCGGGGACAGTTCCAAGAGTAACTCGGTGACGTCGGAGCACTCGGTCCATTCGGTGGGCGTGTCCGCCAGTAGTCAATCGAGCAGCACCAACAGTCTGCCGGCCGGTAAGGGTTGTCGCACGGAAGCGAATTTCGGGGAAATCCCGGCCAAAAATCGCATATGCCAAGCTGAGAATTTCAGGCGAACGTCATTAGCACTTAGCTGGCTATCATATCCTACCCTAATTACTGGTATATTGCTAGTTAACTTAAAAATATTCGATAATTTCGATAAAGCGTGAAGAAAGTAACCTAAAAATCTACCTGCTGATCTAAATTAAGTGTTCATCATTGCTAACTTTGATATGAGTCGGTTAAATTAGCAAACTGGTAGCCTTTTTTGCACTGATTACGACGGTGAAAACAGCAAATCAATTGAATTAAGCTTTTAGAAAAAAATGAGAACACCCTGTATATTTTTTGCTTTAACGTTCGAAAATCTACAACAAAACAAAAATAAATAACCGAGTCATCAGCACATTTTTTGCTTAGACTATGGCTATGGGTGGTTGCGAAATAAAACTTCATTTTCCTTTTACTGTTTTATTTGAGCGTAACAAACAATAATAATAACACCAATTTCCACGTCTTCATTTATTATTAAATGTTTTCGTCTTGTTTTAGCAAAAAATGTTTCATTATTTCTAAAGGTTCTATAGAAAAGTAATGACAGCCCTGCCAAATAGAAAACTAGTTGTCAAAAAATTAGTTTTCATTATTTAATGATTAATATTGTTATTATATCAATTGTTATAAATTATTTAAATTAATTTTACTGTATCGCTCATTCAAAAATGACTTGCACATGAAGAAAAGTGCTACATGTTAGAATGCTATTTGGCATGCAGTAAATCTTCAAGAGAGGGCGAGAGAACGATCCATAAACCTATCTGCGCCTTAATAGAATCTTTAGAAATGATGAAACCGTTTTTGCAAAAAGAATATTATTATAAAGGAAGACGTGGACATTGATTTTCTTGGATATTTTGAAGCATGTCATGACAATTCTACTCGAGACATAGACGGAGAATAATAGAAAGGATTTTAAAAAACCACAAATTTTGCTCTTATAAATTCCGACCAGTTCGGGTGCTTTTGGCAGGAAATGCAGAGAAAAGACTTTTTTTGTCATTGGCTTTGTTAACTTTTGCCGCCAAAACAAATAATTTATGGTATATTTATTTTGTGGACTGACTAATCAAATTTTCAAATTCTGGAATTTATAATTCAAAAAATTTCCAAACGATTTGTATTAGGGATTATAATAATATTTTCATTATTTGGAAAAAGTAGCGCCAAAAAAACCATTATTTATTTTTAAAAGTTTTCAGTTTGGTAGTTGATAAATCAAAGCTTGGATTTGGTCGAACGAATATTTCTGCAAGAATGACACCTATCGAAGAACAACTGTTAGTTAGATTCTTTAAATTTTCTGTATTCTACAATTTTGGAAGCCATTAACAGTCGTTTTGGAGGTAACCACAGAGCTTTTCAAAAAGAAAGCATGTTGACTTATATGCATGGTACGACAGAAGTTTTAGCTTTTCTCCGACAACCACTGATAAAAAAGTTACTAAAACAGGTTGTAGTATATACAGTAAACGGCTAAGTTCATTTAAAAATTACGTATTGGATTTGCTAGACACTTCCATCATAATATATAAGGCGGATCAAAAAGTAGTTGTCGATAGCAAATTCCTTTTCCTAAATGGAACACCATTTGTTTAAATGCACTTTCGAATTCTGTGTCAAAATTCACCATTTATACATATCTCTTGCTTTTTACGAGCAAAAGAATAAAAAACAGAAATTTAATTTTGAAATTAAGAGGTAGGTAGGTAGTGCCAGTAAAGGTCTTAAATTGACACAATTACATTTATGCCAGTAGAGAAATCGAATACGACCCATCCAAATAAAACAAAGAAAATTGAAATTTTTATTTTTATTGGATAAGTCAAGAAGAAGAAGTTTGTAATTTATTCAATGTAAAAGTTAAACATTTTATTAGATGTTGAAGATAATCCACATCGTGCCTCTTCTGAAGTAGATTGAGTCATTGATGTTAGCCAACACACAGCTTTGCGTGTATTACAATAAAAGTATCATCCGTACAAGATTACATTTTTGCAGGAAGTAAGCGAAGGTGATTTTAATCACGGACTACAGCTTTGTGAAACTATGATGAAATTGAACAACATGCATCCATTTTTCCATCTTTAGATACTGTTTAGTGATGATGCCATGTTTTGTTTCAATGGTACGGTTAAGAAACAAGGTATTGGAGTACAAAAATAAATAAATAAAATCATATAAAACATCCACAAGAAATAAATGTTTGGGCAGGGATTTTGACTAATAAGATTATTGGACCTTATTTCTTTGTTCATAATCTTATTCGAGCCCAATATATACAATCTCTTTAAATCAGCCTGATATGGCAGATAGACAAATCTGCTCGACAAGTGTGTGAATATTTAAATACGGTATTTCTCGGACGGTGGATTGGGTACAATGGAATCAATAGAACGGCCTGCAAGGCCTCCAGATATTACTCCATTGAATTTTTTGCTTTGGGAATATTTGGAATCGAAAGTGTATAAGGAAAAAAACACAAAATTTAGATGATTTAAAAGTTAGAATTAGATATGAAATATGGTAAATACAAGAAAATATTCTGAATAATGTTTTGGAAGTTTTTTTAAATCGAATATATTTTATTTCCTTTGGCATGCTGGTCTTGTTCGATATTTTGCGTTAAACAAGATTACAAACTTCTTGAGTTCTTGTTTTGTCTCCGTTACTTACCTGTTCATTTAAAACTGAAATTTCTGTTTTTTTATTGTTTTTTTTTTCTGTTATTGTGTTTCTTGTAAAAAAGAGGAGATTTGACCCAGAATTGGAAAATGGATTTAAAAAAAATTGTATTCCATTCATATTTATTCCATGTATATATTTTATGTTTAAGAAAAAAATATGATGGACCTATTTTTTTCTAGAAATACAATACCCGATTTTTAAATGAATGAAAAAATTAATTTCCCTATTTAAATAAAACAAAATTTTTTTTCCCGTTTTTACTTGATTTTTCCTCGTGAAGAAATTTTTTTTGGGAAAAACGCGTGTATAGCTTTTTTAGAGCATAAAATTTGCTACAAAAAGTTCCTATGCGTCCATTCTCCCCGACAAACAGCTTTTAAGTTATAGAGCTGTGAAATTAAATGTGCATTAGTCAATTATTGAAAAAATATTAATTATAATTACATAATAATTAATTATGTGTAATTTTTTGTCATTTTGGAGTTTCTGTTGAGTCAACAGAAACTTTTTGTATCAAATTTTATGCTCTTCAAAAGCTATACACGCGTTTTTCCCAAAAAAAATTTCTTCACTTTGGAAAATCAAGTGAAAACCGAAAGAAAATTTTTTCTGTGTTATTTAAACAGGAAAATGAATTTTTAAATGAGCTAAGCCGCTATTGCACTTAAAGCCTTTTACCCGGCGGCATAATTTTTTATTTTCTATAAAGTATCAGATTGTCAGGTAGCACAGAGAAAAAAAATATATCGCCTAAAAATCAGACACCCTAAGTAGCATATAGTTAATTGAAATTTTCATAATATTAACAGAATGGGTTATGGTGGTCATTTGTGTAGATGATTGGGGACGGATTGCCAACTTTTAGTAGTTTGATTGGGGCAAATGGTTACCTCTAATTAAAGATCTTGTGAAATATAAGCGAAAAAGTGAAAAATTCTTTGAAGAAATTCTTTGCAAGCATACCATTTTGCGTGTTTTGCCAATTTCTTTTTTAACTGAATGGTTGGCTCTATATTTTTGGCGGGGATTTCTTCTACATTCGCCTGTGTGCGTCGGGTAAAAGATTTTTAGGGAGGTTTTCAGGCGTCGAAGACGGCACCGCTAGGAGGCACAGGGCCATTAACCACGTGGCCGCCGCAGCTCTCTCTGAGCATGCGAGCGCCAATAATTTCGCCACGATCAGGACTACTAGCATAGTCACCAAACAGCAGAAGGAACACATGCAGGTAAGCCGTTCATTTATTTATTTTGTACTCTTTCAAACACCCAAGGTAAATTACATGAAAGCCAAATTTACAGCACATACTTTGCTCTCTTTTTGATATATCGAAGAACTTCGACCGTGTTGTTCATAGTTTGTTGCCAAAATTGTCTACCATTTGTTTGTCAGAGTCCGTCATATCTTTCTTCGAATCGTGTTTTACTGATCGCCCTCAAAAAGTGAGCTTAGATGGTAGTATCTCTTCTTTTTTAGCCCACCGTCACGGTGTCCCGCAAGAATCGATTTTTTGTCCGCTGTTTTTCCTCATTTATATAAAAGATTTCGCACATTTCGTTAAGCCCATCGAGTGTACACTATTTGCAGACGAGACCACAATTATCTGCGGAAAAAAAAACTCCGATTTTTTCTTGGTTTGTACTATACCGAATCTGGTGAAACACATTTTCCCAATATTCATATTATGACTTTTATCATCTGCTTTTATATATAATAAGCTAATCGAGATTCACTCTAATAAATCAAGTTTTTCTGTTCAGTGTGACACTTATTTCTACGAAACGTGTAATGATTCCCCGATAAATAATAAATCAAAACCATCTAACTAACAAAGGAAAATCAAAAGCCTTTTTAAAGGTTTAAAGTGTTGCCCCTCATTTTCTATGCATGAATTTATCATTCGATCTTAGTTCTGCTGGAAAGATTTCAGTAGTTAATGCCATATTTATTAATGATACAAGCGGTGCTATTATCATATATTTAACGTTAACTTAATCCATAACAGATAGATAGATCTGACGTAAAAGGATCTTTAATAAACACAGTTTTAACAATTTTGCTCGTAAAGCTACCAAACAATATTAAAGCGATTGAATGAAAAACTTTCAAATTAAAAATTAACATGTTCTTAATTAAAAAAATCTTTCTACACTGTGAAAGATTTCTTGAGCAGCGAGAGAAAGTCTTTTGATTTTTATCGTCCCACATCGATCAATTTATTTATTTAAATTTATATATTTGTAATTTATTTGATGATTAATGGATATTAAATTAATTTAAAAGCTATGGCCTGTGATAAAATACTTTGTATTTGGAAATACCAACAATGCTTTCTATTTCAGTTTGCAAGCAAAAGCGTTTACGATCTTCTGGGCACTCGCATTCATATCACATAATTTCAGATCTGCTATGGTCTGCATTTACAAAGTGTTTAAAAAAGACGCGGCGATATTTAAGGGGATTAACTCTCAAATCATTTTGTGAAAAAAGTTCCCATAAATGTAGGTCGGGAAAAACAAAGTTTTCAAACCAAGGACTTTAGTTGGCCCCACAGGAAAAAATCCAAAGAGTTACATGAGGTCCACCTCGGTCAATCCAGCAATTTCTGTAATTTAGTGTGCGCTGGTGCGCCTTCGTACATGATTCACATTACGTTTCATATGGCCAATGTGTTGAAAAATCCCCAATGCGTGGGGGAAAAGCAGCAGAAAGAAGTGATTGAATGCTTTGGGTCTAACAAATTGTCCTGGAGAATTTTCCAAGCAGTCTCATTACTTGCATTTAAACCTCAGCAATTTTTTGAGAAGTTTTAGGGTCCCGTCTCATGAATGGTTTTGAAATTGTTTCTATCAGGGGCTATATGATTAACAAACCTTCCAGTGTACAACCGGCTAGCGTCTAATGCATTGCCATCAGCAGGTCCATAAATAAAGTGCAAGTCATCTGTATTTCTATAGCGATGCATGGATTTTCAATATTAGACAGATAGATACAAAGTGATTGACACATTCGAATAACACCTGCAATCCTTGCTGGTGATGGTCACTGTCCATCGCCCTGTTGGATCGCATTCTCTACCTGCTAATATATATACATGAACATCGTCTCTTATCACTGATCCCATATAGGTGCAAGGTAAAGATCAGTCACAGTTAAGATCGTTTTGGTTGTTTTATAGATTTCTATGGTCTCTCGGACTTTTCTTTAGTAGAAGAATTGATTACCTGCAAAAAATTATTTTTATCGAATAAGATTTTATGTCCTGTTTCATGCTGCTGCTGGGTTTATTTATTTGTCGTAGTCTTAGGCTCTTTCATGTTGTTTTAGCCTGGTTGATATTTTTCGCCCTGTTTCTGCAATATGCATTGATTGCTTTAAACTCCTGGCATCTCCAACGGAATTTCGTTGTTGACGAACTGAAGATGTTTAGAGAATCCATAGAAATCTATAAGCAACCAAACAATCTGAACCGCAACTCAGTTCTTCACCTCTCACCGCTCATCCGAGACGATGTTCGTGTCCCTCCGCCTCCCTCAGACAATATATAAGCAAGTACAGAGTAAAATACGAGCCAGTTTCAGTCAAGCTCTGAAGGAGGCAACAGGATGATTGGCAGACATCATGATTTATTGACAACCGACGCATGAGGAATCCAGACGATTTGCAAATAGTACTACTAACTTAAATATTGTAACTTCGTTTTTAAACATCCCGTATATTACGTTCTATGTTTTCACCACGTACCCGAAATTCGAGTGCAGTTCGATTTTTTAATTGTATCATCATTGTCCTTGAAAAAATAGGAAGAGATGCACGAGCAGATGTCCGGGTACAAGCGCATGCGCAGGGAGCATCAGAGCGCGCTGCTCAAGCTCGAGGACCGGTGCCGCATGGAAATGGAGAGTCACAAGAATCAGCTCGACAAGGAGTACGAGGCGTTGCTTCAGAACTTCAGCAAAGAACTGGAGCGGCTTCAGATCAAACATCAGCAGGAACTCGAACGGAAGCAGAAGCAGACGATAGCGCTGGAAAAGAAACTGGTTAAGGACATCACGAGCCGGCAGGATATGGATAGGAAGGCGTTTGAGGCGCACAGGAAGAAAGAGTACAAGGCGAACAAGGAGCGATGGAAGCGGGAACTTTCTCAGGACGACTCGACGCCCAAGAGGCAGCGGGACGCCACCTTGCAGTGAGTGATGCTTCAATCGAGCAAATCCGCTAGGAAAGTTTCACTTTTTTTTTTCTTGCAGGACCCATAAGGAGAACTTGAAACAGGTGGATGCGCAGGAAGAACAGAGGCTCGTAAGGGGCCAGAAGGCCGAACTGGAGCTGGAGCTGCGCAAGTTCCGGAGAAAACGTCTGATGGCATACCATCAGCTCGAGCAGGACCTGCTCAGACAGGAACTGCACAAGAGGCAGCAGCAGCTCGAACAGGCGCACTCCATGCTGTTGAGGCATCACGAGAAGACGCAGGAGCTCGAGTACCGACAACAGAAAGCCGTGCACGCTTTGAGGGAGGAGCAGGTCGGATTTTATGTATTCTATTTATTTGTTTATAGAAGTAACGGGTCACAATTTGGTAAAAATTTGTGTCAAAAAGATATCTAATAAAAAATATTAAATTAAAAATAAAATATGTAACAATAATGATATCAAGTTTATTCATCAAATTAATAAAACATATAATGCATGTAATAAATGAATAAGTCAAAAAATTAACATTACAGGACTGAAGCAATATACAGGGTGTTTTCTCCTTAAATGTCAATAATTAAAGAGGCGATTTTTGGGTCCATTAAAAAAAATCATGATTATATGTCCTAAACGTCTTAACTTTTGAGATGCAGTATGGTAAAGTTTTCAAAAATTAAATATGTGCTATGTATTGGAGGCATTATTTAGTGTAGACATGATAGTACGCCACTGAGTTTTTTTAAAATAAAAATAATTCGTTCAATCTCCAATTATTTCTCAAGAAATTTCTTTGTTTTTTTAAATCCCATGTAAATTCAATTCATCGCGTCTTATTAATTTGGCGTCTAAAACATTCGAGCATTGTTATTTTAAAAAAGAATAGTCGAGTATACTATTAAGGAGTTGGCAGATATGCATTTTATATACGGTTTGCCTGACGCAGTGCACCGAAAGCTAAGCGATTATATCAAGAGTGCTTTCTTAATAGAGTCATACCAGGTAGCTGAACATTTTGAAATGTTGACTGAAGCAGGTACTTTGAGGGCAAATAATCATTTAAAAGGGGCCCATTGGACTGTAAGAACCCCAGAAATGGAAAAAGCAGTTTAAAATTCTATTGATGAAATTGGTAAACTTAGAACTAAAAAAATCGGAAATAATCAGAATATCTCACACGTCTTTTTTCACATTTTCACATTTTTGGGCTGATGAAAACCTCCATGGAGTTGTAGAATATAAACATCAAGAGCAGTTTTCGTTAAATGTTTGGGCTGGAATTGTTGGAAACTACAACCCTTTTTCCTGCCAGAAAGGCTAAATGGCCATAATTATCGCCGGGTTTTAGAAGAGGATTTGCCAATATTGCTAAAGGAATTACCTTAACCATGGACTCCTTGGTCCCCAGATTTAAATAATTTAGACTTTTTCTTATGGGGGTATCTTAAAAGTCTGGTTTATCGCACTCCTGTTTACACTGTAGAAGAGGCGCAGGATCGTATAAGAGCTTCCTATGGTTTAATAATAAATGATATTTCATTAAAACTTTAAAAATAAAAAGAACGGTCTTCTAATTTTTTTTTTTTTTTGAAGGACATTAGTTGGTAACTAAAAACTAGACGTTTTGTTTTAGACAGATATGTTATTTTTCACAAAAAAACATTTGCATTCATTTCATTTATTCATTTTTTTTTCAGTCCGTCCCACGGTTTTCACTTAAAACTAAAAACCAATTTCTCTGCATGCTGTCATATTAACGATATTGATATGACTATACAGAAAAGAGGTTTTTATTTTTTTAAGCGAAAACCATACATTTTTCATACAAATTTCATTAAAATCTCTAAAGTGATATTACAGATATTAAAAAAATATATAGAAAGCCGCTTTCTATTCTCAACACAATAGGACTTACATTCAATAAGCTAAAACCATTTTTCTGCAAAGCCACTGGCCACAGGTCTCTTAACATAACGTAAATGTTCGAATTTAGCCTTAAAGTTGGATGGACGTGTCGCTTGCAGGTTAAAAATCAACACGACACCGAGCTGGCGAATCAGGCGGAATACATGAAGAGGACGGAGCGGGAGATGCGCAAGAAACACGCGCTGGAACTAAAACAGCAGCCCAAATCGTTGAAGGTAGGTAGCGATACTGTGGGGTGCCCAGTTTGTGTAATATTGTATTATTCTTTTGATAGTAAAGCAATCCAGATTTAAAACAGTTAAAATAAGACAATTTTAGGCCAAACTTGTCATTTACAAAAATGTATACAGGCTGTCAAAGTAATATATCTGTTTTAGAACAAAATGTTAAATACAAAAGTTATAGATCAGACTAAAAGAAACAATTTAAAGTTATTGTCAAATATACATTGTAATAAATTAAACCGAAGACCCTATATTATTGCGTTACTACATCGCATACTCCCATGCATCACCTAATGTGTTTAACCCTCTATATTTTTGACAACTGTACCCTAATTATGATAACAATTTTATAAAGTAGTACAGTAGTAGTAGTACAAATTGTATATACAGCATGAGAAAAAATTACCCTTGCATGTTATAATTCTATTAATTACTCTGTTAGTGTTAGTGCTTTTTTAATTTTACTAAACATTCCCTAGTTTTTTTTTTATGTCAATTGACCGAAATAATTTTAAAAATACAATGAAATTTATATTTGTTTATATTGTGCGATACGTCGCCGTTACGTCGTTTAACGCACCAAATAAAATCGCTAAGTATTGTATTCGTTTTGAATAAGGTTATAGATAAATTGGGCATCACCAGCGAATAATAATTTATTACAAAATTCGTATTATTAAATAATGACATAACACTCCACAATTGCAAGATTTATTTTGATTTCAATTGATCGTGGTCCCAACGCTATTCTCTATTCCTAAACTTAGTATTTTTGAGGTATATTCATTTTTACGAACATAACTCCGAAAATTGGTCAAACTATGAGAAAACTTCGCAGTACGCCAAGAAAAATAAAAATAAATAGATAAATTTCAAATTTTTATGTTTTTGAGAAAAATGTGTTGTTATAGATGAGACTAAAAGAAACTGAAATTAATTTCAAATATACAGAGTTATTCATAAATATGTCAGAAATTATAATTATATTTTTTAAATAGAACACCCTATATATTATGGCATTAATAGATACTCCCTTTTATAATTAATCACCCAATGTATGATTGTTGGTATCTTCTTATGATTAAGGTGGTCGTTTATTGATTATTTTTGTTTCAATATCGGATTCAATATATTATTTCCGCGTTACATTTCCATTTGTATTTTCACGAAAAAATAATATTTTTCATTTTGATTCATCCTGTATAAATGATTCGAACTAACTTGAAGACAAGTATAGAGTAAGTAGCTATTAATCTTATAATATACAGGGCGTTTTATTTACAAAAATGAAGTTTTGTTTCCACATATTTATAAATCGCCCTGTATACTTTTTTGTAAATGATAAATTCTACCAATGGGTGTTTAAAAATAGCGGCAATTTTTAAGAGGGTTATTCCTCAGATCATTTTATGAAAAGAGTTTCAATAAATGTAGGTCCGGAAATGCATTGCTTTCAAAATACAGGGTGTTACGGATTTGTTTGCGAGTTGCCCTCTTAACAACCCGATAGTGATCAACTTGAAAGATAAACTTTTATTATTTATTGTAATTAAAAAGCCGTTTAAGTTAAAAATTTGTGTTCATTTTATTAGATAAGGCACGTTGCCGTTTTTGGGGATATATATCTTTGTCATTTGCGTGCGTCATCGTTTATCTTTTGCTCGCAGCAAAAGGAGATGCTCGTGCGTAAACAGTTCCGCGAGACTTGCAAGGTGCAAACGAAGCAGTACAAGGCGCTCAAGGCCCAGATACTGATGAACACGCCCAAGGAGCAGCAGAAAACCGTCATCAAGAAACTGAAGGAGGAGCAGAGGAGAAAGCTCGCGCTGCTCGGCGACCAATACGAGCAGAGCATCGCGGAGATGTTGCAGAAACAGTGCATCAAGCTCGACGAGAGCCAAGAGCTCCAGTGCCAGCAGATGAAGGAGCGGCTGCAGTACGAGTTGGAGATCCTCATCGCCTACCAGAGCAAGAACAAGATGCAGGCGCAGGCCCAGAGAGACCGCGAGAAGAACGAGTTGCAGGAACGGGTCGAAGTCAGGCGCGCCTTGCTCGAACAGAAGGTTATTTTTTTTTTTAGTCGATATTTTCATTTATTTTAAAAACTGACAATGCGAGAGTTATTTATAAATCTTGCAGTGGCATCAATAATTTTGTTAAAAAAAAACTTTTCAAGTAAAAAAACATTTTAAATCCAATGGTCAAAGAATGTACCTTCCCGAGGTAATAGCTGTCTGACGTCACATATATAAGCTAATAAACTTCTATGAACTTTATTGGCGTGGCTACAAAGTAGATCTCCCGTGAAAGCAGGGGCGTTTTCCTGTTGTGAAAGACACTAGTGTCAATATTTTCAAGTCCTTAACAAACTTAAATAAAAAGTCTACACACATGCGCCTCTGTAACTTTTAACTATTTAAAAGTCATCTTACCGAAAGAACCCAGAAAACAAAAATTAGTAATACTTATAGTTTTAGAAAATATGTATTATAGCGTCCCACGTTTTAGGGCCAATATTATTCATTCAGTAAAAATTTGAGCTTAAACACTATAAAGTTGACCAATAAAATAAAATACTTAGGAATAACAATGGATACACAATTAAAATGGAATAAACAATTACAAGCAGTAGTAAAAAACCTAAGGCCAATGTTTATTATACGTTAGTGTCGTCACGTTTACAATATGGTATTTTGGGCTGGGGAGGAGTACTGGAGATACATCTTAAAAAAATTGAAATAATGCAAAAATATTCCCTAAAAATCATTTTCCAAAAAACTAAAAATTACTCTTCTGTATAGCTCTGTAGGGAGTTACGATAAGGCAATTATTTTTTAAAACAACAGGTTCAAATATTTTCAAAAACAAAACCGAACTACAAAATATAAATCATTCTTATAATGGAAGAAATGGAGAAATGAGAAACACTAAGTGTAAAAAACAGATCGGCCAAAGATTTTACAATTTTCCAGACCCATTTTTATAATTTCCTAAATGAGGATTTAATGCGGAGAATTAAAATGTTAATATCATTAAGTGCTTTTAGAAAGCATCTCAAAAAATTTAAGGTGAGTGTGAGCCTTGTAGCAATAAATAATATGAATGCATAAAGGATAAAAAGAAATATTAGAAAACAAAATATATGTAAGAGTAAATAACAAGAAAAAGTGGTAGAGAATGTCAAAAATAAGATAAGATTTATGTGTAAGATTTGTTTGTTTTCAATGTCAAGTTTAAAGTATTATTTGTTTGTTTTTAATATTATTATGATATTTAAGTTAGACTTGTAGAAATTTCTTCAAACTTTTATTAGCATTAGTTACTTTCTGAACTTATGAAATGTGATCCTGCACAACTTGGGGTTTTAGAGACAATTTTCATTTGTTTATTTTTTAGATGGTCTTTAAATGTGATATAAGCCCTTTGAAAAAGTATATTATTGTAATGCTGATTCCTAATTGTCGTGTGTTAAAGATGATGGCGGAAAACCAACGTTTCATCGAGGAGAGAGGCGAGCGGATCAGGATCCTGCACGAGCGGCAGGAACGTGAGCTCGAAGAGTTTGATGAGGAGTCAGTAAGGCTGGGATTTAGGTGGGGTTTCGCCCAATCGATCTGGTAGCGTTTGACTCTCGTTCGTATTTCAGTGCATTGGCCATAGCCGAGATGTCAATGGCGTTGGGCGATCTCCGCGATGGCTACGACGATGAGGGCAGCCTCTCCGGGTCGATGCTGAGCCTCGCCCACTCGAACAGTTCGACGAGCTTCCCGCCCAATTCCGTTTAGTGTTTAGGTCGACTAATCGTCGTAGTGGGTCGAGTGGCGACGTAGATCTGTGATCGGTACGTTTGAACTACCGGGACTCGTTCCGCGCTCTTTCTTGGTCGGTTTTGTGTGTTTTTTTTTTTTTCGGTTCGGTGGGTAAGTGTCAAACGTGTACTGATTCCGAGGCAGGGCCGCCCTTTAACGGCGTACGCGCGCGTTGCACTCGGTCAAATCGGTAGCGGAAATACCGGCGGGAAGCTGCGAAGTTTTTGCTAAACGAAGGCGAATGTATAAGTATAAAAGTGACCTTTTACTTTTTCAGTTCATAATTTAATTAGCAAAAAAAATAAATTTTGAAAATATACGGGTGGTAAGTCACTAAATCGTTATTTTCGAGTGAAATGCCACAAAACGTTCAACATCGACATCCGAGTAGGAAAGATGGCCTGAAGTTGACGCCAACCCCTGTATATTGTAAATAATATGAGGTTTGTTGTCAACCTGGCTAGAAAAAGTTCAAGGAATTTTTTTTTCCTGGGCTTATTCCTCTTCTGCCTCACTTCAGGTTTTAGACACTTTCCCTGTTATAGTACACATTTATTATGCAAACTTTAGGTGACTACGTGTTTACTTTTCAGTTTTATGCAACCTTTCATTCTTAGAAATGTCATTTCTTGTGCCTGTATTCTGATTTCTTTTTTTTTTTCTTTTTTCATTGTTGAAAGTTTGTCGTCTCGTGAAATTTTATTTTATTATTTACCGTTCTGCTGAAAGTTCGGCAGATATGCTAACCTTTCCTACATCGCAGCCCAAATAAATAAAATGCTTTACCTGTTCCAATACTATCTTTGTCCTGACTGAATATGTACCCTAGGAAAGAGTATTTTTGACAGATTGTATAGAATATGATGGTCTCTATAGGGCGTCTTCTGTTCAATACTATATTTGTCCTGAGTGGATATTTACCTGAGAACAAGAATTCTAAGTCATCGGCATACAAAATGGTGTCGTTCTCCACTCTTTCACTGTGGCATCTATATAAATGCTAAATAATGTTGGTGATACACATCAGCATTGTCTATCTCCCTAGTCTGTCGATATTGCTTAGTTAACTTTCCACCCATATCTATTGCAATTTTGGTATCTATATATAAATTTTGTATTGCAAAAACAATTTAAAAAAAAAACGCGAATTGTAAAGGATCATCTTACTCCCGGGAAATTTTAGGTACTTTTTAATTTGCAATTTTTAAAAAATCTTTAATTCTGTTTACACGTACATGGTGACCAATTTTTCAATGGTAACTCTTAAAGCGTTGCGCAGTGCTCCAAAGCTGCCCAAATTAAATTATCAGGGACGGACCAAGAAGTATTTTTGAAAAAAGAAAATTAGTTGGTTTTCATTTTTCGTTTCTCGCAAGTCTTTTCCGATTTTTTAAACAAAAAGTTATACGAGTTCAAAATTACTTCATCTCGGTTGTTTTGTCTACAGGGTGTCTTACATTACTGTATTTTTGCGTCTTTTTAGATTTAACAAAAAAAACTAAACTAATTTTGTGGTAGCTGTATTGCAGTTCACATCTATTGAATGTTTAGTTAATTTCACTGAATTAATTGGAATTAATTAAATTAATTAGTTTAATAAATTTAATTAACTTGGCGTTAATGTTAAGTTTCTCAATCAGAAAGTAATTTTTAATGCATTGTAAAAGTCCATTTTCAATTGTTTTTTTCCCTCAGTGAAACAATAGACTTGAATTTTTGAAACTAACTTGGTTTTTTATAAGGAATCTAGAAATGTCAAAATCAAGTTATGCGGTTTTTGCAAAATATTTGTGAATCCACTTCTTCCAATTTAATTTTTGTACCTTCTGCGTATTAGCCATCAAAATATACAACTTTTTTCCCATTTAACAGACACCCTTGATGGTTTAAAAATTACCCACACAATCGCATTGAAAAATTGATATCCATTACTTCCCGTTTAAAAATAAAAATAATATTTGAAAAAGAGACAAACCCCTGGACGCTTGCTCGTTTTTCAGTTTGCGATACCATTATCAGCAGTGCCTTTTTTGGACGACAGATGGGGCAGTCAGTTACCCGCTTGTATTTCCACTGCCGAAATTTGCGTGTAAATATACTGTCTATTACAAAGAAAACCCATCGGGGCGCCATGTTCGAAACCCACGCCCTCCTAACGTATAAGCATACTTTTTATTAAAATTTTTCTTTATACTATTAACGTAAATTATTGGTTTCCAAACTGTAGGTATATTTCTTAATTTTTTTTTCCTTTTCCGATCGACCGAATAATCCCCGAGACTGTCGCGTCGACTACTTTATTCAAATTATTTTAGGTTACCCAATGATGGATTATATAGCTACGTAATTTTTAAAATAAAAAAAAAGACTAACTGTACCAAAAATTATTGGTATGTACGCTTAATAATATACAAAACAGATTATTAGCCCTTGCTTCTTGTACTATAGGGAACGGCAGACGGCAAAATGGCTTCGTCGTTTTGAATTGGTTTCTATTGCGTTTCGATCGTTTTGAGTACCGTCAAAACGATCCCGAATCTCTCCCCGGTCTCTCCGGCTACTTCCCGGTTTGCGGTTTTTCTTCGTTCGAAAAACTTTCGTTAAATTCCTTTCGAAGTTATAGTGGGTCAAGCGAAACCCATACAATGGTAAATAAATACACAAAATGATTAATGGCCTTTATGGAGTATATAGTACGAAACTTTAATATTTAATTTGGCATAAAAATAAAAATAATTATTCTAAAAAGGAGACCCCAAAATTAAAGTCATGTACTATTTGTTTTTTTTTTGTTTTTTTTTTTTTTTTTTTTTTCAAAGAAAGTGCCACAGACTACTGTAATAACTATTTACAAACCTTCTGGATCCCTACTGCATCGGTTGCTTATAAATCAAACCTGCTGAAGTTTTAGCTTAGCTGAAACTGAAAGGGGCATGAACATTGTCCTGGATGACTGAAGGTAAAGGTCTGGTCTCGTTATAAATTTCCATAGATTCTCGGAAATTTCGCGTTCATGATCCTTGAGTCTAGTTGATATTTTGCGTCCGATCTCTCCAATGTATTCTTTGCAGCATATGCATGTAAACTCCTGGTTGAAATGTTGAGAGATTTGCATCCTACTTGGCTGTAACTTTTTTGTTTTTGGAAATATCAAGGTAAACAAAAAAACAACATGTAGGGTTAGTAGCCAAGTTTTTTTCCAAGTGACATATAAAACAAAACATCAATTTTCTGACATATAAGCCTATATCATTTTTTTTTTAAATAGAACAGCCTGTATTTCATATGTGTTTAATTGAATATCTTATTCCGATTACAATGATGTAACACTCTTTTTTAACAATTCGGCAAAAATAAGAAATTTTTATATTATTTCAAATTATCTAATAATCAAATATTGACTTTTTCCAAATTTTATCAAATATTTTTAATAATATTGATATTGAACGACTGGAATGGTATTTCCATGACCTTAAACTTACCTTATGCGTGAGGTCTTTATCTTGGTAAAAAACAAAATTTCTAGAAATGCCTTTCGCACTTTGCTTTAAAATATTCTTCATAATTCTCTGTATAAAATGTAGGTTACCCACTTCCGCTGCATACCCTACACCCAGCCCCATAGCATCACTGAGCTCCCGCCGTATTTCACTGTTGCTATTAAACTTTTGTCAAAAAGCCCTCCTCCACGTTTATGGCATTGGATGCAAATAGCTTAAATTAAGCTCATCCAAAACTCAAAAGTGTTAAAATTAATTCCTTTATTCTGTTTATTTTCCTTTCAAAAAGTTTTCTTCTAATTATTTTTTCGTAAAACTATTCGGAATTTACTGTTTTTGCCAAATCTATTGGACCAAATCTATTGGATTTTCGAAGAATCTATCTTTCATCGTAATAATTAAATATTTTGTGCTGACTTTTTGTTTTATTTAAAATCCGTTTTACCAATATCCCGGCGATTTTACACCATTGCCATGAAAAATAATTTTCTTTCTGCAATGATGTCGTGCCAAGTTTTATTTGTTATGGGGAAATTTTGTAATTATTTTTTTCTTATGCCAAATAATATATTAAAATAAATTTTTGTTCTACATTCTCAATACATCCCATCAATTTTAACGATAGTGCAAATTTATTTACAAGTATAGCAAGTTTCACTTTGACGCTGTAGAATACTCGTGGGTTCCGCTCAAAAGTTAATTTCGCCAGTCGGTTTTTCTAGCAGTATTCTCCATTTCGTCGGTAAGAGAGGTAGTTCGTAACGATTCGTGCATTATTTTTTTTTGTTTGTTATGTAAATTGTTTTTCGTTGACATAGAGTATATGGTTTAATGTTTCAGGTTTGTAACGAATGAAAATACTTATGACATATTAATAAAATTAGTCAATATATTGTAAATAATTTGTTAAAGCTACTGTGTCAAATTTATAATTAGCGTAATTTTTTTAACTTAAATTACATAGTCAACCCATTCGCTAGTTTATTTATTTATTGACACCTAACCTATAAATACATAGTACGATTCAACTATGCGTTTCAGAATTTCTGTGGGCATGGCTGATAACATAGCACAATTTAGAGGAGTCTTCTTATCGTTGGCCCGGGAATGACGATTAAGCAGTAATTACTGGCAATGCATGCAAATTGAAAAAGAAGAAGAAATGTTTCACAGAATACAACAGCCATGTTTAGAGGCCTGTGATGGTTTGTAAGGTTATGTGCGATTATGTTTTGTTTGGATTGAAAAACGACTTAAATATATGAAATATTCCGGACAACGTTTCATCGATGGATCTTTTCGGCTCCCCCGTGTCGAATTCCTACAAGCAAGAATATGACTTTGAAGAGGACAGCAAGTACGACGAAGATAGAGAGAAATATGAACACCAAGACGAGAGCGATGAAGACACTGAAGACGCCAGCGAAACAGATAACGGTATGGTAACTAATAATAATAATAATCTTTATTAATATTATTCGCTAGCGAAAATACAAAAGAAACTGTGTTTATATGATACATAATAAACTAATAATTTTTCAAGGTATTAAGGGTAAATAATATTCCATATTGCTCTCATTCTCATTTAAAGCTATTTGACTTTTCACATTCCTTAATATAATCAAGTAATTCATTATCCTGTTTTAAAACCTTATTGGACAGATTATTTTGGTGATCTTTAATATTTACTTTATGTATGTAAAAGTTATTTCTTGTCCTAGTGTTTTATTTATGAATATCTCTTAAATATGCACAAATATTTTAAAAATGGTTCTGAACTAGCTAGTGTAATATTTTTTAAATAAAGTGTTGGGAGTTATAGTTTGTCATGCACTTAACACATTTAAGTAAGTTAACATATCAACTCAATTTAATGTAATCTTTGTGGGTCCCTTTCACTTTTTCACTGCTTCTATATTTAAGGTCGGCAAGACGAGCACTTGGAGATAAAAGAGCAAATGTACCAAGACAAACTAGCGAATTTAAAAAAGAAGTTGGCACAGCTTAGCGACGGCACACACTACGAATACAACAAGAAGGTGAAGAGGCTGGAATATCAATACCACGAAAGACTGCGCATGAACGAGATCTACAAGTATATTAGGCTTCCACTATATTATATCCAAAGTTAGTTGGTTTGATTTGCAGAGAATACATGATAGACTTGGTGAAAAAAGATTACAATCAGGAGATAAAGGCGGCCGCCAGAGATTTCGAAGAAAAGAAAATCGACCTGCGGGAAACTCTGATATCTGACTTGGAAGACAAAAAGAGGACTGTGGAAGCCGAACGGTTATCCATGGAGCTGACCGGAGATTCCATGGAGGTAAATATTGTGAGACTCCCAAGTTGGAATTTTCTTGTTATGTTTTGGTTTAGATTAAGCCCGCTATGACTAGAAAACTCAGGAGGCGACCCAACGACCCCATTCCGTTGCCAGAAAAGAGGAGGAAGGCGCCAACCGCTCAGATTGTGTACCTCTTGGATGAGAAGGATGCGGATAGCGATCTGAGGCAGATCAAAGAGAAAATGCCGGTGCCCACACGAAAGCTGAGCGAGAGCTCTATGGGCAGTCCCACTCACAGCTTGCAGGGGGTATCGGTGCAACCTTTTACTGAGGTAACGAAGGTTTTATGTTTTTTTTTTTTTTCGGGTTGCCAAATGGTGTATTTTTAAGCAAACAAATCTGATCGAGACGCGCATCGAAGACGGTAAACTGTTGTACGAGAAGCGATGGTTCCATAGAGGACAGTCCATTTTCATCGAGGGTAAAGACACTCCCAAAACTGCCGCGAATATCTGCGGCATAGGGACGGATTGCATTTACGTCAAGAAGCCCAATGGGGAAAAACTCAGGTTCTTCTTATCAAGTCTTATCAGGGGAAAGGTTTCCCTTAAAAGAAGGGCTTCCTGAAAACCCTATAAATGTCGCTTATTTCATTTTTTATGATTTTTTAAATTTTAATATTTATATAAACTTTCCTGGATCACTTCGTAATCTGACACTTCCATCCTTTTCCATTAAAAAAAGTTGTTTTGCTCCTTTAGGGATGTGATGACTTTCTAATGAGCCTGGCGCTGCGTAAAAGTGAGGTTAGGCGGTGCGTGCAAGACGAAAAAAATAGACTGCTTAAAGATTTTTATGCTTTTTTTCTACATATGCGGGGAGGATAAGCAGTGAAGTTTGTAAGAAGTTGTTTCCTTTCATATCCTCTACAATTTTTTCGTGCTCTCACGGTAGAGCAATTGCAAAGAACTCGAAAATTTCGTGTTTTGTAACCAAAATCCTCGGTTTCAAATTTCAGGTAGGAGGTAATGCCACAGTTGCGATCTGTGTTAGATGATTAAACCTTCGAAGGGTATCTGTAATGTGCGATTACCCTATGTTAGTTGCTCATTGGAAAAGAAAACGAAATTATCTACCACAGTCCACTCACGCACTTTTTCTGGGCCATCTAGTATTATATGATGTAAGAGATTGTCGTTTTTTAAATTTCACAGCTTTTATGACAGTTGTATCACTTAATCAATCAATTATTTTTGAAATTAGGATAAAATGTGTGTACTTCCTTTATGTTTATGCTTAGAGATAACTTTTTGGAGACCCAGAACACATCAACATGAGGTACTGCTAACAATGAAGAAGTTTGCTGGTGGTTTACGACATTTATTATATAGAATAAATTGTTTATATTTACAAAGTGTTTTTTTGTCGATCCATAGAGCTCGCTCGCAATCGACGTTGAGTATAAGGAAAAGGTTATAACCCTACGCGGGCAACATAACCGTGACATCTATTGATCAATTGTTTAACTAATTAGTTCCAGCGCCTAACGAGGCATGACGCTACCATCCGTCCAACTATCGATGCTCGTTTCAAGTCTATTGAGAGGTTGCACCATCACCGACAATCTATTAATGCTTGTATCAACGAATTAGTTCCAACGTTAAACACGATATGGCAACCCACCGCGCCATCTATTGGTGTTTGCCCCAACTAAATACAATAGGATTAGCATTCTCGTGTTCAACTTCAATGATTGAAGCTCGATAGACTTTCTGAATTACGAAACCAGGAGCAATGAGGACCTAGCTGAAAAACCTACAATTTCCTGAAGAACCTAAGAAGCTTGCAGGTTGACCTGAGTACTTTTGAGCTTATCATTAAAAAGAAAAAAAATGAATTTTGGTTGACAAATATAACAAACCAGGACCGCACCAGGAAATAAACAAACAACTATTTTTTACAATTCCAAAAATATCTTGTCGATCTAATTAATAGTGCCTGATTATAGAAACCGCAAGTAGTTTTCATTCTTATTTGAAAATAACATTAATACCAAACCACCCACATCTTAAACAACAATTTTTGGGTAAAAATAACATCTTTACATAATATACAGTTGCAAACAAAACAGCATTGTCACTCTACGTTTATAAAATCTCAAAAAATTAAACAATAATAACGAAGATGTGCTGCTACATGATGTAAAGCAACCATAAATAGCTTCTCATAATAACATTACTGCTCTTTAAAAACACATGTTACCAAATAAAAAACTTGCCTTAATATAGTCACTCAACAATGTCGAAACAAGAATCTCGAATGACAGCGTCTTTCAATTAAATTATGTGTAACATTTCCGTTTGGCAGGGCAGGTAAAAGTCGACTTTCGTCGAGTGTCCTTAGTCTCTGCGTATGCCCACAAATAAACGCGGTTACAAGAAGTGGGTGGTTCTTTGCTCGGTCAAAGTCATTTTTCCCAAGAATCCTAAACCTAATAGGATCGCCTAATTCGCCAGATCTGTCCACAAGTGCAATGCGAAAACTCTCGCTGGCTGTGACGTAGTGAAGTCCTGTATTGGGGCGTTTACTATGTAAATGCATGGAAATAATCTGAAACTGGCCCAAGTTTTGATGGACTTTGAGTATTTTTAGTAGCTAGTATAGCATTTTGTTTGGATGATCACTCGTTATTTTCATTTAATGTCAACATTAAATCGTTTTAGTACTTATTTAATAATTATTGGGAAGTAGCGTAGGGTAGGGTTAAAATAATACCATTGCAATCAAGTTTGGCTTAATGTATTATCTTGAAATACACATATTACACATAAATACATAAAACTAGCGAACAAAACGATTTACTTCTAAAACTTTGTGTTTTACGGCATTCTACCATTTTAAATATACAAAAATCAACAAATACTTATAAACTAGAAATCCCTATTTTTGGATATATTAAAGAACATATTAAAAAACAAAAAATATTTCTGAAGTTCATAGGAATTAGCGTTCTCAGCTTACAAAAATCTCTAAACTAAATGGTAATTCTTCTTCGGTTTTAAATATTTTTTTGCTAAGTTTTTTACCACCCCTTGTCCTTTTGGAAACGAATCACCATGATGGGATTCAAAATAAAAGTTCCATTTTTTATTTTTTTTTTCAGAAAATGATCAGAAGGCTTTATAAGGCCCCCATATGATAACTGTTGTACCCAAGAGGGTATGCTGTAATGATGATCTGTGGTAATTTTATAAGTATAATCTCCTAAATTGGGGATATGTTTTGTTTTTTAACTAAGTAACCCGCAATGTATTCTCGAAAGCATCTTCAGTAGTTTCCTTAATTAAAATCAGATGGATCCTTAGATCCACTTGGGGAAACTGATGAAAATGATGAGCTGCTTTAGGATTCATTATGTAAATTGTAAACAGGCGTGTCTTTAATGTCTAACACTTTGGTACAAATAATGCAATTGTCTAAAACTCGCTCTTTTGTATTTACTTTAGAACCTAAAATACCAGGATTTTTCCTAATAGAATCATACGAATTTTGTAAATGCCCCCATGAGGTGTTGGGTTTCATCTGGACCCCCTCTGCTTCTTATTTGAGAAAAAAAAGTTCGCCAAACTATCCTGATCATGAGTACAAATATATTTAAATATCTAAAGTGGACTTCATGTTTTCAAACAAATTTTGTAAAGAAATAATTGACATTAATATGCCTTTTTGAAAAGTCATTAGGGTGTTTTTTCCAACAACTCTCATATTATAAATTAATTCGTACATTTTTTTTAAGTGGTCATTTTGATTTTTCCAATCTATTCTATAGGCATTTTTTGCCGGGACACTCCCGTTTGGAACATAGCTATTAAAAATATTGAACCATAAATTAACATCATCTATGAAGTTTCCCAAATCCACTGTCATTTTCTTATCTTCTCCCAGGTTATGTAAACGAGCAGTAGAAACATTATTAGAGAGAAGTTGCGCAGCAAGTAGCACATTTTGACAATTTGCTTTTTCAACATCTAAATGCTTTTGGTTTTTTTTTTCAACAAGCATTGACTTCACTATCGGTTAAGGAGTCCAGAGCCTGAAGAGGATTTTTATTTAAAATTAAATTGTCCTTTAGCATAAATCCTCTATCTAAAAGCCAGTTATGCAATAATTTTAATAAATGTCAGCAAACATATATGTTATTATTAGAAATGGGATGCTTAAATGAAGTGTTATTTATATTGATGCCTAATACTTTCCATAGTCCCACATTACTTGCACCACAATCACTTACACAAGCCACCACATTAAATGATATTTTGTGAAGTTCAATGATAATGTTGAACAAAATTTCTTTGGTTATTTTTTGGTCAAAAGCAATAAAAATAGGTTGCTTCCAGTTTGAAAATAGGCCTTGAGCCATAACAACTTGCACATTGTTATAAGGACCTAAAATTTCATCTTGAGCGACATCATATTCTTCCAGAGCCTTCACTTTAACCTCATCATACTGTAAAACAACTGTTCTTTCAAAAGTAGAAAATGATTCAGCTGCTAGCTTAAGCATTAGCAAAACATCTGATAATATTCCTTGACTTAAATTAAGTTCTGAAGCCCGTCTTCTTAAGGAAGACATGGATAATGTAATTCACTTCTTAAATAAAGGTAAGATTTCTTACTGTAATATCTTAACGTAAATGCTACACCTATTTTGTCTCCAGTCCAGTTTACTCGCTTCTTTTTTTTACAATAAATCGATTTGATTCTGGGAAAGTACCATCTTTAATAGTGTCATGGGTGCTATTTCTTCAGTTGTTTTAGATTTTGGGGATTTGTAATATTTAGTTTTGAAATATTTTAGTTGGTCATTAAGAATTTTATTTTTTTTTATTACTTTTGATAAAAAGACCTTTAGTTTTAATAGAACTAGCTCCTAGCAAAGAATATTTTTTTGGTTAAATTATTAAAACTATCCAAGAAATTCATATACTTACTTAGCTTTACAATTTATTAGTCGGGGTTCAGAGTTGGGTCCTGGCATGGGTTCTGGAGATGGATTTTTCTCTCGTATTTCACTTGTGGCATTTGATGTTGCTGCTAAAAGCTCAGACAATACCTGCTGCGCTTCTTTTTTGGCATTTTTGGAATTAGGTCGTTTTGATCTACATAATCCTGCTTCTGTTGGTGGCTTCTGGTTAAATAAAAATAGGGTGGGAACAGCAGTTCTTTTTAAAATCTTTTTTAAAGGTAAACCTAAAATTTAAATTTTGTAGTGAATTCAATGTGTTACTAAAGACAAAAAAAACCTAATAACTCATTTTGTAAGTCTCTTTCATAATCATTTTCAGTAAAATGAACTGAGCAGACATAGCTTGTATATGGATTAACTTTGTCCTCTCTTCTACATCGAACTATCCACTCATTCCGAATAGTTCGGGATACTAGATCTTTCCCTTTGGGAAAGCGATGAAAACTACATCTTTGAGAACTTGCTTTTTCATCAAAATAGTTGTTATTGCACCCATACATGGCACATCTCGTTCCAGGCATGCCTAACTATTTTTTGATGTAACTTATCCCACTGAAATAGGTAAAAGAAACGTATTTCTTACCTTTACCTATATTATTATGTCTAATTTATTGAGCTTACCTCCAAACTAATAACACCGCTAACAAGCAGCACGAACCCAAAACTTTTAAGTCTTTGTTTAAGGTTAAAAATACTGTTTTCCTCAGTTCTCGCCACTCAAGCACGTACAATTTTAAAGTATTTGTTAAAGCTTAAAAATACTGTGTTGTCCAAGTTGTTTTTACAGAAATACAATTAACACTCACTAGTTTAAATTATTTTAATTGTTCAAAGAACACAAAATACATCGGTTTAATACGCCTTCAAATGCATTGACAGAATACACAAACACCGTTAGATGACTTCGCTTACGTCACAAGCGACCACGTGCGATCGATAATTTTGCCGAACTTATATGTCTTATGGGATTGTGCAATGCTATTAGGTTTACGATTCTTGCTTTTTCCAACCAGAATACAAGCGTTGAATAAATTTGGTCAATTATAAAGTAAATTCTGGACGATGTCAGTAATGAGCAAATATCCTGAGTACACTTGCCCAATTAAAAACTAAGTTGTAATTATAGTTTTTTGATTTGGTAAAGTTAGAAAGAATAATATGGACTTTCAATCTCCATAAATAAGTCAGTTCCATAATATATTAATTATGTACTTACTTAAGCGTAATAGTAATAAAGGAGAATTAACATAGCAGACCTTGTCCACAATTTTAGTATTTATCCCTTCAGGTTGATCGAAAAGAAGAAGACGGATCAGCTGTTTGCCGTTTTTTATTTGGGACGGAATGGTTTTTGTTGCTGTTTGGGACGAAAAAAATATGCTTATGGTTTCGTGAACATGGCAAATGGTGCGGATGGATGTTGGTCCACCGAACAAATAATAGCGGATGCAGGAAACTGGTCTCTGGCCGGAGACGTGGCTCTTTTAAATAATCTTAAAGCTTTTTCCGAGGTATTTTAAACGACCCCGTTATCGTTTTCGCTTAAAACTTGTGGTTGCAGAAAGTGCTCAATGAGACCGTTCAAATAAGTCGTAACGTTGACAAATTATTGGACAATGTTAATGATGTTGGCATCAGATTGGATTTGGCAAAAAACGAGTTTCAAAGCCTACGAAATTCCCAATTTGTTGAGAGTAGAGTCTATGAAGATGATGAAACTATCGATGGCGCCTCTAAATCAGATAATAAGGTTTGATTTCTCGAATTTATGTGGGTGGTAGTCAAAATTCAGTGTTTTAGGGAGAACCGGCTGATCTTACTGAAGACCAAAAAGAAATGGTCATTAAGCAAGCAATTCAAACCGGTTTAAAAGTTATGGCAAATTACTATGATAAAGTGGCAATAACTGCGGCAACAGATGTTGACAGAGGGTACTAATGAGCTGTTTCTATAGTTACGATGATGAGTCAAATTTGGTTTTAGCTACATTCTTCAGTCCAAAGATTCATATGCCCACAGGCCCCTGCCATATCTAGTGGGCTCACAAGAGTGGTATATGAAATGGCACGTCGGATTACTCAAGACTGACATTAAAAAGTCTCAAAAGGAAGATGAACTTCCTAAAGATAAAGCCCTGGAGTCGCACTCGGGGCTCGATATCAGCTCAAATCATGATGAGGTTCAAGCCAATGCTGTTTCAAATGAAACAGTAGATGTCAATGTGAATCACACTTTGAATGCCCCCATAACAAATCTAACATTCGCAGAGCAACTGACCCAAAAACTAAGTACAGTAATCACCAGTGACATTAATAAGAACCCAATAAAGCAAAATGCAGAGAACAAATATCCTAGAAGTTTGTTCTCTGATGAACCGCCTCCTCTAGATGTAACAGTATTGCCTAAGAAGGTGTCCGATAGTGATGATAATGAGCAGAGCGGAGAGAAAATTAGTGCAAGTCAAAGCCTTTCAGCAGATGAAGTGGACAAGGATAGTGACTATTACCTTAGGCACTTTAAACGTCAAACGAAGGGACTCTTTGATGAGACAGATGAAAGCAGTGATGATGAAGGAGATATATTTGCCAAGGTTGGGAGACCAAAAGGAGACAAACCATTCTTACAACCTTTTAAGAGTACCACACCATTTTTGGATGAAGAACCCCCTGAACTGAAACCCAAAAAGAAGAATGATGTTCTAAAAAAGGTAAGTAAGTAGCCTTTGGGCTTTTCCATGAAAATATCAATTGAATTTTAGAAACCTGCTGGAGGAGTGTCCATATTGGAGGAAGATTTCGTAGTGCCATTCCAGAAAGCCAATAGGAGTCCATCCATTTCTTCACAGGAGAAGAAAAAAAATTCTTCACTTTTCGATGGTTCTTCAGAAGATGAATTTGTCACAGCTATAAAACCAGGTTCAGAAACTAGCTCATTTAAGAATAATGATGACCCTAAAATTCCCATAAAAAAGAAAGAGGGTACAGATACAAAAATCACAAACAATGCAAACTTTGATAGTTTGGAACCTACTCAAGAAGAACCCTCCAGGGAACCAAAGAAAAAAATTAGCCTTTTTGATGATGATTTCCTTGAAGATGAGGATGATATTTTTGGCAATATAGGCGCCGAAAAAAATCTGTTCAAAGACTTGAAAAGTGATATGGGTCAAAAACATATGTTATTTGAGGACTCAGATGAGTTAGATGACTCTTCTTCTTTCCTTTCCTCAAGTTTCCAGAACAAGACCTTGTTTGAAGACCTTGAGGGTAGTGAGAAGCACACGGAAGAGAAGGAACAAATAATGCCAGGCAAGATACAAAGGAAAGATACCATAAGCAAATTGAGGAAAAATTGTGGCTTGTTTGACAGTAGTGAAGATGAAAATTCTGATGAAGATATATTTATTAAAAAGAAAATTGAAAAAGAGGTGGAAAAATCAAGGGATATGACAAACAAAATTGAAAATAACGTGAACCTATTTGAAGGCACTGAAGATGAAGACATTTTTCACAAAAAAATTGATAAAGAAGATTCGAAGATAATTAAAATTGAAAAAGATTCAGTCTTGAATAATAAGAAGCCGCCAATCGATGAGTCCGGGAAAACCGCCAATTTGTTTAGCTCTATTGAAGATGAAGATAGCAACAAAAATGTAATGCCAGAGGATACTAAAATAGATAGTAAAGCTAAGCAGGCCACTGGACTGTTTAGCAGTGATGAAGATGAAGGTGCTGATGATTTTACCAAAAAAGATGAACACGATAAGGATCAATTTAAGCCAAGTGTCAATTTATTTAATGCTAGTGGAGATGGAGATGATGAAGGTGTTTTTACCCAACAAGTGAATAGCTCTGCTGAGGGGCAATTAGAAGCCGAGCAATCTAATATAAGGCAAGTGGTTCTGCACAAAACTGATACAAATAATCGCATGAAGGGGCCTTGGCAGTCAGCGGTAGAAGAGAAAGATAATATCGGTAAGCAATATCAAGAGAAAGAGGAAAGTAGACAGAATTCTGCAGAGAAGGCAATTAGGGAATGTGGTGAAATCACTGCCCCAAAAGTTATGGAACAGGAAGCGGCGAATTTTAAAACGGACGGAAAGTTGAATCTTTTCACTGCTTTACATAATGATGTGGAGGTTACAACTGACACAAAAGACGCTGTCGGAGAAGATCTAGATGTAGACGAGAATGGTGGTATTGGTGGCATACCTGAAATAAAAGTGACCTCAACCACTTCAGATAAACCAAGCAAATCAACTAGTAAAGATTCAACCAAAAAATCACGGGTGATAAATCTGTTTGATCCCACGCCGCCTCCAGACGATAATTTCTGGGATAACAGCGACGATAGCGATCTGGAGGGCTTCTCCATTAATGACGACTTCAATCGAGAGCCGACGCCCCGACGCGGGTCGAGTCTATTCAATAATGACCCACCTTCGATAAACCCCAACGATTCCAGTGGCATCGTCAGGGACCAAGACTCAATCAGGTACGTTTAACCTACTTCCGCAAAAATCCGTAATTAGTAACGTCTAAGCATTTATTATTATACTTATTAAAAAAAAAAAAGGATGAAAATATATATTTTTAAAATAATAATATCTTATTAATATCTATATTATCTATATTAATATCTTATTAAGTAAATAATTGGCTATGACTCATCTATTAAAAACAAAAAAGTAAATGTGTTAAAATTGATATAGTCAGTATAATTTTTATATTCTGGAGAGTATTGAGTTCCTTGTACTTATATTCCTTGTATTTATACTAATTTACATTTCTAAAAACCTTAAATGATTTCTAATTAATGTAACAAATAATATACAGGGTGTTGCGTTTAAAAAATATATGTTTGCTACAAAACTAATCATGGGATAGAGCAAGTGAAAAACAAACTACGCCATTATAAGAACGTTTTTTAAACTCTTCAATAACTCATAAGACAATGGGAGTGATTCCAAAATCGATAGTTTTGGATTTCACCCTGTATCTTTAATTTCACAAAAAAGTAGCACAATATCGCGTAAACCGTAAAAATAACTGAGATACCCAAAGTGTGATACCCTGTACAATTAAGAATTGTGTAATGTAATGTAATTGCTGATTGTTAATATTTATAACCAAATGAACAACAAAAAATTATTATTATTATTAAACTAATGCAATATTACATGCTTTACAAACAAATTCAAAACACGTTATTCTAATCTTTGTAATAGTAATCCATTTGAGTAGATAAACAAAGGGGGTTTGGACCAACATAATATCAAACAGTCGCGGAGGGCCTGATGATTGTGTGCTTCGCCTCCGGGGCCCCGTTGCTTATGGGGCACGTTGTACGAAGTTCAGACGAACATAACCTCAAAAAACCGTGATGATTCACTTTTTTTTCCGCTACCGAGGATCGAACCCAGGATTCATCCGTTGTCGAATGCCGATTTTAACGCCGAGCTAACGGGCATATTAAATCAAATAGTGAACTACGCGTTATATATGAAGAATAATGACGTCGCGCCTGTACTTCTAAGGTATGCCCCGTGGATCCCCTATGTGTTCCGGCCGCTTACGGGGGCCCCAGTGCTTATAGTGTGTGTTTTAGCTCTCCAGCGGAGGTGCTCCGGCAGGCACCGGGGGTCGTGCCATCTCAGACGTCACGTTTCACCCCGGGGGCGACGCCAATAGGGCCTCGAACGCCGCTTACGCTATTAGACGAGCATAACGGACGAGGAGGTATCGTCTGCAGGCAGATCCGTTAAACTGATAAAAATGCGCTCGCCTTTATCCGCTCGTATATATAGGGGGGAACAAAAAATAAGCAATAATAAGCTACATTTTTATTGACTGAGACGTACATAACTCAAATCCAATTTAGGAGACTCGAGTTTTTCAATGTCCTCGCGGTACAGGTATACTTCGATGGGTGGAGTGGTTTTTTTCAGCTTTAATTCGCATCGCTCTTCTTCGTGCCAATAAGTCTAAATCTGAAATGAAATTGCCAATTTTCTCGTTAATAAATAACCGTACTCGGATGCAATCCTTCAACCACCCCACTGGATTTGTGAATATAAAACATATTTTGCACTTTTTTTTTTCAAAGAAACTTCCGCAGGCTACTGTAATGCTTTTTACAAAATTTCTCGATTCCTCCTGTGTCGGTTTTTGCTTAGTCGAAATTGCTGACGTTGCGCTTGACTTCTTGGCTTCTTCAGAGCTTGATTGAAACTGGACAGCAATTTCGACTAAGCAATAACTGACGCAGGAGGAATCCAGAAGTTTTGTAAAAAGCATATTTTGCACTATCGCCGTAAATAAAACAAACTGAGCACTTAATGGAGCCATGTTTTTGGCACGAATGACCCTAGATCGCCGAGGGTCTTTTTATAACGCTCAAACAAAACTGACATTTATTCTGCGGAGGTGCCGGTCCGTCAATATGCGTTCTATCCGGTCTATTGTAGTGAATAAAGCACGGCAAATGTGTTTGCAATTCGAAACTGTTGCGATATGCGACCGGTAATTTCTGCCACATATTCAACACGTCGTAAGGCCTTACGTGCTCGACGAAATATTGTACGGGAATCAGAGCGAGTTGTTCGGTGTCCAGACTTCTTATATCGCTGTCGAAAATTATCTGCCGATTCATTATAGCCAAAGGTCTTTAATTTCATTAGCAAATCTCTAATCTGTTTAAAAACGCTCTCGGTAGGACAATTGATTCCGACAAGACTCAAGTCTGTCTTGCCGACTTTTGTTGGTTTATTCAGAAATTCGCTCTACTCGTAATAAGAGTTTCTTTTGAAAAACTACAAATGACCTTTGGTGAATCGAAACGCGCCCGAAAGCTTTTCTTTCTCCAGAAAGAGTTCGTTAATGAAACCGCGTCCCGTCGTAGTCAAAGAGCACTCGTCTATTTCTCCATAGTAGATATTACCGTAAAATATATAAGTCCGGCCGTTATAAAGTGTCGAAAATGGCGTGAACTGTTTTACCCGCGGAAATACCTAGTTGCTGGAGGCTTTGTTGAATCTTTGTTTTGTATCTTAAAACTCGGAAACTCGATTAGATAAAACGAATTCTCAACGATGGCTAAAATTTATCCGTTTGGTCTTTGGTAGATGTGCGATATAGGAGCGTAAGCGTGAACATAATCGGATATCAGTTTAGGCTCCGTATAGATTTTATCGCCTAACCTTATCACCCAAATCCATTTGTCGTGAAACAGGTACATGTGCTGGTTCGACGTGACCAAAAATTTGTCAGGATCTGCGTTACACAAATCTGGAGCTTTTGTTTCGCTTTTCGCGGTTGTCGTCGTGAAAAATGCTTTTATTGTTGTTTTTTTACTATATAAATATCGTCTGGCGACAATGATATTGCGTCAAAGGTCTACCACGGAAACATAATGCGCCAAACCCGGAGTACATAGCGCGACGTCCTTATTCATCATATCGCACATCCCAAGAAAAACTGTATTAAGTGCCTAATTAACAATTTTATAGGAGGAGCATTTAAAGAATTGATATAATACATTTTGTTCTCAGAGTTTTTTATATTTATGATATTTGTTATATTGCTTTATTTTTGTTAACCATAATAAGTATTTACAAAATATAAAATGATATTTCGGTCACGTTTTCAAAAACCCCAAAAAACTTTGATTTTGTTGACTTAATACAGTTTTCTCCAAAAAATATAATCTATTTTTTCCGAATTGTCGATGAAAGGTGAATTAAAAAAAAAACAAATAACTCAAAAAGGTATTTATTTGTAAGCATTATCAATATTTAGGTTAACACAATTTTACAATTTAATTTAAAAGTCATAAAAAACATTTTCAAAAAACCATTAAAACAGAGATTCGTAAAAATGTTTGTAAAAATCTGGTATAAAACGCTTTTCAAGATGGAATTTAAAATCCTGTTTTTTATTCTCATTAATTGGGCGTTTTGAATTATACGCTTTTTTAAGTTGAGTTCTGCTGGCAAAGAAGATGCCGCAGATCCAGATTTTCTCCTTGTTTTTTTTTTTGTTTAACATTAACACACTTCCATTGGCTATCAGAATGTGACTCTTTTATAAAAAAAATATGAAAGGCTGTTCCATTTCTACTTTTACAATTTTAATCTGGGATAAGTAAACCTGTTCATTTTCAACATTTTTATCGAGATTATTACCAATATTTGTTGTTAATTGTTTGACATCTATAAAGTCTTTGTGTGTTAATTCTTTAATGGCAAACGGTTTTTTCTGTTTTCTCGAATTTCTTATAACGCTGATAAACTGATCAGGTGTGTATATTGGATCGCGCCTTACGGAAGTTTCGGAAGTTTTCAAGAACAGTTTTATAGGAAAAAAAATACCTCTTTTTCAATTGTTGAATGTGTGCTGTTTAATTCATTTTGCGTGTGTCCGGCAATAAGGAATTTATGAGAACTGCTCTTTATCTTGAGTACTTGTACAGCATGCATTAAAAGAGCAATCATGCAGCTGAAACAAAATAAACACCGTTTAATGTTTATTTGTTCACAAAAATTAAAAGTACTTACTTGTTTTTATTCTCAGCTCCTCAGTTATCACTATAAAAAGTAATTTCCAAGTCTTCGTTATTGACGGTATTTGCCTTCTCTTCTAAGTACTTAAAAATGCAAGACGTTACTTCAGTAGCACCTTTTCCACCTTCCCCTTCATGCCAAACAAACAGTTAAATTCATTACATTTGTTTTAGATTTATAATAAAATATTGATATCTCTCCTTTTGGTAGAGGCAATACCGCTTGCATATCAAAACAGGCAACTATAATTTTTTTACTTATTTTGCTTTTGTCACAAGCCTTTTCTTCTCTCGACTTTTTTTTTTTTCATATTGATGTTCTTCATAATCATTTTTAAGTGTTTCCTTTATTTGATCAGTTACATGTTTATATTGGTAACAGAGGCTGCACTGATCTTTCTTTGGCTTAAAAAAGGGTACATTAAATTATTGATTAAAAATATCTGCCTACCTGTGATATTTTCCAAAAGTTCTTCCTTCAGACTAGCGTGAATCTTTATAATCTCTGTAGATGTCAGCAATACACTTGCTTCCATCAATAAACTTTTTTGTGGTTTGTGCTCTCAAATAATGCGATTCAATTCTGGGTATAGAATTAATGTGGGTTTATTTCTTACAGTTAAAATGGTTCTGTCATTTATATCCAAGGTATTTTTGAAAAACATTTTACACACTCGCATTTTTTTACCTTCTTCGGTTTGAAAATGGGAGGAATAATTTGGTCTTCTTTTAACATCTTTTAATCTTGTATTAGGTGGCATTAATTCCATGTGCTTCAGAAGGAAATCTCTTTTTTTCTTTTAATATCTGGAAAATTATAATAGTCCGTAAATATTAGATTTTGCTGAATTTCGGTGATTTTACTAGAACATTTAAAAATGCAATTTGCCTTACAGGTACCCTTTACTCTTTTAAAAATTAATTAAGAACTTATATCATCTTTTTCAGATTTAAAATTTCATATTATAAAAAAATTAATTGATAGAAAAAGGTATCAATCTAGGATAATACTACCCACCCGCGAACATAATTGAAGAATAACGCATTATCCTCATATAAAAAGTCATAAAATTTTTAATATTACTCCCGCAAAACTGTATTAAACTAGAATAATACGGTCTTCTTCGGATAAAATAGAATTTTCTTACCTTGACAATTGAAGGAAAAGTGTATCAAAGACAAATAATACACTTTTCTTCGGAAAATCAGAAATTTCCGCGTAGTACGCCGAAATAATACTGTTTTCAACGAGCGACCAACACAATTTTGACAATATGACGTTTTACCTAGCATAAAACAAAATGCGAATTTTGTTGGCTTGTTAGGGTAAAGTAGAACCCTAAAAATTGTTGTTGTTGACAAAACATGAAAAATAGTAATTTTACTACTTAATACGGTTTTCTTCGGGATGTGCGATATATTTGATTTAATATACTCGTTAAAGTAGGCGTTGAACAACGGACGGATCCCGGGTTCGATCCTCGGTAGCGAAAAAACAAAAGTAGAGGCATCGCGGTTTTTTGAGGTTATGTTCGTCCGAACTTCCTGCAACGGGTCCCACAAGCAACGCGGGGCCCCGGGGAGAAGTACACAAGCATCGGGTGCGGAGCGCCCCCTAGATGGATCGGCCACCCCGCGGGTGGCGATTGTGTTTTGAGGTTATGTTCGTCCAAACCCTCTTTGTTTATCTACTCATTTAATATATTTATTTACATGTAGTTAAAATGATATTATCTAACGGCATGGCACACAGGTATCTTTTGGACTGCTAAACAATTCACGGCAATGCTGTAATAGTACTTAATGATTGAACTAGTCACGTCGAAAGTCAATCCTCATTTTAATCATGATTAACGGTCTGACCTAAACGTAGTGTGTGATTTTTTAGAGCAGATTCGGGCGAGGAATCTTTCAACCCGTACGCGTCGTCCACCAGGAAGCTATCGTCGGACATCTTCGCCGAACAGCAGAGCGAGGACGGCGTTTTCCTTACCAAGGAGGAGACGGAGAACGGGCCCCAGCCGCCCAGCTTACCGAGCATACCGGAGGATACGAAAAACGAAAGTTTTCCGAGCAACTTCGCCCATTTAACGCCGAGCGGACGCTCGGAGGACCTCGCGGACGATCAATCACATTCGGTTTTTGAAAAAACTGCCGACGACGCCAATAGTAAGTTGAATTTTCCTTCGTTGAGCGCACGGGTACTACATTTGTCATCTATGATGTACACTTAAAGCGGAAAAAAATCCGGACGGTCACTCGTATGTTTTACGCAGTGAAAGCTCCTCCTTGTGGACAACTCATTCCATGTTAAGTGCGTTCCGATAAACCGACGCGAATACTAGATTTTTCCCCAATGTGACTAAAAATCTCTCATAGGCGGACGCAAAACTCCAATCCGCTTATTAAAATGTTTATTAAATTCGATAATTCCCCTTTATTTAGTATAAGAGCTTGGCTTTGTTGTTTATATTTTTTCTTTAGTTCAGTCAGCATTATCGGATTCAGTTTTTGAATGCAAATATTAAATGGCACCAAAGAAAAAAGAATTTTTCAAAAAAAATATTTGTTTCACTAATGAATGTACATTCATACTCAACAACGAACCAATATCATCAAAAAATAAACGTTATGGTTGGAATTTGCGGACATCGTATTATTGGGCCATTTTTTTATGGACTATAACCTCGCGGCAGAAATCTATTTGGACTTACATATCAGCCTTTTGACAGGCCTTTTAGGCCGAGAGCTGTATAATTTTCCTCCATTCGATTATATCTCTTCCTATATTTCTCCAATTAATAATTCTTCTTTCTCTTAAATCTTTCTCCACGGCTTTACTCCATTTTCTCCCTGGTCTACCACGCTTCCTCCTCCCTTCTGGTTTTTGCTACTTGCTTTACTTCTCTATTATTTTCCATCCTGGTGGACTTATTACAAGACCAAATTGGACCCGTACTAGAAGTTGTTCGCGACGATCAGGAGATCTGGTACCAGATGGATGGTTGTACCGCCGTTATTTCCCGTATGGTTAGGGGGTAATTGGGAAATACTTTTAGCGGAAAATTATTGGCACCTATTAAAATGTGAATAAAATAAATACTTTACAAATGGAGCGCATTAACTGTTGTTTGTGTGTGGATACTGGATGTGTACATATTCTATTTGTATATATGTACATTTATATTTATATTTATTTTATGTCCTTAGCACTCTCCTTTAAACGATAAGCGGACAAAATTGGTGAAACAGTGAGTGTCCGTTTACGCGAGCTTTGTTCCCTTTCTGCCAGAATTTTATTGCAACAAAAGATAGTCAAAAGAGGGTCTGACACGCTAGTGAAAATCGCATTTGGCTTACTTTTTCCTAACCTATAATATCAGTAAACTATAATTTTCGTGCTTTTGGCGAAATATAGACAAATGTACTGTTAAAATATAAAAATTACATTTAGAATGTCAATAAAACCTAATATTTTTTCAATACTTGTTGACTGGTCACGCGTTTTATCCCCACAAAAATTGTACGTTCTTGGTATATGCCCTGCTTTAGAAAAAAAATATATACTTAGAATGTGTGTTATTTATATTGGGCTCTAAGTTACTTAAATAATACAATCTAGGGATATTATGGTAGGAGTGCGCACTGCATTTTTTGGCAAAGAAAATACACAAACAGAACTTTATTTAAGATGTTTTCAAGAAAGTTTGACCGAAATGGGTTAGGACATATTTAGTATCCTGAGAACTCAAAGAAAATAAGATCCTCAAACCGAAAAAGTGTTGGATTTTCACTTCGTGTTTGTAATCGAATGAATTAATAGCTTTATCTCTTCTAGATTCAAAAATTTGGAAAAAATTCAAATAATTATTTTTTTGGAATTTATTTATTTTTGAAAATATTGAAATGTTCAACTTACTTTTACACTATAAATGGTATTTTGGGTGGACTTTTCCACCTACAGAAGTGTTTTGTATTTTCAAAACATTGAAAACGCAACTGTTAGAAGCAATGCGATGGAATATTCCACACTTAAACACAAAAATCTTTAGTATTTTATCTCTTTGATTGTTTTTCATTATTGAAACATGCAGTCATATGAGAATGAGTATTAATCAAATTTTGGTTTGGTTTTGGTTAGTTTGAAATATTGAAAATATTTATTCATATTATAGGTTAGGTAAGAGATATCAAAATGCAGTTAGCGTGTTAGATCTTAATTCGGCCATCTTTTCTTTGCGATAAATGTGACCTCGTTGCATTTCATTTTTTTGAAAAATAAATTTTATCTGTAGCCATGCCGCAAACCACCCGCTAACCGCCACACAAGCAATCTAAATCAACCCGCAAAATGCGTTCACTCATTTCGATGTTGTATATCCGAAAATGTCCGAACGCTCCCACTATTTTCTTAAAAATAATTTGCGGCATTTTTACTTTACAGCTTTTTACGTTTTCGAGATAAAGTCTGTTCATAGATATAAGGAAGTGACTAATTGATACGAATTAAGGAAAGACTAAACAATATTTATTTATTTGTTTAAATCTAAAATAAAATTACAAATTATTTTTATTACCTGATTAAATTACTTACTGCTTACTATATGTTTAACAGAATTTGCCCAATTTTGTGTTTCTATAAGTGTGAGGACATTGGAGTTAACACGGGGAACAACATTGTTACGACGAGGGGCAGATTTCAGTTGGTGCTAAACATGTTCAATGGGATTAAATATTCGGTGGCTTTAAAACTGTATGCCCTAGATTTTTTGCATAATTATCACAGACGTATTCCTTTTGTGTCACATGAGGAAGGGGTTTTAGTCAACTATCTACTGTGATAACTTGCATTGTCCATTACAATGTCGATATTAGGAGGAAAGTTTGGAAATTGTTTTTAAACCAACTTTCAAATAAATCAGCGATGGTCTGTGGTAATAATCATGGTAATCCAGAGAAGAATCTTTAATATTTTTCGCAGACAGAGAAATTTCATTTGGAATCCAACCATCTTTAGAGCCAGCATGCAAAATAGTTATTCTATTACCTCTTTTTGATGGCGCGTTTGTTTTACACTTATCAGTTGAGTCAACCCAGTATACCAAACCAAAGAATATTAAACACAGGTAGGTATAAAATTATTTTCTTCTATTACGGACCACAATTTTACCTGAATTTAAATTCCAGAACTTTAGGTAATAATCTTATTGCATTGTATATTAATGACTACCCTTGGATAATCCCATTCAAAAGCAATTGGTCACAGTCTTATATCTATGAACCGACCATACCCTTCTTAATTGGCCATCTGGTGCTTGGGAAAACAAGGTCCACATAATTCCAACACAAGCAACGTAAGACTCGTTAATTGTTGTCTACAATCAGCAGTCTTAGGCTTAAATCGTAATTTATCTAATAAGTTAAGAATGGAAAATAAAAATTGATAAAAATTTTAATTTTTATTCTCTTTCCATCAGTCATAGTGACCGCGTCTTAAATGGTAATTTATCTAATAATGAGTTATCCTGATTTTATTTTGAACATTCCCGTTTTTAATTGAACAATTGTTTATTTATTTATTATGTCAGTTCCTAGGGATTTGTAACACTCGTGCCGCTACGGTCTAGTTGGCAAATTATTTCATTTTTAAGGTTAAGAGCTTTTAACTTTAAAACTCCTTTGCTTCATTATGATTAATGGACAAACCTGTTTTTTCCCAATACTTTTCGTCCGATGTGTCGCAGTGAGTAGCATTTTGATTTTTTTTGCAGCGTCGCCGAGCAAACTGAAACATAACCTAAAAATTAATGTCGACGCGTTGTTACCGCACGCGATTGCGCCCAAATTACGCGGTGTCGTGAGATCTGCCAGCTCAGACGAACCGGGTGACCCTTCTTCGGAGGGTATTCAATCGGACGTCGGGATATTGCGCAATGTTACTAAGGTTAGTGCAGCAAGGGATGTCCCGTTTTGGACAAGTTTTATGGTGTATCTCGAAATATATCGCTTTGAATTTTGGAAGTAACTCCATAAAACTAACCTGCCATCAGCAATCCCACATAACATCAATGTAGGTAATACTAAAATGCTATAATATATATATATATATATATATATATATATATATATATATATATATATATATATATATATATATATATATATATATATATATATATATATATATATATATATATATATATATATATATATATATATATATATATATATATATATATATATATATATATATATATATATATATATATATATATATATATATATATAATTCAGATCTTTACTATTGTCATTATATTTCTCGTAAACTATAAAATGATAGATATTGCAAAATATACATTTTTTTAATGAACATTTATTTATTTTTATTTATATATTTATTGTGTGTAATTATATATTATAATAATTATTAATGCAACATTTTACACAGAAGTCGATTGTGCAGAAAAATTCATTCATTCATTCATTCACTGACAATCAATAAATGAAAATCTAAAACTTTTTTTTGAGATTTTTTTTTTTTTTTTGGACCAACCTAAGAATTTACTACTTAAATTGCAGAGTGTACCGAGTAGATCTATAGCATATGGAGTTAAAGGTCGATAACATGTAATTAATACATTCTAAAAAACTGCGCAATATAAATAACGCACATTCTAAGTATATTCTTCCTCTAAAGCAAAGTATTCTTGGCACATACCAAGAAAGTACAATTGTTATGTGGAATAAAGCATCTGAGCAGTCAACATTGAAGGATAAATCCCACTTTTGATACGTCGTGAATTATGCGTGTGCGTTTTCCTTTATTTAAAGGTGCTTTTACCTGAAAGTTTCATCTAGGTAAATTATACGTGTTTTTGGATATATTTTTTAATTTCTTTCTGTGCGATTCCATTACCTCTTGTCTATTTCGGGGTATTTAATTCCCATTTCAACCATAGAGTTAGGAGAGTGGCATGACCAATATTATATTATATTAGTTTCATTTTCTTCTAACGCCCTTTACAGTTTATCCGAAGTAGGAACAATCCGGTTTTGATAAAAAAAATATATTTTCCTCTTATCATATCTCGTTCATTATTGCCCAGATGGTCAGACCGAGAATCACCCCACGTTTTTTTTTTTCATTCAATTCATTGTTAACAACTGTCAAAGCCTGCTTTTACAAGTAACATTTCGCACGTGACTTTTAAGCCTCTTGTTCAAACTAAACAAAATAATTTAAGAACCATAGTAAAATGAGCAATGCTGCAAAAAAAATCCTCACCAAAGATGTGCCCTGTAGCTCAACTCTAATGGGTCGCTATTTTCATTTTAGATTTAATTAACATAGGAAAATTTCTTTTTTCACTAAAATTGAATTTACGCGATTTTTTACAAAAACACAATTTATATTGCTAAAGTTGAGTCTTTAATCTTTCCAAAACCGTGTAACAAAGTTTGATTATCATTCAAAGAAGATTAATTACTGCCATTTAAAAATTACTAAATTTTGAACTTTTCAGAAATAGCTTGTAATGATTTTTTATCTACATAATTTCTTAAAATTTGTATCCTAATTAATAGGGTGTTTTATTTCTATGGTTTTCAAATTTTAGAATTGTTGTCAGTACGTGTGTAGTGTACCTGTGTAACACTAATTATATCATACGGTACAGTTGTCAAATTATCAGTGTCTGCAACAGATATATTAAGAAATTATTGTGTATTGTCATTCTTTAAATCTCTCAGTAATTTCAATTATTATCAGTAAAATGGTTTTTCGTGTAGAAAATTAAGTTTGCAGAAGTTAAAAAATACTATGTCGATTTGACGTTTTCCATTCTTCATTTAAATATTTAGACTGAGCTTCTGTTAAAGAATGTGATGAGTTATGATTAGATATATCAAACAAATTCTCAAGGTGATTCTTAAATGTACGCTCCGTAATTTTTTGTTTCTGAGTTATCTTTTTTATTTTTATTTTTTTTCAAAAGTTCCCACTCTCGATAAACTTTTATGATTTTAGTAATAGCGTTTCCAAACTTTCATAACATCACTAATCACTTCATCAAAACACTGTCGAATTGTGAGATTGGCAACGAAACCTATATCTCGGTGACGGAGCGTCGTACAGTGTTGAAAAATAAACGTTTTAATTTTTTGTCTGTTCTCCGTTCTCTGTTTTCTGTCGACGCTCGATAAAAATGCGAACAACATCCGAACGGTTTGAGTGAGGGAGCTGAAGTTTTGCTCCTTTTTAACTGCCCACGAGACACATAAGCCAATAGGAAATGTCTGCAATTGGAAATTGGCATCTGTTTTTTTTTGCGATTTTCGTCTGTTTTTCGTACATCGTTATGAAACACGATGTGTCCGAAATTTTTAGCTATCGATTTCAAAATTGGCACAAATATAGAGCCTGGTTCCCTAACGGAATCTATTGAAATTGGGGGGGCTTGGGGGTAGGGAAGTATTTTTAAAAAATTAAAAACCGCGCATGCATGCGTCTAAGAAAAAAAAACATTTCTCGAAACCGGTTTATGCGATCGAAAGAAAAAGGTGCACCAAAAGATCCTCAAGACCCAGTGCTTTAATTTTTTATTCTTGACAATTTTTGAAAATGAACAGGGTGTGGCCAATATTAACAGAGAACTGAAAATGGTTTAAGGAAAATGTAGTGTAATTAGAAGACTCAATCAGATGCTAATTACATCAAAATATAGCTCATGTAGGCGACTAAAACTTTTGTATTTAAGGTTTTCACATTTTGTACAAAGTGTTCGGAATATTCTGTGCTATCGACTATGTAGCCATCGACTTCAAATTTGACAAGGAAGTAAAAGTCCGTTCGCACATCGAAACACTACAAATTGAACGCAATCAAATGTCACCAAATATTTTTTTTTATTTGGAAATATTTTCCTCGATTATTTTGTCTTCCAGGAAAAGATGATTTTCTCAAAAACTATTCAACCGAACGGCAAAATTTTAAAGCCAGAAAACGCGGGAGATCGGGAGCTATGACTTTTATTTTAAGCATTTTTGATTATATACATTGGGTGGGTAAATTATTGGGGATAAATAAAAAACTGCTAAAGATGCGATAATTTGATTTGAATAGTATCGTAAACTGCGTTGACAGAGAGTTTCAGGTTTGGTCAATTATACAAGGCGCGCGAAATATTTGAAAAAATATACAAATGTACATATTCACCGTACAACGATTTTATTAAAGTTCCATAGTGGTCCGCAGGAGCACGATAGAAAAGCAATGCTTCCCTGTAGGACAAAAAACCCCGAAGCGGCTTCTTTTTTAAATAAAAATCTGGTCCGCGCTTCGATCTTGCCCCGCCCACCAACGATTTTTCGAAAGCAATCTTGTTACTTTCGAAAATCGATGATATCGAATTATACGCTCGTATAAAAATTTTATATCTCGGTAACGGTAAGTCCTATGGGATCGCCGTTGGTACAGAAATGATCACCGTCGAAAAAAAATATTTTTTTGTCTGTCCGTTCTCCGTTCTCGTCTTTTGTTTTTTTCTGAATAACTTTCGAACCATTGGAGCAATAAAATTGAAATTTGCCTCCTTTTTAACCCTCCACAAGGCACATAAACTTATAAGAAATGGTCCTGATCCAACGTCTAACCATTGGATCATGCCTTGAAAGACGATGTGTCCGAAATTTGAAGCGATCGACTTCATATTTGGCACTTGGCTTTGCCCGTGATGGAACCTATTGAAAATGGGGGGCGCGGGGGCCGGGAAGCATTCTAAAAAAATAAAAAATCGCGGGTGCAAGGGTCTACAAAAAACATGATTTTTCAAAAACTTTTGCATTTAAGGTTTTCACCTATTGTATTGTATGTAATTGGGCGCAATCAAATTTTACCAAGTATTTTTAAAATTTTTTTTTTTTTTTGATAATTTTAGCTTCCAGAAAAATATGTTTTCCTCCGTAATCGTTCATCCGATTGGAAAAATTCTTTAACCAGCAGACGCAGAAGATTCAATGCAATATTTCGGGCATTTTTTCGATTATATACAGGGTTTTCAAATTATAGGCAAAAATATAAAAAACCTAGAAAATTGTTCTTTTACACAGTAAATTATTAGCTGCAAATCAAAAGTCACAATCAAGAGCTACAATTTTTGTATTTGCGATTTTCGTCTATCACATACGCTGCTTGTGATATTTGAATAAATCCATGTTGAAATCGTTATTTCGGGGGCTGTCAAGACGCGATGCCGTCATTGATTATTACGGCGCACTGCATGGTTTCAGAAAAAACTTATTTTCTTGAAAAGCATTTACTATTTTCGAAAAATTCTCGAACCAGGACGCGTGGAAAATCCAGAGCTCTAACAGCATATGGGCAAAAAATCTAAAATATCCTAAAAATTTCCGTTTTTGTGGGTAAATTATTGGCGATAAATGAAAACCCGTTAAATTTTATTTAAACAGTATCATAAGCCGTGTCATGAGAGAATTTCAGGTTTCGTCAATTTTACAGGGCGCGAGATATTTACAAAAATATCATTCGACAACGATATTATTTGTACAAATTTTAATATTTACCGATGTTTGCTGTAACTTTGAAGTTCGACGAGATGTGAAGGAGACTTTATACAATTAAATTACATCGATTTTGCGAAAGTTCCATAGTGGTCCGCAGGAGCACGATAGAAAAACAATGCGTCCCTTTACCACACGAAACCGTGAAGTTCTTTCCTTTTCTAATAAAAAGCTGCTTAGCGCTACGCGCTACGAACTTGCCCCGCCCGGTGACGATTTTTCGAAAGCAATCTTGTTATCTTTGTTAATGTTTGGCGGTGGGGGATGTTTTTAGGATCGGGCGAGGATACCCGTGAAGCGCAGACCGTCTACCAGAAAAGGTAGACAAGAGGCGATCAGGAATTCGGTGGCCGATTTTAGGTTGTACCACGGGGAGGTGACGGAAAATGACACGATTTTGAAAAACGAGAAAGATTCGCTGGAAGAATCACTAGAGGACTACAATAAGAAGGGCATATCTTTGGTTTTCGGCGAGGAAAGTAAGAAAAGTGCCGATACCATTTTAGAAAAAAAGGCCAGCGAAGGCAAGCTCAATTTATTTGGCGAAGAAGACAGCGATAGTGAAGATCTTTTCGGGGCCAAGGCGAGCGTGAAACCAGCGCTTTCCGAGGACAAGGGCTCCGTTTTTAGCGCCAAATCGGCGAACAGAGGCAAGGCTAAGGATTCCCTGTTTGAGGATAGCGATGGGAGCGACGATGACGACTTGTTTAGAACGACGAAAAGCAAAGGTAGGTTGTGGAAGGGGATCGCCGGGGTTGTAGTGTGGTCATTTTTTAGACGTGTTTAGCTCTACGCCGGTCGGAAAGAGGGCCGTTAAAACCGCGGCCGTGAGAAAACTGGAAAACAAGGAGGTCAAAGAGGATCCGCTGTCTTTGTTCCAGTGAAATTTTCGATTATGGATCGGATATTTTCCGTTGAAAGTTATGTTTATGAAATGTTTATAATATATTGTATATTTGCATGCGAGTTTTTTTCGAATGCCATATTGTTGACGCTATTAATAGGTTACAGACGCTGCAAAGCCATTAGTAAAGACTATCTTCTCCCAAGGTTTTCTTAAAGTCGATTATTTGAACATTTATAGACATAAAATTTATTAAAGAAGACCATCATTACAATGTAGTGGGTTGGATGGTAAAACCAAGTTGATATATTTTTTTATAACTATTTTTTTTCTGTTTAACTAGTACTAAAAAAAAAGATTAATATTCGGGGTCTTATTCCAGAATGTTATGTTTCTACACAAAAAATTAAATGCTTCTATTTTGTTACACGCTCTATCGGCCGTTTTACGTAAACTCTGTGACTATTACTTTCTGAGATATAGACGCTTACTTTAATTGACCCTTTGTGATTTTTGACAGATACGTTCCTTTATAAAAGAAGCTTTTAATTGCATGAAAATTATATATTTTTGTTAAATGAAAGTATATGTGAAAAAAATAAAAAACGGAGATACACTTGACATAAGAGTACATTATGAAACAACTGCGGTAAACGGCATTTGACTCAGGAGTTTATTTGACACGAGCGGAGCGAGTTGTTTAATAAACGAGTGACTTAAAAAGTTTACCGAACGTGTTGCATACTATACTTTTTCTACGACCGTTAGTTTTTGGGTACATTTCTGTAAAACAACACGAATGACTGACATGACAGGCGTGGGAAAACATCCGATTGCTCTCAAACTCGTGCGGTAAAATCCCGGTATTGTCCGAAGTCGCTCGGATCCGTGGTAAACTAAACTGAAGTGGTAAGGTGACGCTTCCCGCACGCTAGATCGCTGTATAATTAGGCATTTTAGAGACGGGAGTATAAATAGTATATTATGCAACAGGTGCGGTAAACGGCATTTGACTCAGGAGCGTTTAATAAACGAGTGACTTAAAAAGTTTACCGAACGTGTTACATAGTATACTTTTTCTACGACCGTTAGTGTTGGGTACATTTTCGCAAAACAAAACGAATAGATTCACTGACATGACCGTCAGAATTCATAAACGTCAAAATTCAAGGCGTGGGAAAGATCTCCGAAAACATCCGACTTCTCCCAAACCCGAGCGGTAAAATCCCGGAAATGTCCGAAGTGACCCGGATCCGTGCGAAAGAAACTGACGTGGTAAAGTGACGTTTCCCGCACGCTAGATCGTTGTGTAGGTATTTTACAGACGGGAGTAGAAAATCGTATATAATGCAACAAGTGAGGTAAACGGCATTTGACTCACAAGTTTATTTGACACGAGCGGAGCGAGCTAGATCGGTAGGTAATTATGTATTTTTTCTACTCCCGTCTGTAAAATACCTAATTACACACCGATCTAGCATGCGGGTAGTGTCATTTTACCAAGTCAGTTTCGTTTCCCATAAATCGGATGTTTTCGGAGATCTTTCCCACGCCTTGAATGTTGACGTTTGTCAATTCTGACGGTCATGTCAGTGAATGTATTCGTGTTGTTCTGCGAAAATGGACCCAAAAACTAACGGTAGTAGATAAAGTATAATATGCAACACGTTCGGTAAACTTTTTAACTCACTCGTTTATTAAACCACTCGCTCCGCTCGTGTCAAACTCCTGAGTCAAATGCCGTTTACCGCACTTGTTGCATAATATACTATTACAGACGGGAGTAGGAGAAAGATGACCTATAGAGTTCAATAAAAGTCATCAAAACACCGTTTGTCGCAACAAAGCAAGGCTAAATTTATGATCAGAAGGAGTTTCTAAATTAAAAAGTACTGCTTTTATCTTGAGACTCTGCGGTATTCCGTTGGTTTTTCTCCTAAACAACTTGAAACTCATCTTTTGGTACTTACCTTGGCAGCTTATAAGAAAATCACAACACAAAATCAAACCGCAAAATTTTGAAATATGATTACTTTGAAAGTGCTCAAAAAGTTTTGTTGCAAACCCTTCTATGAAATTTTATTTAGCATGTTTGAGTTTTTTTTCAAATAACATATTTATTTTTATAAATACATTGTGCTTTATTTTTTTAATCAAATATTATTCAGATATATGGTGTCTCCTATAATATTTCGATATCAAACTTTATCTTTTTTGAAGTTGCCTTTGTTTGGTTTAACTGTCTTTTGTGTAAGAATGTAATGTAAGAAATAACGGCAAAGTAGGTAATCAATATTCAAGAACCGCAAAAGGTATATAGAAGTGTTCTAGAGTATAATGTGTTTAATATAAGGTATATATTTACGCTGGTAAATTTTAAGTACGGATATGCTTTGTATGCTACAATAAACACGGACTTGTACTTGTACAAAGAAAAACAGGATTGTAGCGATTAACGTCTTAATGAATAACTTCGCAAGTTACTAAATATCGCTAACCGAAAAATGACAACCTCATTCCAACGTAAATTTAACTGTTGAGGTTTGCAACAAATCGTTGGAAAAATATGAAATTCGACGGAGGTGGCTAAATTAAAACCATAGATAATTAAATTATCGTGTAATTCTTAATACTTTAATAAAATATATTGACAATACAAAAGATATAATTAGAACCTCAACAATAACAACTTTCTCTCTCCCTTTCCGGGATCGAGATAAACTTTAAAGAAAAATACTTTCTCGGAAATATATTAACAGGTTTTTTTCTCCTCCCTATGTACAGGAACATTTGATGTTTCTGGACATAAATCAAAACAATATCAACTAGAAAACGTTTGCACCTTAAGACTAGATCATGTGCTCCCTTATTAACAAAACTTATAAATAGAATGCGGAGATCTGCTGTACGGTGAGTCCATTTCTCGTTCTTTTTGACGTTTTTCAGTTAGCCTTTGTACTTTGTGCACCCTGTATCGTAAACGGAATCTAGTGGAGCACCCAGATTTTTTTACAATTTTTAAGCTACGTTTTTTAAACAAGACTTGCATATTTTTAAAAATTTGATTTCACTTTTTATATGTTTGTAACATAATTTAATAACAACTTTTAATATTTTACAACAAACTTGTTTTTAATATATAATAGAATACAGTGGTTTCAAAAAATGCTCAAATTGTTTTCCATCAGCTGACAGTAAATCATTGACATTTTTTGATATTTAGGAGCACAACTGGTCCACAGTGTTGAGGCCAGAATTCAGTAAGTACAGTCAGTACTGCAAATTTTTTGCAGTGTCTAAAACACAAGGACAATATTCTAAAAAATAAGCACTTGATTTACTTCCCTAAAATTCGACGTATTAAGAACAAGAATAATTTGTAAAATGTCTGGAAGCTGAAGGAAATCAGTTAATCAGATAATAATAATAATAATAATAATAATATGTTAAGTGGAATAAAATTACCATAGAAGTATATTTTCAAGAACGTCCAATATATAGGCTGTTCGATAACAAGATCAGCAAGGATTGTTTTGAAGAAGGCCTCTTTTGAATATCTACCACTAACCGAGATAACCCTCAATAAACGAAAAACGAACACACTGTACAACAGCAGAGCTCGGAATTAGTCAGTTGTAAAACGAATCTCCTCTTTTGAATACACTATTGAAAATTTGGCACAAACAGCTGCAAACAAAACCATCTCAAGTCGAATCGGTGACTAAACTTGAATCTTACCCCGTTATCCACCGTCTTCGTTGCTTTTGGCGATCTTCTCCAACTTGATCCTCCTCGTCTGCTTCTGGTGTTCCACTTGAAAGTCCCTTTCCGTCAAATCCAACCGGTTTATATTGTAAATCAGATTCTCCTCGACCAACACTTCTTCCGGAGGGTTTCTTAGTCTATCTAACGTTTCGCATAAGCCTACAACAGAGCACCGTCACGTAGAGGCGAATCTGAACGAAATCTCTGCCAAATATCCGGTAAATTCCAATAAAAATCATTTTCAAAGTATTTTATTCAAAAATTTTCCACTTTTTACTTCACTTAATTTGTAGTGGACCGAGAAGGCCTTTTCTTAGCAGTAACAAAAAATTATGCAACTACGGTCAACAATGACTGCAATCTGTTACTTATAACACAATAAATTAGGACAAATAACCACCCCCCCCTTCCCAATATCCTAAATATTTTCAATTTTTGAGTACCTGTTATTCTTTCAGACATAAAAAATGCGCCTGTCGTTTGTACCACTAAATTCACTATGTAGACAGAGCATTTGCCAACGATATTCATTACACAACTATATTTTAGCGACAATGCGCATCGGACCAGGATTTATATGCGACTTATTACCCATTCCGTAGATGATACAACAACATCGGTAAGTACTGATAGTGTTTCCCACTAACTGTCTAGCCGCTTGAAGAATGGTTAAAGTGCTTTTGAATAACATAAGTTTGTAAACACAAAATGCAATCAACGTGAAGTTAGTATGGCACAGGCCACACAAGCCGCTTCGCACCTAATGAGCTGGCAAAATGGCAAATTGCTCAAGGCAGAAGTCGAGAAACTTAGAAGAAGAACTACTGCTACTACCACAAGATGAAATAAAGACATTTCGAAAAAGTGTCAAACAAGTGGCAAAAATCAAAACCGACTTCAAAAAAAATCTGTGACTATATTAAAAGAAAAACTCTGAACATAACTCAGAATACAATGTTTTTATGGCAATAATGTTTAAGAAGCTCCTTGTACTGGGCCTAATAAACCTGAGCATTGATGTGGACTAAAAAGTTTAAGTTGGATTTAAGTAGCACGCCCAAATCGCTCATCTGATCCATGCCTTCCCCGAGTGCTAGACAGTCATTTTGAAAGGTTATTCTTGAGAGCAGTTTCACATCGTCAGCAAAAAGAAGGCAAAAACTATGCTTTAGACAACATGTAATGTCATTGATAAAGAATAGTAGGGGTCCCAAGTGAGAACCCTGGGAGACGCCAATGAGACTAAGATTTGAGAAGACTTAAAGTGGTTCAAATGCATCACTTTCCAGTGATGTAACTTTCTATCCAGCGCAATAAAGTACCGGAAACACCCAAGATCTCGAGTTTCTTAATCAACAACCCATGGAGTATCCTGTCAAATGCCTTGGAGAAGTCTACTTATGAATGATGTCAGATGCTAAGCCCGAACTCAAAAATTTTGTGATTAATTTTTTGAATACTTTCGGAATGGCATTGAGTAACTAATAGGGCGGTAATTAGCGGCATTGGCTAAATCACCAGAATTGATACTACAAAACTTGATTTCCAGAAGTCGGGAAATATGCCGTCCTGAAATGACTCGTTAAAGATGATAGGCAGAGGTCTAGATAAAATAAAGGATTCTGAGATGTAGAGGGTGAACTTTATCTGGTCCTGGCCTGTTACCAGGGTTAATATTACTCAACCCTAAATGAAATTACAAAAGTTGTGCCGACCCAATGAGGGCTGATATGCCACATCAAGGGAATTGTTGACATAGACTGAGTCGAGAAGTACTCCGCAAAGAGTTCTGCAGCTTGAGGGATCATGAAATTTTTAAAATGAATAAATTAATATGGAGTGGATATTTTGGATGTAAATTAATACAGGGCGAGCCAAAATGAAGTATAAATATTTAATTACGAAAAACGTAAGAAGTCAATTTTTTTCAATGGACACCCCATATTTTGATAATTTTCTTCGATTTGGCATAAAACGTTAAGGTGACTTTGTATAAGGTTGACTATTCCGATAATTTATAGTTTCTGAAATAATTGACAATTTAACATTTTCCTATTGGAATAATGCTATAAAGTAGCTGTTATGTTTTATTATTAATTAGTCATGATACTCAGGCTCTAAAAATAGAATTCCGAATGAAATTCAAATTTTGTAAATCAAAATGGAGCTGTAGGGAACTCAGAAAATTAAAGAACAATTTGGATCGCTGAAGACAGGTACCATGTGGAACACTAACGTGTTTCGAAATTTTGTTTATTTATTTTTAAATTGGTAATATAATTATAATTATCGCTACACATGATATATGTTTAAACACCATGCTTGCTCAAATCACGTTCAATTCTTCCCAAATTGTTTTATCAGAAATCCTTTTTGCGTTTATTTTCTTTTATATTCTCTTATGGTTAAAGCGATATTTTTGTTTTTAATATTTTTATATTACAAATAAGAGAACTCGTGTGAAACTGAAATGTGAATAGATGGTATTTTGTTATAGCATTATTACAATAATAAAATGTTAAATTATCAATTATTTCGGAAGCTTTGAACTTATGGAATAAATAACCTTACACAAAATTAACTTAATTTTTTTGGAAATGTCTGAAAATATTCTGAATAAACAAGTAACTATTGCAGGTTGGAATTTTTTATTTTTGGCCTGGATTTCCTCGAAATGCGAAGGGGCGAGACTCACCGGGACAGTTCTTCCTACTTTTGGCGGTACCGAGACAACCGATCAATATAATCAGTGCAGTTTTGAACAAAACCTTGACCCCTTCGCACAAAAACACGTCCCAGACCCTTAGCAAAGTGTCCCAAGGCAAGGTTCTTGTAAAGGCGCACAGGAACCACTCCGTACAATAGAACAAAGGTTCGGCGTTCACTTTTTTCAAGTGCCTATACACGGGCGGACAGACTTTCTTCAATAGGCCTGCAACGATCATCACATTTGGGCAAAGTTCCGAGTAAGCTGTAGATAAAAATAACCTTGCAAAATGAACCCGTCTCTCCTGACAACTTCCATGTCGGGGGAGTAATAGTCTTGCAAATACTTATTGGAAATGGACACCAAACACCAAAAAGCTTGTTCGGCGGGCATGTGCATTAGTAGAAACGCTGCGACGGGCGCTTGCGCTTGACAATACCCTATTTCGGGATTTAGAACAGTGTACGCCTTCAATACATTGAAGAGCTCGTGTTGTCTACAAAATGAATCCAAAGAAACGTGTAATCTGTAGAGTTCGCACCTCTTACCCGGGTTTGTCCTCAGAATTGAACATCTCATGAGTTGGAAACTGCCTGTGGATATCTTTCTTTATGTCTTCCAAGCACTTGGAATCGCCCGTTGCCCTGAGACATTCGTCATACTTGCCCTGTTCCTGGTCTAGGTATAATTTTCCGCCGCATAGGTACAACCACGCCCTGGGGCGTATCGACATTGGTATTCCTAAAAAAAATGTTTATTACATGAACAATAAAACTATTACAACAAATTATCACATGCAAAGGTGAAGGGGACAGGTATTTGAATAATTATATTAACAATTAATAATATTAAAATAAGATATCGCCTAACCAGCAGATATATATTTTATTAAATAAGCCTCTTTTACACGAGCCAAACACATAGAATCCTATTTTTGACTTATTCCTCACTTTCTTTTTATCAATATTTATACTACTTGCTACATGCTAGGTAAAACCTTTTCTTAAAATTTGACACCCATTTTTATTGAAGAAATTAAGCCCTTGGTAACCCAGAGCTTACTTTTTTTCTTTGTATTACAAAATTTGTCCTTGTCTAATTTACAGTATTTCGAACTAGTTTTCATTATTCAGTCTCTACATTCTTTAGGATCCCATAAAACATTTAAACCTTTGAAGGTAAATTTGAAATTACCTTTACGGCATCTTTCTTTGACTTTCCTGTAGTTCCTGTCCATGTAAAAGTTCCAAGTGCTGAGCATTTTTAGCCATTTTCTCTCTCTCCTGAGGACTGTCTCGGGAGGAGGACCTTGCCTTGGTTCCGGGGAATATTGCGCTCCCCCCAAGAACCCGTGTCTATCGGGCACGGTCGATATAACCGAACCGTCGATCAGCGTTGAAGCCTCCGAACATTCGGATATCGTGTCCGCATTAATAGAAGATGCCATTGCGTTGTTTAAAACTGAACTCCCACACGGATCGCTTCGAAACACATGTCCGCGGGAGTCTACGTCGGCCTCATTTTTTACCAACGTCTGGATTAAATTTTTGGCGAAACCGCGGTCCGCACTACGTGAACGGATAATTAAATCATTAATAATTGAATTTAATGAGTTCGCGACGGGGGATGGGCCAATGTTTGCGAAAAATGACACATAAATAACGTCAAGTTAGCAGCGAATCTTCTTCCTTTCGGGTATCACATAGTGCAATTCTTCTACTTTTTATTATTATTTCTTATGACCTATTTTACGAGGATTATCCGGCCAATGGCAGTTAAATTTCGCCTGTCTAGATCGCGGTTCGTTTGAAAAATCAAACGCAAGGATGGAAAAATAAACAGGTATAAATATCCAACACAGCCTTTATTAAAATTAAAAGACACGAGACAAATAAGTAAGCCAAGGGTCTTCTTTTTGTTGTGTTGGGTAATAGTTTAAGTAATTCTTTTACGTCTTATTAACATTTCTAATAGCAGAGTTTACCAGAATCAGTGGAACCACGGCAGTAAAATTTCGCGCTTTTGGATAGGTCTGGACATGAAAAAATGTTCATGTATGAATATATATGACACAGTCTTTATTACGTAAACTTACCAATTTTTTATATAAACCCCACAAAATGGCACCGACTACATAAACGTGCAACGAAAAATATATTTTCCAATAAAAGTAACATATTATTTATAAAATGCTTAAAACTAATGTAGGAATGCTTAATACGCTATGTCAGGGAGAAAATCTGCTTCAAGGTATAGTACGTATCACAAAATGACATTAACCAAAACGACAAAAATAGTCGCGACAAAATAACAAATCTTACTATTTTTGTTTGCTTTTAGTGCAACAAGTCTTTCCCTTAATTAATAGCACTGGTCTTACAAATATTATTCAATTGCCCTAACTAGCGCCCACCTTGAGCACCTCGAAACAAACCTTACATACTCTCACCGGTTTGTTCTCGCCGAATTTAATTATGGGCACCTCGGAGTCGCTGCATTTACTGCATAGAGCCCTGCCACAGTGCCGACAATGATGGGTACGCACGGTTATCGAGAAATCTGCAAAAAAGGACAATGGGTCAAATTACCATCTAAAATTAAAGAAGAAGAGTCCAAGCCGCCTTACTCTTGCCGCACTCTTGGCAACAGTCCGTGGTCGTCCACGTCGCCGGCTGCGAAAGCTGATCGAGTAGGCGTGTGAGCAGCTGCTTGCTAGGCACTTGATAATTGAAAATGGTGATTCGATCGCAGTTTTCCGTGGCCAGGCACGTGTTCGCCTTCACCAGTACCCTGAAACGCTCAGCGAAAATGCAAAAAGGTTTTTTACGAACCGACGAGGGAGAAATACCTGCACAAGTTACCGTTTCCCTTCATGTACGCTAAAAGCAGCGGCGAGTTGCCGTTAACGTCTTGCTCGTTGATCGGATAGTTTGGCATACATTCGAGGAAAAGCTCGCATATCGCGGCCGCGTTGTCCTTACCGTATTTGCAGAGCTCGTGGAGCGGATTGCGACCCTTAAAATTGACCGCCTCCGCGTTTATGTTCGACTCCGTCAGCAGGGCCCTTACTACGCTCAAGTGGCCCTCCCTGCGGTAGAGAAAATGGTAGGTGAATCGCTCACGCGCGTTGAAAATCAAATTGAGTTGAAAAAATTATATCGGGCAAAAGCTCATGGTTAACTTGGACAGTTTCACTTTCCGGGGTGAAGATTGCGGCTCCAAAGGAGTTTTTGATTTGAAATTGGCCTAAATTTACCTGTAGGTGTTTTACAATACGCAAAACCCGATGTTAGACCAGTTCCAATGTCTTTTGTTAAAATTTGGGAAACAGTTTAAAAAGGGGCATTTTGATGATATTTTTTACATTAGCGTGGGGGTGTTGCCAGTAGTAATTAAGTTTGGAAAATGGCGAATATTTTGGGTTATGAATTAACAACAAATAAAAATTTGTCTTATTCCATCGTACTTGAAATGTCACCTTTCAATATGTTTATGTGACTAGTATATATCTTGTTTATTCTGAAAAACCTGTAATGCATCTACAACGTTTAATTTCGTCATACGAAAGAAGGCGTTTCCATGGTCTTTACAAAATTTGAGTCAGTGGTTTGAAGGTAAATTTTTATGCCAGATATATAGTTTCCGAGTCTAAAAGTGTGACATCAAATTCTGGAACATGTTGGGGTTTATCAAACGCATTTTCCATTGCTATAAGCAACTTTGTTATTTAAATAACGAAAGAAACCCAGACCTAATCCAACCTTTTTACGTGTCAACAAAGAAGTTCGAAAACTAAAAATGTTGAATTCGAATTAAGGGTTAATTTTCATAAGAGCTGCAAAAAAATAGAAAGTTTTACATGTTATAACGTGATCCAATGTTGACTTCCTATATTTTAATTGTCTAGAAATTTGTCGATTTTATTAGATTCTGCAATTATATTGAACACATACGTATTTAGACTATTATTTGAAAATGAGAGACAACTTGGCAACAATGGGCTCGAGTCAAACATTTAACGCCTTCTTAAAAAGTCCCGAATATGTCAGGTTACAATATGTACACTTCATCATTTATTCTCAAATTTTTAAGGATAACTGAAAGTGTATCATGCAAGTTGGCTAATCGCTTTAGAAGCGCTTCAAAGCTTTCACCGTTGTTTTTTTAGCTGTCGATTAAAAATTTTAAATATGACAAAAGTTTGACAAATAAAAGATTTTATTATTAATAACTATCCTGAATAATAAATGAGGGTTTTATTCCTTAAGTTAGGATTGCTAGACGTAGTTAATCTTTGTACTTTGTACTTTGTGAAAAAATTCTAATGTTAAGCAATGGTCTTCAATGATTCGGAGAGAAAGACAGCAGGTCAAGTGGGCCTCTCAAAAAATGTCCAGATAGACCAATAGAAAGAAGTCCTCGATGGAGTGTAATTTGAAGAAAAGTTCACACTTTATTTTGAAAAAGGAACACCCACCCTAGAGAAGATTTTGATAGAGCTCGGCCAGAGCGTCAGTAATTCCGTCGATAACCACAAAACTTTTAAAACATGGATTTTGCCTGGGAAATTGTTTGCTGAACAAAATAAAAAAGAAGTATAAAGCAGTACTCAAGAGAGAAGAACAAAATCTTTTACCTTGGTGACGTGGATTAATCAAGTAGTATCAAAGAACGTGTCAAGCCAAAAATATTGCCATTGTTCGCTGAGCTTCTTACAGAAACATATTTTGAACATCTAAACAATGTGAAGTCTGCCTTTTTTTTACTTGGGTGGATTTGAAAATATCGAATGAATAGGAAGGGCAAACTGATAGGAAACGAGAACATTCCACACATTTTAGATGATTGCGCAGATAAGTAATTGTAATTAGCTATCATAATTTTGCACCTACTAAGAGCCACAAATAAAAGTCTGCGGTAGGATTATGAACTGAGGAAGAAGCTTTCGGAATTATTACGGTTAATAATCATCTTATTATAATTAAAAGATTTATTCAAATATTATATAGGATAAATTAAAACTTAACGCTAAGAGAACATTAGGATCTTTCTTAGAAAACCATGTATTAATTTATATGATAATATTTCGACCAGGCATGATGGAAGAGTTTATTTTATTTTAAATGAGGTAAAATTTGGCATTTTTAAGTGGCTTCTTTCGAAATAGCTTTAGAGAACGGTTGGGGAACATTCTCTTGGTTTTCCTATTTTATCACGGTCAAGAATAAGGAACAGTTTTCAAAAATGGAACCCCTGATTACCTGACTGCTATGTGGAGGGCGTTGTCTTTGGCGGCGTCGACCGCGTCGCAGTCCGCGTGGTTCTGCAATAACGCGGACACGGCGGCGGCGTTGCCCGCCTCAGACGCGCAATGGAGGGCGGTCCTCTTCTGCGCATCTGTATCGTCGACTCTCGCGCCCGCCAGGATCAGACTCCTCACCAACGTCTCGTTGCCGAAACGAGCGGCCAGGTGTATAGGGGGCGTACGCATCGAATCCTGCACCCTCGAATTGACGTCTACGTGAACGGTGAGGAGGAAGAGGGTACTCTCGATGTCGCCCTTTTTGATCGCCACGTGCAAAAAGTTCTGACCCTTCGCGTCGAACTGTTCGGCCGCGCTGGGGAAGCGGTCGAGGATCGCCTGGGCCGCCCTGTTGTTCCTAACCGAACCCGAACGATAAATCGCGACGTGTATGACGCGTTAATGTGGACCGCACACTCCGTTTCTTATTGCGAGAGGGTTATCAATTATTTTTTGAACTGTAAAATTTAGGTCTTGGCCGTATTCCACGAAGACATGGATCCTGAGTGCGCCAGGTAGACAGACTGGTTGTTAAACTTACCATAGTGTTTAAAATTAGAATTATAATTATAATACGACCAAAAATATAGTGCATTTATTGCTTTGACGTTTTAAGTATCTTACAATACCTTAACCGTAGACCTTCGCAGGACCCTTTTACAACAGATGTTTATTCTGCATTAAGTAGGTCTTGCCTGAGATAGACCGTAACGAATATTTGTAGAACCTTGAAATTTTTATTTGAAACGTAAATGGACTGTTTTAAATTTGATTAAGCATTGATGCTGCGGGGTATTTTCGAATAAGTAGAAGCTATTATTTTAACATCAGGTGATACGTATCGTTTTTAAGAGCTTAATCTAAATTGTAATATGTGTCGTATATATTACGTAGGTAATTATATATCAACTCTCTTGCTTAAAAGAAATTAATAATTTCGACATTAACGATATTCCAATAGCAATGAAACCGAACACATATCAAAAGTTCTAAAGAAATATAACGTCAAAACCAGATTCACCACTTGTCCAAAAATCTCTCGACATCCGTCAAAGACAAAATTGCATTTGGAGTCTACAGGATTCCATGCATATGCAGAGACGAGACGAAAAATATCAACTAGGCTCAAAGTACATGAAAGAGCATTAAGACAAAGACAAATAAACTCATCAGGAGTTGCCGAACACAAAACCGGACAAAATTCTTGCATGTAATCAATTCATCTACCAACAAAAAATCCGAGAGTCTATAGAAATCTATAAACGATCTAACAGCCTTAACCGCGATTCAGGTCTCTACCTGTCACCAATATGGAAATCAGTCATCTGAGGCTGTGTTTATGCCCCTCAATTTTTGTCTTGTGTGTCTGTCGATTAACAACATTCTTCTTCTGTATTTTTGTGTCTTCTACATAGTTATTGAATTTGTAAACAACAACAGTATTTTTTAAGACTATAGATATAGCAGACATGGAAAACAACGCAGAGTTTGAAGACGAAGCGGAGATGGTAGTCGAACCAAATTGTTTGGAATGTCTACAATTTTATAAAAAAATCGGAAGGGGAAATAGGAGCAGCAATAAAAACAAGTGACATGACCAAAGTTCCGAATGCAATGATCAAGAGGAAAGTGAAAGAAGATGCTGGTTTTTAAAGAGCAACACGCAGATCTAATTAGGCGTATAATCTACCACGCTTATAAAGTGTTTTAACCCTATAAGGACTGCATAAAAAAGTACTGACAGACTTAAACGTTAGTTGTGCCAAAGAGTCGTGTACTTTTTTGAATAAAATGGATTTTCAGTTCCATACAATTAATAAACGTCAAGTTCTAATGGAATATCAAAGAATTTCGCAATGGAGGGTCTATTATTTAAATGCAATTGAAAAATTTCGAGAGCAAAATAGGTCAACATCGTATTTAGACGAAACGTGGTACGATACTCACGGCACAGTAAAAAAAGGATGGTGTGATAACAGTAACAAGTGTGTTCTAGACACATGGAAGGCAATAAAATTCTTCATGCTGGGTCCAAAAATGGTTGCGTGGAAGATGGCTTATTTTTGTATAGCAAAAACGTCAAACATTCAAGTGTCAACATGACCGCAGAAATATTTGAGTTCTGGTTTGAAAATAAACTGTTGCCAAAACTATCGCCAAATACTGTTATTGTATTGGATCATTCAGCCCAAATTAGAAAAGTTCCAAATACTTCTTCAAATAAAGAATAAATTAAAGAATTTCTATACGAAAATGATTTATATTTTGAAGAGAGCTACAACTTCTGGAATTGTTAAAAATAAAACATTTTAATAAAGATTACAAAATCGATTCTTTAGCATATCAAAACGGACATGAAATTTTAAGATAACCCCCGTATATTTAACCCGATTGAGATGATTTGGTCAAAGTTGAAAGCGCATATAAGAAGAAATAACACTGCACCAAAATTTAGTGACAGTACCATAAACGTAATTTGGCAAGAGGTAGCTAAAATATCAGTACAAAGCTGGTTTAACTGTGAAAAACGAGTAATAAAAGAGGAAAATATTTATCGAGAACGATTAGTGGCGGAGTTGATCATTGAACTAGGACTTATACTTTATTATTATTATTATTATATTTAATATTTTGTATATTAATTATGATACTATGTAGAAATGTATCGAAGTAGAACGTAATAAATTGTTACTTTGTACCAATTATTGTATGTACATGTTTCAAGAATTCCGAAAAAGGGGCTGCGGTTTTGGAGTAATAAACAGTAGACAAAGTTAATCACGGAGTCTGTTGTGAAAGCACTATATATTTCTGGTCTAAGTATACTTTCCTGTAGTTGGTGGCAAAATGCGCTCTTGAGAATGGCAAATGTTAGATCTTAATCCTCTTGGGTTTGTCGGTAGTGGCTTAGTATTTTAATCAAAACGAACTGAATATTATCATTAATCATTAATGCTGGTGATGTTTTGAATCATTCCTCCAAACTGTTGTTGGAATATTCGTCTTCAATAAAATAATAGAACGAAAGCCGAAAAAACTTTGTCACTTCCCTCTAGAGGCAACTAAGCATCCTCCTAAACAGACCACTCAACAATTGCATTCTGTGTTACCACACCTCTCCTTCTTTTCTGCCATTACGCCGTAACTTAACATAATCCGTTAATCGATCTTTGATTTAACTAACCTTTCTTAAGGCCGATATATGGACTGGCCTAAATTAAAATGTAGGAAATGGATGTGAAAAAGATATGTACAAAAAGGAGCTACTGGAGATTGTGATTTTGAATGAACGCCTTTGTACGAAATTTGTTGTCGACGAGAGGAAAAAAAAATGGTAATCCCTTTGCCAAAAGCTAACGAAACTCAAGAATTTAAAGATTTAAAACCAACTGGTGTCCTCCCATGCCATCCAAAGACTTGATACATTTCTGAAGTGAAAGAAAGATTAAAAGAGAGATTATTGTTATTAGCCCACTGCTGTATGCTATATCTACATTTATAACATCCAGAAGGTACATTGTAGTGCTAAATATTATGCAGATGACACACCGATATAATTGTTATTCACTAAAGATATTTTGTTCGTTCTTGTCAAGCAATATACGACGATTTGTAAAATCTTAAATCAATCTTATTAAAGCATTTCCTCATTTTGAACCCAAATAAATGTTGTTTAATGATATTTGGTTAAAAAAATGATGTTTCTAGTATAAAAAACAACAATGCTATCAAAATAGGGGATTGTCACTTATAAATTAAAGAAAATGTTAGGAAATTAAAAGTTATTAGTTAAAAGTTAGTGTTTATGTAATATTAAAGCTGTTGTACAACAGTTACGAGATTCTGACAATAACATTTTAAAAAATGTTATATGCTCTATATGTTCGGCCATGATGTTATCTACAATCCTACGGTACATGTTTAACGACACCACAAAAGAACAAAATATAGAAAGCTTAAAATTCTCGCCTTTGTCTCATATATGGATTCCAAAAATTTGGGAGGATATGGAGGATAGAAGAAAAACTCATTTAGTTTGTTTTTATCATCGAATATTGTTTTATACATAAAATAAATATTCGTTTTAGAGGGCTAATAACACCACCTCGCCAGAGATCTTCATTTTTTGGGAGTAGGTCTATCTACAGCAACTATTTTCCTGTCTATGTAAAAATACTTGCTCCAAAATAACTATTGAAATCACTAGCTCAGAGAAGTACTTACCTGTAATAAATTTATTTTACGTATGCTATGCCGAAAATATTTTATTTTATTTTTTATTTTTTTATTTCTACATTGTATACATACGTATATATATAACACTTCGAAGTGTTTTCGGAGCGCGAGCATTGAAGATGCCAAGTGAGATTTTGGCGAAACGTCTGCAGGATTCCAGTCGGATGCAGGATTCCAGTCGGAGTTCAACGAGCGAACGGATGATGATATCCCGGAATATAGTGTCACCACATTTTTCCATCCGTGAATCAATACGTGAGGATATATATATATATATATATATATATATATATATATATATATATATATATATATATATATATATATATATATATATATATATATACATACTCGGGGGCTCACAACTGGTGGGTACGGGCCTGGTGAACCCGAGGTACCCTAGCTGAGCCTCATTCTGTTTCAACTTGTCTTGTTTGGGGCTCTCTCTCCCTTTCATCTTTCCTATCGGCCCCCCTAGGCCAACTCTTGGTATTTTTCCGACCCCGACGCTATTAGGTTGCGAGGGCTAGGGGTCTCTCCTTTTCACCTATTTATATTTCTACCTCGTATATATATATATATATATATATATATATATATATATATATATATATATATATATATATATATATATATATATATATATATATATATATATATATATATATATATATATATATATATATATATATATATATATATATATATATATATAAACGAAACAAAGATAAATAAAACAAACAAAAAAAAAAATATATATATATATATATATATATATATATATATATATATATATATATATATATATATATATATATATATATATATATATATATATATATATATATATATATATATATATATATATATATATATATATATATATATATATATATATATATATATATATATATATATATATATATATATATATATATATATATATATATATATATATATATATATATATATATATATATATATATATATATATATATATATTGTTTGGGGTACTACAGTTTCCTATGTTAACGAAAACTATTATTTGTTATTCGCATAGTAGCAAAACATTATGTATTTTCTATTGCACGGATTTATGCATCTTACGATAAGAGTTTGTGTTAACTCCGAAGGACACTAGATTAGACTTAAGGAACTTCGGTAGTTCTCCTGCCGCCGAAGACAATACAAGAACAAAGCAGTAGAATACAAAACGAAACAAAGATAAATAAAACAAAAAATACGAGCGGCTAAGGAGAAGTGGAAGAATTTGAAAAAAAAAACATGATATGTTCAACATGTACAAGAAGGTTAGGGAAGTTGCTGGCTTATATAACAAAAAGGCTGCTAATTCTATAGTGGATAATACAGGAAAAACTTATTATTAAAATTAAAATTATTATTATGAACAAAAAATGCTTGAGATATGGAGTAAAAGGTAACCGGTTGAAGACGACAGGCCAAATATACAAGATAATGCAATTCAAGATGAAGGACCAGAAATCTTGAAATCGGAAGTTCTACATGCTATAAAAACAGCCAAACCCAAGAAAGCAAAGGAACCAGACAATATTCCAACAGAGCTCTTGTAGATGATCCACGAAGACCACATCAGTGCCTTAACTTAGTTTTTCAACAATGTATATGATACTGGTAAAATACCCGAGGAATGGTTGAAGTCTGTTTTTATAGCCCTTCCGAAAAAACAACAGGCGAAGAGATGCGATGAATACAGCTTAATTAGCCTCATGAGCCACACACTTAGAGCCTTCCTTCGCATAATACTTGTAAGAATAAGAAGCCGGTGCGAAAGAGATATAGACGAGACCCAATTTGGTTTTAGAAACGTACTTGGAACCCGCGAGGCACTTTTTGCCCTAAATGTGCTTCTACAAAAGTGTCGCGACCAACGTAAAGACATCTGTGTGCCTTTCATCGACTACGAAAAAGTATTTGATGGGGTTCAACACGATAAGCTTTTTAATATGTTAAGGACCTCAGGTATCGATGGTAAAGATCTACGTATCATAGAGAACTTGTACTGGAACCAAAAAAGCAGTGGTATGATTCGATGGAAGATTAACCCGCGAATGTTGCATTCAGCGAGGTGTCAGGCATTCTCTCCCCGCTATTATTCAACCTTTACTCAGGTGTGATTTTCAAAGAGGCTCTACAAGATAAAGACCATGGAGTGAAAATCAACGGCGAACTGATGAATACTATTCGGAATGCCGACGACACGGTCATCTTATGCGATAGTATCCAAGGCCAAGGCCTTCAAGAGCTGTTGGATTGCGTAAACACGACAGGACGGAACATGGGTCTAAAAATGAATGTCGCTAAAACAAAATTTATGGTATTCAGTCGCCAACCACATGCCGATGCATCCTTACATATAGACCAGCAAAACATTGAGAGAGATTACAGATATCTTGAATGTTATATCACAGACCAACTAGATCCAGATAAATAAATCAAATGCAGAATAGAAACAGCTCGCACAAGTTTAATGAAAATGGAACCATTCTTCTGCAATGATAACTTAAACCTCAAATTGCGCCAAAGAATGAGCAAATGCTATATTTGGTCTGTGTTGGACTCTCAAGGCCAATGCTATTAATCGCCTGGAAGCATTCGAGATGTAGTTGCATAGAAGAATGCCAGCAAGTGCCGTCCGTGAGTTATTTAACACAATCAAAATACGAAAAATATGGTACCTGGGGCATGTTCTTAGAGGGGAACGCTACAAAATCCTTCAACTCATAATGAAATGCAAAATCGAAGGTCGCAGAGGCGTTGGAAGGAAACAAATGTCATGGCTAAAGAACATCCGCGATTGGACCGGAATACTCAGATTAGCCGAAGACGGTGATCTACTCGCCAATGTAATTGCCAACGTTAGGGGGACCTGATATGGCACCGAAAGAAGAAGGAGCCGATTATTATGCGAATGATCTTTACCCCGTCCACCCGCCATGTTTGTCTTAAATAGTTGGCCAGCATTTCTCTGTTTTTTTTCTCGATCTTGTTTTGGCAGGTTGATTGCTGCTGGGATTGCAACGTCAACAATATCAATTGACTTTTCTGTCTTGTTATAGATTAGAATATTTGGTCAGTTGTGTTGGACGAAGTGGTCACTCTGTATTGTTCTGTTCCAAAAAATGTTGAAATTGTCACTAGCTCCGGCGTTTAGCAGTAATACGATCGTCTTTCACTCAGTCTTTCAGGTTGTAGGCTACTTCCTTATGAAGTTGATGCGTAGTATCTAAGATAAGAACGGGTAGACTTGATACTAGATAGCACACATGAAGAATTCTCTTTTATCGGGTTGGGATATCTACCGTGTAGCTCCTTCCTTATCTATTGCACCCTGAGTTCTAACTGAGCAATCATAGTCCAACCAGTAGTGTTCGTCCTGCAGTCAGAGTGGCGTAGTGATAAAAATATTTTCGCAGGAGCTCCACCATTTTTATTTTATTGTACAGTCGTCGGTTTACCAGACCAATGCCCCATATATATCGTGGTAAGTGGATTCTCCTCTTACTGGGTCTCGGGTGGTGGGCGCGGTATCTCGATAACTTGTCCTTATAATTCTATTCATCTGTCGAGTTCTGTAGACGCCCAATCGACGACTCCAAAGCTGTACGACGCAACATGAGTGGCATAGGGATTGACTGCTGTTGTTGTGTTTCGAGCTTACAGGTTGGTCTTGAATATCAGATTTTTTTCGGTAAGCTGTGCTTTGACGTTCTCAACGTCTATCTATTTTTCTATATATCTGAGTTGTTGTCGAAGGTCTTTTTCAAGGTCGAAAACAGTTTGACATCGTCCATGTACATTAGAAGGGGAAGCCTGAGCTAATTACTAATACGATATCCTTGCCGACGGCTGAAGATAATAATAATAATAATAATAATAATAATAATAATAATAATAATAATAATAATAATAATAATTATTATTATTATTATATAACTTTCAAGTTGTCTACCTTGTTTAACGATCTCTGTCATTGCAAATTTACATTTCATTACTCTCTCGCATTAAGAAATCTAGTATAAAGTTTTTTCTTTTTCAACAGTAGAAGTATTATTATTATTATAACATCTTTCCCGAGCTACAGCCAGTCGAGTGTCACATCAGAGCGATAAAGATTTTACGCTAAGAATATAATTCAAATATTATTGCACGCACCTGGAGGTGAGGGCGGCCGCGAACGGTGAAAACCCGTTCTTGTCCCTAAGACTCAGGTCAATCTCGGGTACGCTCAGCAGCAGCGAGATGATCTCCTCGTGCTGATTCTCCACGGCCACGTGCAATGGCGTCTTCGAGTCGGCGTCTCTGGCGTTGATATTCGCCCTGTGCTCTATGAGCGTCCTGCAACGGCGTACAATCGAATCTTGACCTAAGTAGTACCGATACCAAAGCTAATCTTTGGGATTGACTTCATAAAATTAACAATATTCGCCCCAAAATGAACCCGGAAGAGCTGCTAATGACAATAGGTGAAGTAATAAAGCCACCGAATCGGTTATTTGCTAAGTACACCGCCGACACGACTTTTAGATGCATTTTTCTTGAGGTTAAGCCGCAACCATTATAACGACAGTAATAATTTTCGAATTTTAAATGGCAGAACCTATATTTTTTTGCATTTTTTTATTCGGAGATCATTCTACGTAGGATAGAACGGTTTTGATCATTTTTTTTGTTTTTAATTTTTTATTTAGTTGTAAGTTGTAATTCTTTACTTGTCTAATTTGTTTTAGGATAACCTAGTTTTTTCAAATAGAACCCTAGTGGGAAGAAAAACATTTTAAAACCGGTACTTTTTTTGCAACATTTTGACACCAAAATTTTCAAAATCCGCATAAAGGAAAAAAACAAATAAGTAATAGTATATTATGCAATAAGTGCGGCAAACGGCATTTAACTCACGAGATTATTTGACACGAACAGACCGCAGCGGAGCGAGTATTTAATAAACGAGTGACTTAAAAAGCTTACCGAACGTGTCGTATACTATACTTTATCTACGACCGTTAGTTTTTGGGTACATTTTGACAAAACAACACGAATAAATTTACTGACATCACCGTCAGAATTAACAAACGTCAAAATTAAAGACGTGCGCTAATATTCCGAAAATGTCCGAAGTGGCTCGAATCCGTGGGACAAGAAACTGACGCTTCCCGCACGCTAGATCGGTGGGTAATTAGGTATTTTACAGACGAAAGTAGAAAAATGCTATTTGCCATTAGACAAGTAAAGGAAAGTTTCATTTACAATTTTTCCCATGATCAGGTGACCCGGTAAATAGTGTTTATAATGGTCACAGCCTCGTGGACGCAATTTTCAAAAAATAAATAAAAATTTAAAAACAAAAAAAAATTAATGAATCCAAAAATGCAAAAAAAAATAGGTTGTGCCATTTAAAATTCGTCGTGTTTCCGCTAAAACCGGATGTGCAACCATTGACTACATATTGTCAAAAAAATTTACATTCATATTAACCCTTCCAAATTTCAAATCGCTATCGCTATGTTCCTTCCCACTTTCTGGTGTCACCCGGTATACAGGGTGTTGTTTCTCTGACACCAGATAATCAAACCATTCAATCTGGACTCAACCCCAATACCGAATCTATATTTTTTAACTCGATAACACCCTGTATATGTATGTAAAGATTCTGACCTTGCCACCGTTTCCAATCCCCACTGGCAGCACAGGTGTAGTGGGGATTGGCCGTCGCGCGCTTCCTCGCCCCCCTCGCCGTTCGAGCCGGGCATCCTGGGTGAGTCCAGGTCGCATCCAGCCCGGATCAGGAAAATGGCGGCAGATTCCTTGTTCTCGTCGATAGCCCGGTGCAGCAGGGTCTGCACGCAGCCGTCCGGCCCGGGGCCCCAACAGTCGGTGTCGGCTCCGTGCCTGACCAGGATATTCGCCACGTCTTCTTGGCCTGTACGTGGGTATAGTGTGTCTCAAAGTATCTCGTTTTGGATTTTGACGATCCCAAAAAGTAATTACGACCGTCATACCTATCGTTATTGCGTAAACCCAACAGTCATAGACTATACTCTGTAACGTCGTCATTAAGATCTAAACTGTTAAAAAGAAGATAACATTGTGCAAGTCAATTATTTTCCCGCTAGTTACTTATACCCTCAATTAACGGCAAATAAATAAACTTCTTGTATTTGAAAGAAAGGTGCTTAAAATGAAATGTGGACCCCAAAAGGACAAAACAACAGTAGCATGAAGATACCGTGGGGCAGTGAAAGTATAGTGGCACGTCATGTGATAAGATCAGAAGACCACAGATTGATAGTACTTTTTGAGAGGCCGGATGGCAGAAGATCAATAGGCCGACCGAGAAAAAAGATGGAAGAATGCCTTCGCAGTCGACTTATCTACGAAGAATGTTAAGGAGTCTAGCTTGGACTAATGTGAAGATACAGAGCTTTTTTAAAACTGGTTTCAAAATTATCTAGTTTTTCAGACATTTTTTATTTTTTGAATTTCTTAGAAAAAAAATTCATAACGAAAATCTAAACTTACAATTAAAGAAACTCCAGATTGACCTCCATTATTTTTAACGCAGCATTGGCATAATTTTCTGCGTAACTTCGTAGAGCTTCCTTTGTATGATACTGAACTTTGTAAATTTATATAACCTTCTTCAGACCAGATAATTTTGCTATAAATCCCTATCTCTGTTATTTTATTAATACCAGTGGCAACATTTTAGTCTTCATTGTTGGTACCAGGGATGCAAATTATGACCTCACTTAAAGTTCTAACATTTAAACTTGTAGATTTTGGCTAGCACCAGCACTATCCTTGATTTTGCTACAAGAATTTATCGGAGCTGTTCTAACAGTCGCCATAACATTAATTTCACTAATTTCCCCAGACGATTTATTATAAGTTTTTTGCCGAACTTAAGTTGGCTTTAAGCCTACCAACTATTCTTTTTTGGGTTGTCTTCGTTCTGGATACCCACATAATACATTTGCAAAAGTTATGTAAAAGTAAAACGTACTTTATTATCCATTATACTTGTGCAAATACAGTTCATATGCTTTATGCGTCTTTTCGCGACACAGCACAAGTTTTTGTTAACAGCCATAATATTTGAAACAATTTACTTAACAAATTAAATGCTTTACTAAAATTGCCACAGCAAAATTCAGTACTTTTTGTAACATTGTTAATTCGACGAGCGAAATTCTTCAAAATAATAAATCAGAACAAAATTTGCACTTTAACAACTAAAAAATTTAAAACAAATGCAATGTGATATTCGAAAAGCGGATGCAAAACAATGACGTAAAATTATACAGTGTGTCCAATTTAAAATTTCAAAATTAAACTTTGTCATAATTTAAAAAAAACTGATAGAACTAGCCACTCCATTGGGTTGTACGTAAACAGGAGAATTGCCTAGAGACTGGCTGGTTTCCACATTTATTCCTCTTCATAAGAAAGCAAATGCTACTAGGTGCTCTGATTACCGAATTATAAGTCTGATGAGTCATGTATTGAAAATCCTACTTAACGTCGTCCACTCTCCTATATACAGAAAGCTCGAAGAGCAAGGTTCAGTTCGGATTTGGAAGTGGAATGGGAACGCGAGAGGCCCTGTTTTCTATTCAGGTCCTGATACAGAGGGCTGTGCGTACAAAACCTCCCAAGAATTTACAGTTAACCAGCGAGTACGCCAGGGACGCATATTCAATACTTACTCCGAAATAGTGTTTAGCCAAGTGCTTAGTGATACAGAAGAAGGAATTATGATCAATGGAGAGATTATCAATAATTTAAGGTATGGTCTGTTCATAGATATAAGAAAGTGACCAATTGCTTTTGAATGGGATTATCCAAGGGCGGTCATTAACATACAATGCAACAAGATTATTACCTAAAGTTTCGGAATTTAAATTGAGGTAAAATTGTGGTCCGTAATAGAAAATTATTTTATACTTACCCGTGCTTAATACATATGTGCGAGTCTAGTGTATCTCAGGAGATGCTCCGGCCCAAATGTAGAAAACACTATTCTATTAAGAATAAGGAAGTTATAAACAATGTTCATTTGACTCTTATTGAATGTGGTACCAGCAAACAAGCATCTTTAGAAGAAACGGCCACATTGACGAAAATTCCAACACCAACTGTATGGAAAATTGTGAATAATCCCATTTCAGGAGGAAAAAAAGAAGCGATGCTGACATTTTCGCGAGTGTAGATGCAAGTGATCAAGATATAATACGGCGATACCAGTTACCAGTTATACGAGGAACAAAGCATGCCTACATTAGATATCTTAATTAGCAGGCTTGAAAAACATGAAACCGGTGTTAAATGTGGCAGAACTACCTTATGGAAGTGTATTCAAGACGTGGGTTTTAGATTTTAAAAAATTGACAAAAGGCAAGTTTGAATGGAATCTTTTAAAATTCGGAAATGGCGACTGAAATTTCTAGAAAAAATTTGGATTTACAGAGAACAACAAAGGCCAATTATTTACTTGGATGAAACCTGGTGCGACACTTATGATACCCCGGAAAATGGTTGGGTTGACTCAACTGATAAGTGTAGGTTACCCGGGTCTTTCCTTAATTCGTTAGTTAGTTTTTTATATCTATGAACACACTTTATGCGGACGATACAGTTGTTATAGCAGATAGTGCTGAGGGATTGCACAGGTTCATAGACCGTGTAGTGGAGGTATGGCATGAGTCTCAACTGAGGGAGACCAAAATTCTTGTAGTTAGTAAAAACAATGAGAAACTGTACCACCAGTTTAGGGCCAATAATGAAATCTTGGAAACAACAGATAAATTAACATACTTGTGCTTCAGCCTGAACAAGGAATGGGATCATGCGCGATAGATCAAATGTAGTACAGAAAAAGTCAAAACCGTTTTTAACTGCCTCAGAACAGTCCTCAATATTACTATGAGAACACGAGTACTAAGATATTATGTATTCTCCACGCTCCTATACGTAGTGGAAGCCTGGACGTTGACAGGTGCTATATCAGAGTACTTGAAGTCCTTTGAAATGTGGTGCTATCGCCGCATATTCAGGATATCATACTCCTACCATGTCACAAACAATACCGTGATCCAGCGAATGCAAAAGCAACTTGAAGTCACACATCGTGGCTGAAAAAATGAGTGAGTGGACGGGAATGACGACTGTATATTTATTCAGGGCGGCTGTCAACAATATTGTATGGACCAACGTGAGTGCCAACATCCATAGAGGATAGACATAGAAGAAGAAGAAGACCCTGTAGCTCAGAAACGCAATGTGATAAAAAAAAATCACACAGTTTCACAGAAGAATGTATAACTTTGTGTAAATATTGGTGTTTCGTCGGTAGTATTTATTTTATGACAAATTTCGTATTGCATGTATTTATTTTCTATTAGTAATAATGCGACATTATATAAAGACTTTATTATTATTTGATTTTTATTTCGAATCTCACCGGAATCCAGGGCGGACCACAGAGCGCAGCTGCCCAATCTATCTGGGGCCGACATGTCCACCCCCTTGGTGCAAAGCGCGTCGACAACTTCCGGTAACCTGAAAAGCTAACCTCAGAAATCGGTCCGAGTGGATCGGAAAAGACATTTCGACTCGCCTACAATGAATAGCCAACTGCAGGGGCGTCTCGTAGTCAGCAGTCTTGGCGTTGATGTCCACGCCGTGTTCCAAAAGGAACACGGCCGTCTCGGCGTCCTCCTTGATGATAGCTTGATGCAGCAGACTGAAATCTTTGCCGTTACGCACGTTGACGTCGGCCTTGCCTTCGATAAGCAATGGAACGAGGTTTTTGTTGCCCGAGTTCAATGCCAGGCATATAGGTGTGTCCCCGTTAATGTCCCTCAGGTTGAAATTGACTGCCAACCTAGTGGATGGAGACTTTCAAGAGTGAAACTAACCTTTTTCGCTGCTTAAGGATATTTATAAGGGGTTTACAAGAATCTTTGGCTGTTTTAAAACCTTTTCTATTGTTGGTTAGTTAGTTTATAGTTTTATAAGAAAACTATTTGGTAAAACACGCTGTGCATGAAGTCCAATAAATAAAAAATTACTTTAGTTTGGTTAATATCATATCCAAAACGTTTTTGTTACTTTATGGTTGGGTCAGTTTTTTTAAAGATTTTATGACATTAGATGGGATTTTCGTAGGTCATCAATTGTGCTATGACCAGGTGTCGTTTTCTGACTTAACGATGATGATGACGTCGATGACAATGATGATGAAGATGATGATAACGACGATGAAGATGATGACGATGACGATGATTTCGACACCAATGATGACGAGGACGATGATGATTATCATGATGACAATGACAATGGTGAAGATGAAGACGAAGATAACGATGATGATTATGATTATCTCCAAGACGATAATGACAAAACTAACTACGAGAATATAATGATGAAGACGGCGAAGAAGATGATGACTACGATGACGATAATGACGACGACAACGTTTACGATGGTGATAATGGCCATAACGATGAGGATATAATGATGACGAAGGCGAAGACGATGATGATTATGAAAATGATGACGATGATGACGATTATAACGACGGTAACGATGGTGAAGGCGATGGCCCATGATAAAGATCACGATGACGATGTTGACAACGAAGATTATGAAGATAACGATTATCAATAGGACGATGGTGACAATTATGACAAATACGACGATAGTAAAGACAAAGGCAATGATAAAAATCACGATGACGATGTTGGCAATGTGGCGATGACGACGATAACGATGATGACGATTGGAAAGATGACGAATTTGATAATGATGACGATGTTGACAATCACGATGATAGCGATGGTGACTATGATGACGACGATAATGACGATCACGATAACGGTGATAGCGACGATAAGGAAGATGATGATGACGATTATTATTATTATTATTATTATCATCGTACCATACTATTCCAGACTGACGACCTCAGCAAGGAATAAGCTCGCACCGACTTGTACAATTTTCTTGCTCAACAAATCAGAGACTTATCACAGTCTAAATTCTCCAGAGAAATTAGACTGTTTCTTCTGGAGCATGCTTTTTACTCAATTACGGAATACACCCTTTCGGCCAAACACAAATTTTAAATCGACATATGTTTTACCTATCGATATTTACGATTTCTGTTAAATTTTAGATGCCATCGTTTTTACACTTTATGATTTATGTATTGTACTTTTGTAGTGTATGTCTATTGTATATTTTGTCACATTGCTTTCACGCATGGAATTTTTCTATTGTTTATACGATTTATTTATCCACAACCACAACTTGTCAGCGTTAATCTTTCTTTTTTCTTTTGTACTACTGACGCGCCATTTGTTGTAAACACTACCTATCTATCTATCTATCTATTTTTATTATTATTATTTTCTCTGTAAGGAAATTGGAGGGGGTGTATTGGGACAGTTTCTTAAATAAATGATAGTATCTCCAAAAGGCTTAATGAATTCAAATTAACTTGTAGTCTTTAAAACGGGATTTTCGTAGGCCATCAATTGTGCTATCAGCAGGTGTCGTTTTCTGACTTAACGATGATAACGTCGATGACAATGATGATTATGATGATGAAGATGATGATAAGGACGAATACGATGATGATGACGTAGAGTTCGACACCGATGGTGACGATGGCGATGATGATTATAATGATGAAAATGGCGACGGTGAAGATGAAGACGAAGATAACGATGATGATTATGATTATCTCCAAGACGATGATGACGATAATGACAACGACAACGTTCACGATGGTGATAATGGAGATAACGATGACGACGGCGAAGACGATGATGATTACGAAAATGATGACAACGATGACGATGGTGACCATTATGACGAAGGTAACGATGGTAATGACGATGACGATGATAAAGATCACGATGACGATATTGACAACGAAGATTATGAAGATAACGCTTATCAATAGGACTGTGGTGACGATTATGACAAAGAGGACGATAGTAAAAACAAAGACAGTGATAAAAATCACGATGACGATATTGGCAATGATGGTGATGACGACTATAACGATGATGATGATTGAAAGCATGAAGTTGACAATGATGACGATGTTGACAATGACGATGATAACGATGGTGATTACGATGACGACGATAACGATGACGGTGATGGCGACGATAAGGTAGACGCTGATGACGATTATTATTATTATTATTATTATTAAAGTTCTAGTTGTTTTATAAGTCACGAAAACATTTCGAGAAAATTTGGTAGGTTTTTCGGGTTTCATAAAACAGATATTCAGAAGTTGAGCGTTACCATCATGAAACAAAAAATGTTCAATTGGGTAGGAACGCCAGCAGCATACCTGGTTTCTCCTTCGGCGTCGTCGAACCCTATGCCCTCGTTATGTCTGATTAGAGCCTCAATGGACCGAACGGCGTTGTGTTTGACGGCGTAATGCAGGGCAGTCTGCCTCAATTCGTTGGTAAGGAGATTCGGATTCGCACCCAGTTTAACCTCGAAACGTCGTTTTTTATGAAAATTATAGTCGGGAAGCCGCCATCGACGACGCATAATGATGAATTAAACCAAGCATTCAATAATTATTTCAAACATTAATTTAACATTAACATTATAATTAAGAAAAGGATATTTCATGGTGGCATTTAGTGAATTAATTAAAAATGCTTTCTTTCTGATAGTGAATAATTCCATATTTGACTTTTTTCTGGGAAAATAACAAATAATTCAAAAATTCTTTTCTAATTCTTTTCGATTTCGAGGTTATAAATTTACAAAATTGAGACAAGAGACAAGCCTGAAATTCATGAACCCACCATAAGCGCAAAATGTACTCCGCATTCGTCGATAATTATTCAGCTAAAGATGCGTATCGATTATGCGCAGTTACCCTGCATGCCATGAACGTGTGTGCCAACAGAGCTGTTCCATCACGTTTTCGCACGTGGCGGCGTTCATAGTTTTTCACATCAAGAAATTCCGTAGAAACGCTTTTGTCGCTTTCGTTATTATTATTCATAGTATCGAATGCAAGAAAAACAAGAAAAGAAAAGTGCATAGGTGGTCGAAAGACAGCAAAAAGAAAGTCATTTTTTCTTTAACATGACAACACAGGCACCCATATTAACTAATTAAGTAATTAATTTCCACGCATCTTCACTGCGTTTTATTATAATCCTGAGCTAGTTTTGTATTCTAGCACATATTGTTTTACCATGTTTGCTTCCTGAAAAATATCGCGCTAACCTGTTGTTAAATCCGCAAAGCGAACACCCGGGCAAGAACCGCGGAAGTTTAAAAATTTAGTGGCCCGTAAGGTGTCGCCGCCATGCGGAAAATGTAGAGCTAAAAGAGGGAGAGAGCGCGCGCACGTGCGACTAAGAACGGGCTTAAAGTCTTTCGCGTTCGACTTGGGATCGATAGCACGCCGATAGTGTTGAACCCCAAAAGAAAAAACTATTGTCTCCCTACGCGTTGCGTGTGCGTGTGAACCACCTCCACCGTAGCGAGACCGTGATCCTCAAGATCGAAGAGGAGCTGCTATTTGGGGCCCCAGTCCAGCGAGACAGCAGCTACACCTGTTTTATGTTTTATTTACGTCAAAGGAGTTAGGATACTCTAGAACAGACCACTTTCTAAATGTATTTTTGTTCTTCCTTCCTTGCTGAGTTGTTTTTATTTGAGTTGCATTGTTTAATTAAAATGCTTTTAGAAATGTATTTATTTATAGTTTACGCATGTATAGAGCAATTAGTTTCAGAAATGTTTATTAATAAATTGCAATAAAACTTTCTAAAATATCTTTATTCGGAATTTATTTTATTTTTAATTTTTTCGAAACTGTAAGTTTTATGAAAAATTGCAGCAGACAAAGAAGTTTCTAGTCTATCAAAATTTATTTTTTCCATGTCACTCATGTAAAAAAAATATGCAGTGTGTTCTCACAATGGTAATTAATAATTCAGCAATATTTTACTGTTTGATCTATTTTGTTTTTTTAAGTTAGGTTTATTTTAAACAAGGAACTCCCATCGGTTTTTACCAATGGTTTTGAAATACCCTGTATCGAGCCACGAAGTGGAAAATAAAAGGGGTACAAAACAGGAGGCCTGGCTGACCAGTTCCAAAGTTCTTTCACTCATTTCGAACTTATGAACTTTTGTTTTAAAACACGAAACAGCAAAGAACCGTTGAAAAAAGGCATAGGAAAATGCAATTTCAATGCAATTGATGTATTCGAAAAAACACGAAATTTTGCATTTTTAAAAACAACGTAATTGGTTGGTCAATTTTAAACAAAAGCAGACAATTTATAAAGGCCGATTCTGTATTTCCGTTTCCGTTACATTTTAGAAAGTGGTAAGATTAAGTATAGAGTAATTGACCAAAAAATTTTGAGAGAAATATCATACAGGGTGTCAGATTTAAAATAAGAAATCGGGTGATGAGATACTTAAGATACATGTATGACAGTAATTTTTTCTATACAACAAACTTTTTTGGATGTATATCAAAGAAACCCGCAGTAATGAACCGTCCTGTGTAGCGAATAGTGTCCGGGACACTCTCCTATTATTTTCTCTACGGGCACTACAAATTACCTCAAACCTCTATAATTTCTTACCAGCACGTCCACCAACTCCCAATAATCCCGCTCGCAGGCGAGATGGAGGGCGGTCTCGCCTTCCGAGTTGACGTGGTTCAAATTCTTGACGCGACTGGCGAGAAACGCAGCAGCCCGCTTGGCCCCGCCCCCTATGAGCAACTGCACCAAGTCGGCACGCGTTGCGGAGCAGGTGGGATCCGATTGGGCGCCGCATTCGAGCAATGCCTCCGCGTAGGCGTGCTCGCCCGCCTCCCACTTCAGCAGGGCGTAATACAGGGGCGTGTACTCGTCGTTCGTTTTGACGTTTACGTTTAACTGGTCCTGAAGGGGTACACAAAAGCGATTTTACCTACCAGACAGCTTTCACGATAAATAAATATAAAATAAATGATTTTACTATGTCTATTAGTTCATTTAAAAAAGAAATTAAGAGAAAATTTATTGCATTATCGTATGCGGGCGTTTATTTGGATATTGGGCGTTCATCTATGTTCAATGTTCGGGACGAAACATCTTTCTCCTCCCTTCTTTAAAATTTCTAGTTTCTTTCTTGCCTCCCTGTTCCTAATTCATGCGTCTGTTCTGTTGAGCCGTTAGTGAGAAAGCCCTTGGAAGGAAGAGGTAAATTATTCCTTCTGCACATTAATATGTTTCTTCTGGCATGTATAAGACTAGAAGAAAAAGATCAATACACTGAATTACACTCTTACAACCCTTGGTTACCATACTGCTGGGAGACGCGAGAGTAGGAAGAAAGAAGGATAGTAAAGCCATACGGAGAAGAAATGAAACGGTTGCGTTGGTTACGAGATTATACATGACACTAGGGTGTACTGAAATTCGTAATAGACCACATAATATTAAAACAGGACGAGGATACAAGAGGTCATAGTGGAATCGAATGTAGTTCCGACCACCAAAACTGCGATTTGACGTGAAATAGGAAGTTAAAAAAACAAAAAGATCATTAAAAGCCTAAAAGTTTATTCGATCATTAAGAAAAACACTATGCCATAGAATTAAAATAAGATAGATACCCATACCTCACAACCTCACTGTGAAGAAGAATATATTTGATACCGACAATTTAATTATTTAGGACAGTATTTATAATGCTTGGTCACTATGCATAACGGACATTAAAAAGTTTGCGATAATTTGTCACATTGCCCGGTCAATATAAATACTACCATTATTTTTCTGGAAATTTTGATTAATTTATAGCATCTACACAACGTGCGTGTGGTATGACTCTCGCTGGCCAATCAGCATTAATTTTTGGTAGCTTGTCGTCCTTAGCGACTTTCCAGACCCTTTTCAGTTTTTTTTTCCATGAGTATTTATTATTTTATACTTTAAGTTGAGTTTGGCCACGTTTTGGTAAATGTATTTAACTTCGGATCTCTTAAAAGCCAAAGAGCAGAAGTAGCTTATGTGTCTCTGATAATAGGAGAGAATTTGCTAACACCACTATTTAGGAGATACGTTGCATATGGCTCGAACTAAAGATGGTATGTGGGAAGTCCAGACATTCTCAAAGTTACGCAGAACGAGCGAATCAGAACGAAGAAAACACGCTTTCTTCGCGGTTGGAACAATATCAAGAAATGGTCACCGTTTTGTCCAGCTGATGAAGAACAGAGCTCATCACTGTAGTGCGTATGAGATGTATGAAGCGGTGTTTGGAACAAAATTAAAAGTTGGCCAAGAAGTGTTTTACCTGTAAATGTCTTGTCTAATAGAAAATGTGATGAGGACTTAGACGTACTCCTAACGAATCAAATTAATTTACAGTTTATGGAAGAAGAGGCACTGGAAAATGAACCAGCGTCAAAATTTTTGGAGGGAGGTCTTCTGCTAACTCTTAATAGTTGGGTTCAATTTTCAACTTTGCTGTCTAAACCATCATTTACATTTTAAAAAACTTCAAGACTCCGTGGATCATGAAGGTTTCCTGGAAAAACCAAATCGTCAAGAAAATTAGAGCCGACATATCAAACATTAGCACTATATCAGCAAGCAATCCAAAAAATAATCTGAAAAATGGTTCAAACCTCAAATTTAATATCCACTGACGCCCAAAGGGTCGACACACTCAGTGGGCAGAGGTCGCATAGGTGGAAGAAATATATTGGCATTCGTTCTTAAAATAACAGATGAAAATATCTATAAATTGGGTACGAAACATGGAATTCTAAATGAACTGTATGGCAGGAACCAGTTTACGAAGAAAAGTACAACGTCTAGCATTATACATACTGCCCGAGCAATATAACATTTTTTTTATAATTTCTCATTTTTTCACTTTTCAAATTGCTCGGGTATTATAAATAATGTCCAATGATATAGATTAGGAAGATAGGAGGAAGCATTGAATCCATGAAAACCGAAAAAGCACCCGAGTCAGGACTATCAGCAGAATTTCTAAAAGAGGAAGTTCACTTTCTGTTAGCAATACAGCTCTACATTGGCAATTAAACAGCTCCATGATAGGGGGACAGCAAAAATAAAAGCAGGTTCGTATCCCGACAAAGATACTGTCTGTCCGGTACTCTCAAATGATAATAGCACTTGACCAAAAAGAACTAGAATTTATTACAACACGACTTCTAGCTGCAAAAAAATGAGGAATGTTAGTTAACAAATGAGAGATTAAATGTATGCGCGTAGGCCAACAAAAAAATCAGAATTCACACTTAAATAACAATGTAGAACAGTACAAGTAGGTAGACAGTACGGGTAGGACAGAGAGCGGGCTTGACGATCTAAAGACAGAAAGTTGATTGCAAGTGCGAACTCAAGATAATATTCTCAAAGTCTATCATATAGAGTGCGTCCAAGATAAGAATGTCAATGATGAAAATATTGAAAACTATAAGGGATACGAAGATAGTTAAATTACAAAAAAGCTGGAAACCCGGATTTATGATGTAATGCCCAGTACAGGGTGAATCAACAATAAAACGAGTAAAATTCATTATTCATTGATTTCAAAAGTTATGATTGTTAGGAAGTACAAATTAAAATTATTTTAAAGTATACAGGGTGCCTCAAAAACGCGCGACGAATAAATAAAAAGTAATAGTCTTACACAGAAGCGTAAATATTGGAAAATATTAAACATGCTTAATAAAAGTTGTAGGTTTTTGCAAGATCTTTCAGAAAAAAATAATAATATTTATGGCTTGTCATTAACGATTTTTTTTAATTTAAAATGACACTTTTTTGGTTAACGCTTAGTTCCGGTTCAATAACTTTCGTCTTAAAAATTTAACGAATTTTTGAATGTGAATTTATAAGACTCGAGCATCATCTACTTTCAGATTTATGAATAATGTTGACAGAACGTCATCTAGGTACTGTTTGCAAACATGAAGTTGGTGAAACGGTACAAAGAGTTTATCTGATTTAACAACTCAAATTTATTTTATGTCAGTACCGTGGATAGATGAGTCAATATACTGGAACGGAAAATTTGAAATTTGTTTCTCGTTCTTGACGCTTTGAAGTTGAAGTAAAATCCACCATTATTAACAAAAAAAAATTTTTTTCAATAAATTAATATTTCCAAAAAAATATTAATTTTGACACACACACAAAAAATACGATAGTGCCATTATTTTTGAAGGAAGAAGAAGTAAAAGATATTTGCAACACATTTGCAATATTTACCCCTGTTTGAAACTATATTACTTGGCCGTGACAAAATGACCTGTCCTAACAACTGCGCAAATAAATTCATATAATTTATTGCGGTGTCATTAAATTAAAAAAAAAACTAAGTAAGGATTTTCCCAACGTTTTTTTTAAGTTTTCAATTAATCAAATTTTTGAGGAATAAGATAAAATTTCTGAAAAACAATTCAGATTTTCTGAAGACCAAGTCAGAATTTCTGAATTAATTGAGAATCTTGGGAAAACAACCATAAACTTCTGACACAAGTCTCTCTTAAGGGACATTAGACATTAGATATACAGAGTGATACATGACAAATGATCAATCTCCAATTAATTGATATCATTTATATACTGTGTGAGGCGGAAAAAATACTTTGTTGACAACAATATGACCTAATATCGGAATGCGTAAACCGGAATGCTACTGATGAGGAAAATGGATTAGAAATTATACTTCAAGTTCAAGACATTCCCCGGTCAGTGGTAGTGGCTAATTAATGTGATACCACTAGAACACACAAGTATCATCCCTTCACTATGGAACTACATCTAGAAATTTTTCGAAAAACTTCTGCACCGTTATAAATGAAGCAATAAAGGCCGATCCAAATTTTTTGCCTAAGATAATATTTTCCGATTAAGCTTTTTGCAGTAATGGTGCAATTAATCGTTATAATATCCTTTTTGCAGAATGATTTACCTCAATTTACATTGAGACCCAACCAATGTGGTTTCAGCAAGATGGAGCTCCCCAGCATTACCATCGAAAAGTTTTAAGCAATCATTACCCACAGAAATAGATCGTTGGTCACTTAATGTGTGGTGTGGCATAAAACACTTTAAAGTTATTGAACCGATTTTTTTCGCGAAGCACTTAATATTTAAACTTCTTCAAGAAGTTGATGACCATCGAAAAGTTCTATTATTTTTTAAAAATCATTACCCACGGAAATTTTATATGTTATATGTTAAAAATTGGGTTTATGTGAATCTCCCTTACAACACCAGAAGATATGGAAAATCGGATATAGGAAAAATACCAAAGATGTGTATTCAAATAGAAGGGAATATTTTTGAACATTTATTAAAACATAATTATAATTTAAAATAAGTTAATTTGTAGTAATAGGCATATATTATTATTTACTTTTTCTATGAATTTAAAACTTGTCCGTTATGTGCATCAAAATTGCATTATGTACGACTCCAACCAAGTTGCTTCTTGCGAATTCTTATTCGGGGATAGTTAAAACCCAACTATACCAATGTTTATAATGTTTCGATACAGGGTGTTTGAAAAATCGTTTGCGCTCCGCTTAAAATCTTTGATTGCGGTTTCATTTTGATATTTGCTTTTGTTGGATAGATCTTTCAAAAACGCACTAAAACCTTATGTTTCTTATTACATCAACCTGAAAGTCATGGCCAACTGGGACTAATTTTTGATACAGGGTGCTCGAAATATCTCGGGCGCCTCGCTTAAGCTCATGGCTCAATTTTGATAATTTTCTTTTGTTGGACGGATTTCACTGAAAGACACTAACGGTTTTCCTAAAATTAAATATGTAGAAAGGATTAGATATGAATTAAACAGACTTTAGAAAGCTGTATTTTTTTAATTAAGAGGGATTTTTAATTCTCATCTGATAATGAAAATAACAGAAATATCCAAATTGATTGACGTGGGCATACTGTTTCCTTTGTAAAACCAAGTCTCCCATGGATAAGCGAATATTCGAGGGTCAAACTCGCTCGCTAATTTATATTTTAATTGTGTTTACATCATTCGAATACTAAGATTTATTAATGCTTTTGTTTTAATCGATCACGTACAAAATAATCGTTATTTATAAGGTTTGCAATATTTATTATTTTAAAACATTAAAATCTTTGGTCATTATAAAAGTACTTCTCGATTTTCCGCTTCAAAATACTGTGTCATTTATCTTTAGTAAGATCTATTCAGCAAAAATGATTATTAAAATTGAGCAATAAACAAACATTTTACAGGAGTAATTGACAAACGTCAAAATTCAAGTCGTGTTGAAAATGTCCGAAAACATCCGATTGCTGTGTTAATTATTAGTTTTGGTTTTTTACCAATTATTTAAATTAATAATTTTCTACTCCCGTCTGTAAAATACCTAATTACACACCGATGTAGCGTATTTACCACGTCAGTTTCGTTTCCGCAATTTTACCGCACGTGTTTGGGAGCAATCGGCTGTTTTCGGAGATATTTCCCACGCCTTGAATTTTAACGTTTGTCAATTGTGACGGCTATGTCAGTGAATGTATTCGTGTTGTTTTGCGAAAATGCGATTGTCAATTCCGACGCTCGTGTAGGAAAAGTATAGTATGCAACACGTTCGGTAATTTTTGTATCCGTAGAACTTTTCAACTTTTGTATTTACCATTTTCTCATAACTTTGGAAACCAATGAGGTAAGGCACTTTACTCTGTACTAGGCTTTACGGGCACAAACGTTAAATGAAACGATCGAAGCAAAAGCCACAAAGGTACGACCCCCCCCCCCCCCTTCCCAAGCCATCGTTTAATTACGACGGTTACTGTCGCATCTCGATAGATCAGAGCACCCTGGTATCGCACTCACCTGTCGAAGGAGTACGTCGAATATCGTCCTGTTATCGGCTTGGACGGCGATATGGAGGGCGGTGTAGCCCAGTTTGTTCTGAGCGTTTACGTTGACGTTTTTGTTGATGAGCTTCTCTGCGATTTTCGCGGAATCGCTCAAATTTGGCGCGCAGGCCACCAGATGGAGCGCGCTCTCGTTTTCGCTCCTACAATACGGAAGTTAGGCTTAAAGTACTATTTTTTGCGAAATTAGTGATTGAAAAATATTGACGATGTAACGTTGGAAAAGAACTTCAGTAACACAGGGCAACAACTTTTGAACTTGAAAGTTGATTTCGATATAACAATTAATGGTATAATTTAAGCCTCCTAAATTTAAATCTGATAAGCCTTTTCTTCTATGACGTAAGTTTTTTTTAATCAACATTAAAAGAATTAATAAGTCTCGGTCGATTTAAACAGTATTTTTATTAGTACAAGGTCAAAAACCGAAATAAAAAATCATAAAGTCTCAAACAATAGTTAAATCCATTTAATTTTGGACCTCTTGGTCGGAGAACTTCGTGTAGTAGATATTCTTGTATATTCCATGGCCGGAATGTGCCTTTTTAATATCCAGCAGTAATCTACCATCATTGCAACGTTCCACCGACCTTGATATCTGCGTTTCATTTCTTTTTTATCTTGGTTGAACCTCTCACCTTGCTGCTCACTCGCGACACCAAGATTTGCATCCTATTTGCCTAAATTTCTCTGTTTCTCTATTTCCTAGAAAAACTTTTATTATATCTATCAACCCATGAAACAACCTCTTTAGATGCGATCAAGGTCACAAAGTGTTGATCTTCCATTAATCGTCTTATCTGAGGACAAAAATTCCTTCCATTAATTTTGAATCTGAAAGAGCGGGAAATTTTCCACATAGATATTTAAAAACATGATCTGTCTCTAAAGCTTTAACGTGCTGCTTCATCACTCTCAATTTAGGTAAGAGATATTTTCGCGGATCAATAAGATCATCGTGAAGAATATCTTTCTTTTTCATCCACAAAAATACAGGTGTACTCCGTATATCCTGAGTGTTGACCTAGTAGAAGTCCCACAATTAAGTCACCACAAATCATCGAACTATAGTCCTTGTATTTGATTTTATCAAGCAGTAGTTCCAGATTTTCGTAGCATTCTCTCCTTTGCATAGAATGAGAAACAGGTACAGAAGCAAGAACATTTCCGTTGTGCAAAAGAACAGCTTCAATGACGGAGAGATGAGTCAATAAAAAGTCTCCAGTCCTTAGAATTGTATTTTGTACCAAATTTCTTTATAAGATTAAGATAGAATATCGGTGAACAAATTTGTTTATCTTGTGCCAGTAAATTTTTATTTCAAAGTGTAGATGCTAAAATTTCGTAGAAATCCTTAGGTAAACCTAAATCTTTCACTAACAATATTTTTCAAATTTTTAGTATTATGACAACGAACATTGCATATACAGAAATAGCAATAATCATTGTGATTTCTTGGGTCTCTCCAATAGGTAGGGACCGTCCGGTTCCATTACTCCAACCTCTTAAACCTTCTTCACATATCTTACAATGTGTGGCGCCCAAAGTTTGTCTTGGTCTACAATTTTTACTTTAAACAGGGCTTTACAACTAAATTTCTTGACCACAAAAGAACCACACACATAGCACGACCCGACGCGGCAATGTTTTGAAGAAACTATATTTTACTTTCAGCGATCCCCCGCCAATTTCAATTTTTACAATGTTATGTAATGTCCCTATTTTTAAAACAAATATTAATTAATTAGAAAATATTGCGTGATAGGAGGAGCAACATTGTTTTTCTATTAGTTTAGTCCCTATAACTTTAAAAATATGAAAAATACCAAATCACAAAATCTTTGTTGGCCGGTGTAACCAATCAAATTACTCAGAGTGGGTTTTTAAATGAAGCGTTTGAAAATATTCGCAGTTCACTCCATTATAGCTGTTTAAAACTATAAATCAAAACGAAAAGAATGTTCAATAAACAAAAACTATTAAATAGAAAAATAAATTAAACTCAAAATTTGCACATTAACGTTTTGGAAGGCTAAAACTCCGAGGGCACTTTCAAACTTCACTGTAAAATGCATTTTTTATAATTGTTTTCATCATGTCAATCTCAGACTGTTTCGATCTGATTAGTACCTTTCTATTTAAAATTAAGTTTGTTGGAACCACATTTACTGACAAATATTCTTATTTAACTTATAGGACGACGTCCTATGTCCACGAACAATTTCTTCACTTTTTTTTCATTTTATTTTATTTTATTTTACGCTGTATTTCGAAAAACCATAATGCAATCTTTGGCCATCCACTTGGTCTTCCTCCGTTTTCTGACATTAATTTATTTATTTCTTAAACAATATTTAACAAGAAGCAAATTAATTTTTAAACCAAATACAGGATGATGAGAAAGTTTCTCAAAACTAATATGAAAATGGTAAATACAAAAGCTGTAAACATTGTTAGGATATCCAAATTAAAATTATTTTAAAGTATGCAGGGTGGCTCAACAAAGCGTGACGAATAAAACATACATTTTTTAACTGGAACATCCTATTTTTACGTTTTGTTTTAAGTTTCTTTTAAAATTCTTCAACTTTTTCATTAATCATATAACATATCTAAATGTAATAGTTTTTCCAATATTTACATTTTTCTAAACAATAACAGTTTTCACAATTGCAAAAAATTACGATAGCACCATTATTTTTGAGGACAGATCACTCATATTTGACTTTAGCGTTATTCGAAGATCACGTAAAAGATATATGAAACGGAATTTGAATTATATAATGTATTTATCAAGTATCTCATATACCTATTTGTAATACTTTGCGACTTATATTAAGTTTTCCAATATATACCCTTGGTTCCGTTCAAGACTGTTCCTACAACCTTAGTTGAATAAGACAAAATGTAGCTTTGTCAAATTTTTACCTGACAACTGAATAAATAAATTCATAGAATTTATTGTGGTGTAAGTAAATAAAAAAAACTAAAACTGTTGTAATGGGCAACGGTGAAAATCGCCAGAGACCAAAAATATTGCAGCAGGTATACCGCAAGGCAGTGTAATAGAGCCAATATAATTTCTTTTGTATATTAATAACATTACTAAATTGATTGCATGACTCTTCTAATTATAAATAAATATACCGAAAACCTCAAAAAAGAGGCTGAGAGATTCATGATAGGAGCGGATAAACAAATCGATCAAGAATAGAATCACTGCAAACGTTGAATTTAAACAATTGTTATGTTGTTTTAAGCGCATGCACAATATTTTTGGGAATGTTTTTGGATAGCGCCTTATCATAACATATAGTTTTAGAGTATTAGGAAATTAGAGTATTCCAGGAGAAACTAAGAAAACTAACCAAAAGGGAACCCTGCAAACTACACTGCGGCTAAATTTGTATGTAGGGGAAAATTTAAAGAAAACAAGATTTTAGCAATAGTCTTAGACAGAAAGTCGGGTACATATTGGAAAAGTTATAATAAATCGCAAAGTATTAAAAATACTGAAACATACTTAATAAATGTTGTAGGTTTTTGTAAGATCTTTCAGAAAAAATGATAATGATATTTATATATATTTAAGAACTTCAAATTCCGTTGCATATATCTTTTACGTCATCGTGGAATAACGCTAATATCAATAATGAGTGATCGGCCTTTAAAATTTTTTTTTTCAAATGTGAAAACTACTATTTGAAAAAATTTGAAAAATTATTACGTTTAGGTAAAAAGTTTCAATTTCAAATCGAATTGAAAACAAAATTTTAAAATTTAACAAAATTTACGTTTTATTCTTCACGCGTTTTTGAGCTACCATGTGTACTTTAAAATAATTTTAAATTATGCATCGTTACAATCTTTACAATTTTTTTATTTGCCAATTTCTCATAAACTTTTAAAACCAATGAGATAATGAACTTTACTCTAGCCTTAACTCACCCTGTACTTCTCTATCCCTTCATTTTCATTAAACCGTAAACAAAAATTTTACAATTCCAGATAGCACACAATATCCCCAGTATATCCGGTCAATGTCACAATTGCAAAAAATTACGATAGCACCATTATTTTTAAGGACAGATCACTCATATTTCACTTTAGCGTTATTCGAAGATCACGTAAAAGATATATGAAACGGAATTTGAATTATATAATATATTTGGACCATTTATCAAGTATCTCATATACCTATTTGTAATACTTTGCGACTTATATTAAGTTTTCCAATATATACCCTTCGTTCTGTTCAAGACTGTTGCTACAACCTTAGTTGAATAACACAAAATGTAGATTTACGTTAGGTATGTACTATTATTAATAAAAAAGTTTCAATTTCAAATCGAATTGAAAACAAAATTTTAAAATTTAACAAAATTTACGTTTTATTCTTCACGCGTTTTTGAGCTACCATGTATACTTTAAAATAATTTTAAATTGTACATAGTAACAATCTTTACAATTTTTGTATTTGCCATTTTCTCATAACTTTTAAAACCAATGAGATAATGAACTTTACTCTAGTCTTAACTCGCTCTGTACTTCTCTATCCCCTAATTTTCATTAAACCATACACAAAAATTTTACAATTCCAGATAGCACACAATATCCCCAGTATATCCGGTCAATGTCCCATTTAAATCGCATGTCCCGGGATATGTGGATGATATTCTTACGATATACGTTAGCAGATATACAGTCGAACTTCGATAAGTCGAACTGCTATTTGACACATGAAAATTTCGAGTTATCAAGACATTTATTCATTCATTTTTAAAAATGGGTTATACGTTATATAAATGCCCTAATATCTATGATTTTTGAACAAAAAACGAAAATTATGAAATAGTAGTACATATGTATGTACATAATATATGTACATACAAATGTATTGTATATGTACCTAGTATATATAAACATAGTATGTATGCACATATACATACATATGTATGTACATATTAATGTTTACTCTTTCATTAGAAAAAACTGTGACTGACGACCGGATTTCTTATTTTGGTTTTCAACCAAAGCTTCAATTTTATTTAAACAATCATAGAGGGAATCGGTTGTGCGTTCACTGGTTTTCATATTGGAACGCAAGACAATCAACGAATTTTCAACCAATTCATTTGAAGATGGTTGCTGAGAATCATCTTCCCATTCCTCCTCCATCGTGTCACTTTCGCAGTCATCTTCGATGTTTAAATGTACCGGTTCTGCCGGACTCGATAATATCGTCGTCAGTAGGAAACTCTGAAGTAACAATATCCTCATCCACATGTATAAAATCGTTGATGGTGCTACCTTCTGCTATACCTCTAATGTTTGTCCAAGCTTTAAACTTGATTTCTATTTGGATTTCGTCTTCACTCTTTTCTTTCAGGCGTTCACTTAGGAAAATCAAGAATACTGACCAAAACCGGCTTTTTTAAAACAATTGGAAATTGTTTCAGGCTTAATGTCGATATTCCATGCGGTAGTTACGTCGTCAACACAATCCATTAGTGTAATGTTATTGTTTTTGTTTTCTTCGAAACGTTCCATTGCGGTGATGACTGAATGTTTATTTTTCAAAATTGTAGACACTGTATTTGCCGAGATCCCATACTTCACAGCTACACCCTACAGCTACATACTTCACAGCCACTTTCCACTTCTTTTATAACCTTGAATTTTTGATCAACAGATAAAGCTTTTAAAGTACGTTTTGATGACATATCAACAAATGCAAAAATCCAAAAATGTCTTTAATATAATGTGTAAATTGAATAGAGGCAGTATTTTTCACTTAGTATTAACTAATAAATCATACAAGTCAACTTAGCAAGCACAGAAACTGAACTGCTTGTATAGATAGGGGGAACATTAGAATAGAAATAAGGGAAAAAAGTGAAAAACCGTAAAACAAAATGAAACCTAAAAACTTAAATCTTGAACAACTGAGTTTTTTAGATTTGTGATGTTTTGGGAGACATTTTATTGATAACGTTTTTGTGCACATCTACATCGACGTCAGTTAAAAATAAACTAGTTTTTATTATTGTTGGACACGAACGAGACAAGAGACGCTTTTTTAATAAAAATATCACAGAAAATACGGGTTGATCTAAGTAAAAAAATTACAAAAACGTAAAAATAATATATTTGTTTATAAGATCTCATTTCACGCAACTATTCGCGGTCGGCTTCTCCTCCGTCTCGTCGTCCGCCATCTTTTCATCTTTGGTTTTGTTGGCGGTTTAAGGTATACGAGGGGGTACCCAGAAAAAACCGGAATCATTTTTTATAAACTATATATTGTTTTGAACATCACAGAACGGCCTTATCCCCTTCAAAATACTCTCCAATACAACTAATACATTTGTCCCAGCGGTGCTTCCACTGTTCGAAACATTTTTTATATTCATCTTTGGCTATAGCCGACAGCTCATCCCTCGTTTTTTTCTTGACCTCTTCAATGTTGTCAAATCGCTGTCCTTTCATGTCCCTTTTCATACGTGGAAATAAGAAGTCACACGGAGCGAGATCTGGCGAGTAAGGTGCATGGTGCAGAAGAACCATGCCATTTTTAGCCAAAAACTGCTTAACAGAAATGGCTGTGTGTGCAGGTGCATTATCGTGGTGAAAGGACCAGTCCCCTGTCAGCCACAAATCAGGTCTTTTTTGTCGAATACTGTTGCGCAATCTTCTTAAAACTTCCAGATAAAAAGCTTGATTAACAAACCACTGGTACACTTGAGTTTTTCCCATCGCATCGTCTGTATAAGCTGTTTTTAACATTGAAACAGTTTCAGCAGCACTTTTACCGAGCAGAAAACAAAAATTCAAAGCTGCACGTTGTTCTTTTAAACTTGCCATCGAAAAAAACGAAATAACAAAAAATGGCACTGCAAGTGAACAAAACAAGTTAAATTTAAAACGAAGGTGGCGTTGAACTCGCAATAAGTTGTACTATCCACAACCTAGCTGCTGAAAGGTGTTACTACACAAGCTCTGGGCGTGGCAATTCAATTCCGGTTTTTTATGGGTACCCCCTCGTACGACGACTTGGCGTCTATTTTGAGTATTTTGTGTGCTGTGCTTTCATTTCAGTTATTTTTTTGTGGTATTATTATTACTATAAATCATGTAAGTAAAGCTCTATGGTAATATATAACGTAAGATTTGATAAATTGTAAGCTGTTGTTGTTGTGTAGTCTACCAACATCATGACTTGATTTTTATTATTTTGCTAAGTCAATGAGATAGCAAGATTAACTGGAGGCAGCAATTATGAGTTTGTAAAACAAGCTCTGAGCCCATTGAATTCAAATGAACTTGCAATGAAATCTAATTGGTTGGGCATGAAGAAAAAGGATAAAATTTTAAAATTAAAATTGGCCAAAGTAATACTTGGTAAGTGGGTATATTATTTTCCAAAATAAATAAATAAAAAATAAATAAAATATAATTTAATAAAACATATATTATACATCATGTTTTTTGAACAGTTAAATTAAAGTAATTTTTTATTTAAGTAAGCAATTTTAGAGAAAATCCCCCAGAACAAAATTATATTTTTAGTTATATAGTATAGTTATAGTTGATATATTTTTCTCTTAAACTGGATGCAAGAATCACCCTCCAAAATCAAAGTATTAATTTTAGGAATCAGCCTGCATAACGTACAATTTTCACATGAAAACTTTTTTCCTATTTTTTAAGGCTTGTTTTCATTGTGGCTAGGAAAACTAGGAAAATTTTTAGGTTTTACTATCAAACTGAAAAGTCATATTTGTTCTAGTTTTATTTGCGCGAGATAGTACCTACTCTCATGAAACAAATCTTAACGATGAGAGTTTAATCAGGTTTGTATTTAATGACATGAAATACAGAAATGTATACCTACATCATCGTGGAGATTAGCATCTAAGATCACTTTCATGAGAGTACTATCAGCATCAAGCGTGTTTTTTGAACATAAAAGATACCAGTCTCGTCAGATGCGGATAAGAAGGCAAACACATCCCGAAAGAGCTGCTTTCATCAAAGAATGACAGAAAACCTGTCAAATATTAGTTATTCTTTTAGAGTTTAGTTCAAGGATCTTACTCTATATTTAAGATAATTTAGGTTAGGTTGTTTTATATTTTTGAAATATTATATACCTACAATTTTTTCATATCTGAAATAGAAAAATTCAGATGTGAATAAAATGTGTTTTATTAATGGTCTCAATCGGCAGTCCTTCACTTTTACAATCAAAAGCAAAATTAAAGATTAAATATTAACTGTAAAAAAATTGTGCGTTTCAAATATCGCCTGCAATGATGACTTCACCAACAATACCCAATAGGTTAATTCCATCACACGTGAGTACCAAATACTGGAATAGAATTGTTGTAGTCGTACAACTAAGTGGACTATTTCACATTACCTTTCGAGTATTTCTCATAGGTTGTTGGAAATAACCTAATAAGTAAGGTCCACTATATCTATATAAGATCCTATATCCTCACAGTCGGATATACTAACGACCTCTCAGCTATATCTGATATACTGTGGACGTTCCAACTAATAACATCGTATATCCTTGAGACGCGCTAAGGATATCCCTTAGCTGAAACAGTATATACCTAGGATATACGCTATGTCCCGTCAGATATCCCGAGGGCATTTTACGGACGTCCTTATGCTATTTGGGAGGGACACATTATAAGTTGATTAATAATGATTGGTCTTTTTTACAAGAGAAAATTCAATTTAAGATACCGCGCTCGAGTTGGTAGCACTTTCTCTCATGTGTGATAAGTACAATAAATTAAGAAACCTTTTCGTTTTTTACGATAGCCTAAAATGCGTAAAAGAAAAACTGTGATTTCCTTTCTTGTTCTGCTTGTCTAATTTTTTCAACTTAATTGAATTTCATAACTTTGTATTGTTTATATTTAATGTATTCTTGTTTCCTTTTTTCGGATTTGTAATTAGGTTTTACCTGTTGGCAGCTGGGTAAATTAATTATTATTATGTCACTTTGTGATATATTCAGTACTCACTATGCAGTAACCTGAACAAAATTGCAACAATATAGCTGAAGACGACAAAGTAGTCATATATAGGGTGTTCTTTAAAAAATCCGATAAAAATAAGCTTAAAAGTTAGTCAACTTGGCATGACTTAAAAAAACCCTGCATTTGACTACATTAAGGTACATTTTTTACATTCATATATTAAAATAAATAAGAACTAAAAGTTCAGATTTTCACGAAATTATATATTTTGACATGACAATTGTTTCGAAAACACCGTCTCTTTATCAAATGTAATATTTACAAACTACCTGCTGCTATATATACGAAAACTGACAATAAAACTTTAATTAATGTTGAATTTAAGTTTAATTATGAAGAGGTATCTAATTGACATTTGAATGTCTCATTTCATTAATCACCATGGCTTCCAATAAATTTAATTTTCTTAATTTTTTGGCTGTATGCAAAATATCAAAATTGGCGTCAAAAATGTGTTTTTCTGTGCTTAAGTGTGTAGCATAATTAGAATCTAGACTATTGATTGTTTTTAAACCCTCTTTTATGTTCGTTAATGCGTTTCTTGAAGGATCTACCTGTTTGTCCAATACAAAATTTAGGACAAGATCCTCATTTCAACCTGTAGACACCTGATTTTTGGGATTTTTGACATTTCGTTTTATTGTTTTTTAAATATTTTTCTATTGTGTTGTATGTTCTGAAAGCTATTTTTAAACCACATTTTGACAAATGTTTTGAAACTTTTTCACTAGGTTCTCCTACGTATGTAATTCTTTTAAGTTGTTCGTGTTCTGCATTAGGTTTCAGATAAAAGTTGTCTGTATTTGTTTTTTATTTATAATTTTATCTATAATGGACGGATTATAGCCGTTGTTCAGTGCGTTACCTCGTAGACAAAGTGGCGTCGCAGTTGTTGTCCAGCAGGAACAGCGCGGCGAACGAGTCGTCCCTTTTCAGTGCCCTGTGGAGCAAAGGGTCGCCCCTGCTGTCCCTCAAATTGACGTCGGCGTTGTGCTGGACTAGCGTGGAAGCTATGCTGTCGTTTTTTCCTCTCAGCGCTAAATCGAGCGGCAGTTCGTCCGATTGCGACCACACGTTTACGACGTCCGACAACTGAAATGGAGAAAAATCATAAGTCCTTAAAAATTGGAACGACCGGTATACATAGCTCGTCACCAAACTTGGTTTTTCGCCTAGGCCCGTCGGGCCCGTGCCTAGGGCGGCATAATTTGATGGGCGGCAAATTTTTCAAAATGTAAAAATTTTAAACTTGATCGAATGTAACTGAAATTCATTCCAATAATTGGTTCCGATTTTTTTTTATAAAAATAGAATGTAATTCATTTTTAATTACCTTTTTATTGGACAATCAATATTTAATATAATATATAATAATATCTTTTTTGAGAAATTATAAAGCTCTGTTTACTTTTGGTGTCTTGAGTAAGGGTACCCTTACATGTAAAAAGCTTCTAATATTGATCAATGCTTTTTTTTATTTTGTTTTTGGTATTAAATAAAATATAATATAATATAAAAAATATATTTAGTATTCATTTAATATTCAACTTTTTGTTTATATATATAACTACATTTTTTCTTCAAAATGAATCCTACAGGACAATATAAATAATACAGTGAAAGCTCCCATAAGCGGACACTCACGGTTCCATAACTTTTGTCCGCTTATGGGAGGTGTCCGCACGTACAATGTATTATGTTATGATAAGAGGAAAAGGAAACAGAAACTGGCAACATTTTAAAACTAATTATGTATTTATCTTCAACATATATGTACATGGTGTAAAAATTAAAAAAAAAAAGATTATTTCTTAGGTTCTTGCAAAAATTCTAAAATACTTGTCTGACAATTTTCGTAATAACTTTCTAAATTTTTCAAGTATTGAAATGCAGCGAAATCGTCTCTGGCAAATGTTTTTAATATAGAAATATGATTTAGAGCTTCTCGATATGAATTTATCGTTTCTGAACTGCATGGTGCTTCCACTTCTCCTTCTGAGTCATTTGGACTACCTTCTTTTTTTCAAGTTTTCAACGGCATTTTCTTCTGTTGTTATGTTATCGTCAAAGGTCATTCTGGATTTCTGTTACTGTCGCTAAGGGCAGATCGTCTTCGGGATCGTAATTGTAATATACAATAATAATACATTCACTTTTTCTGAATACAGCTTTGACAAAACAATTCTTAATTTTCGAGGAACTTACTTTATTCCATGCTGTTTTTATAAAATATAAAGCTTCTAACACATTGATAGACTTTGTAAACTCAGATAAGCTTTGAACATCTTCAATTTTTGTTAAAATATGTTTCAAAATCAAGTGCCGATAATAAAATTTGAAGTTTTGCATGATACCTTGATCCAAGGTCTGACAAACGAAAGTTGTGTTTGGCGGTAAAAATATAATTTTCACATTTTTCAATTTCAGTTCACGAGGATGAGAATTGCCTTTTTTGGATTCCCATTTTGCGGTCGAATTGGAGCAACCACTCAGACATGATTTCTCGGGTCATCCATGCATTTTTATTGGATTTCTAAGTGGCTGGTAGATCCTATCGATATTTACGTTCCCTTAAAGACGTTTTCGGCTAAGAAGTTTCCAGTTTGGTTTTCCCCAAAGCTTAAAGATACAATAATTGCGAAGAAGAAATCACACAAATGATATCTTGAAACCGGGTTATATACAGACTATAAGAGATTTTCAGACTTAAGGACTAAATGCAAATTTTTAAAAGTGCAATGTTACCAGGAATATATATCTCTGACTGAATCTTCCTTAAGAAAAAACGTTAAGAATTTTTGGAAGTTCGTCAACAGCAAAAAGGAACGAAACTTTATTACATCGGTTGTGCACTTTGGCGAAGTGACCTGTTCTGTGGGTGACGATATTGTCAATTTATTTGCAGACTATTTTTCGAATATGTATAGTGACGGGGACACTGTGTCTCTGAAGATGTACTACTTTCTGGAGATGTTAACCTCTCACACTTGAACATTTCGATTTCTTCTATTTACGAGAAACTGTCAACTCTAGACAAAAACAAAGGATCCGGTCCCGATGGTCTCCCACCATATCTTATTAAGCAATGCAGCTTCATACTTTCCAGACGACTTTATATAATCTTTAACCATTCTTTAAAAACGGGAACTTTTCCATATTACTGGAAATCAAGCTTCATTACCCCTATGCTAAAATCCGGCAACAACTCGCAAGTCAACAATTATAGGCTCATCAGTCTCCAGAGTTGTATTCCTAAGTGTTCGAAAGTTTAGTCTGCGACTATTTATCTGCTGGCCTTAAAGGTTGCTTCATCGACCAACAATTTGGATTTCTCCCCCATCGCTCCACTGAGCTAAACTTGCTCACATTCACAGATTTTCTGCTGGAATCATTGGAGGGGGGTCTCGCGATCATGCTATTTACACAGACTTTTCAAAGGCTTTTGATCGAGTAAATCATCAAATCTTAATAAAAAACATTGCGAAACATTGGGATTCAAGGAAAACTTTTGGAATGGTTAACATCATACCATCGAGTTTCCAATCCGCCGAAATTAGAGTGCCTTCTGGTGTTCCACAAGGATCGCACCTGGGACCCCTGCTCTTCAATGTCTATGTGAATGATATTGCCTTATGTTTTCATCACGCATGTTTCCTATTATTTGCTGACGACTTAAAATTCTATGAGAGCCCATAATGCTGACGGCTGTCTAAAACTCCAGTCCGATTTAGATCACGCACGCTATTGAGCGATGTGAATATTAATAAATGCCAACAAATGAACTTCTACCGGAGCAGAAACCCTATATATTTTACATATAACATGAAAGGGACACCGTTATTGCAGGCCTCCGTAATAACGGATCTTAAAGTGTTACTCGTATTAAGTTGACTTACACACAACATGTTTCATTTATTGTGTCTAAATCACTTCAGATTTTGGGCTTTATTAAGCGTTGTACAGTGGACTTCCAGAGTGTTCCGTTTCTCAAATTACTATTCTGCTCCCTCGTGCGTCCACACCTGGATTATTGTTCCTGTGTGTGGTCACCTTCGTATAACGTCCACATACAGGCCATAGCAAGAACATAGGTTCCTGTGGTACATAGCATTTAAGGAGCACCAAGGACTTGAGCACGTTGATTACGCTGAATTGGAAAACTCTCTCGCATGCAGAGGGATCTCACCATCTACCGCATTCAAATTCCCACGGACCTGAGATGCTATGTAAGATTAAGCTTCCCCCCCTTCCTCCATTGAGAGACAGCGTTTTGTCGGACACAAAAAAAATGTCCACTTCTGTGGCACACTGGTTTGTAGCCAGCCGCGCTGGTTTGTAGCCAAGCACCATGGACGGAAGTTTTTCCAAAAACTGTGACACATCAACTTGATTTACTGCAGCAGCTTAACCAGACGTGCGTTTAAAATTAAGACCACTTTTGAAGCCACCCGTCGGACGCACTGAAATTATTGTAGTCCCAATTTCCTTAGCTTTCATTTTCACTAACGGCCCTGAGATTGGAATGTTCTGATTTCTAGCTTTCACAAACCACTCAAAACATCTTTTGTCTATAGCAAAACCTTCCTTTTTCAAAAAAATCCTTCTTTTGACTTATATTAGTTCCAAGTTGCGATTTACTTCTGATATCTTCCTCATTTTTGGCTATTTCGTCTGCTTGACGAACTGAAGCACTTTCTTTGTCTAAACAACAAACAACTGCCATCTTTTCCTTTAACGAGAGCGTATATGCATATTTTACGTAAAATTATAAAATAACTCCAATACCAACTACGAATCTGAAGACAAGACAAAACACAACATTAAATGCAGGCTAGCAAACGGAATGTGAAAATGGGGAATCACCTAATAAAAAACGGGGAATTACCGAATTTTATGTATAGTGTCCGCGTGCATTTATAAGAGCGTCCGCGTATCGGAATGTATTCAACGTTAAAAATGATATGCTGAAATTCGGTTCCAGGAATTTTGTCCGCTTATAGGAGCTGTCTGCAAGGAGAGCTTTCACTGTACATATGTTTTAGAAAAGAACTATTAAAAAGTTATAAATAAGACAAACACTCTGTATATTATTGCATTTGTAGATACTCTCTTTTATACTCAATCACCCAATATAGGATTGTTATGGGCTATAAGCAGGCCTTTCGGATTTATGACCATTTTTTCGTCAAAAATATCCTGTCTTTAACAGTCTATACTTTTGATGCCATTTCCGACAACTGTAATTTTATTATGAAAATTTTATCATTTATCCTATACTCGTTCTGAAGTTAGTTAGAATCCTTTTGTACAGGGTGAGTTAAAATAAAAAATATTAATTATACTGTATATTACACTTCCATTAATGGTTTTTCAGTTTTATTAAGGATTCCCGTATACCAAAATTTACTATTTTCGAAAATTTGTCATATTATGAGAAAGTATCACAATACGAAAATAAATTAAAAATAAATAGGTTTTTGCTTAGTCGAAATTGCTGACGTTTCGCCAATCATCCTGTTGGCTTCTTCAGAGCTTGACTGAAACTGGCTCGTATTTTACTCTGTACCTGTTTATATATTGTTTGAGGTGAGCGCTAATGAGGGGTATAAAGACCGTCTCGGATGATTGATTCCCAAATTCGTGACAGGTATAGACTCTCGGATTTTTCGCTGGTAGAAGAACTGATTACATGCAAGAATTTTAGTTTTATCGAATAAAATTTTATGCCCGGTTTCATGAGTGTGTTCGGCAACAGCTGATGAGTTTATTTGTCTTAGTCGTAAGGCTCTTTCGTGTTCTTTGAGCCTAGTTGATATTTTTCGTCCGGTCTCTCCAATGCATATGCATGGAATGCTGTAAACTCATGGCGTCGCAAATGGAATTTTGTCTTTGACGGACCGCAGATGTTGAGAGATTTTTGGACAAGTGGTAATTCTGGTTTTGACGTTATACTTCTTTAGAACTTTTGATATGTGGTCAGTGATGTTTTGAATGTAAGGAAGGACCACAGTGGCAAGTGTAGGATTGCTTTCGGAATCATTTCCATTGGAAGGTTGTGGTGAAGTGTATTTTTTGATGGAACGCTTAATATC